CCCCTAACCCCCTAACCCTCTAACCCCCTAACCCTTCTAACGACCTCGAGGCCGCCGACGACATCAAACCCGCCCGGGATGGCGCGGTAGGACGCGACCGTGCGCTTCGCGAGCTCAGTCAGTGGAGCTAGCTCGTTAAGCTGGCCCACGAAGCCGGGAGCGTGCCCTGTCGAGCCGCGAAGGCCGCGCACGTCGCGGTCGACCAGGAGGACACGGGCGTGGGGCGCCAGCTGCGCGGCGAGACAGGAGCCGACGATGCCTGCGCCGACGATTGCGATGTCGTATTCATGATCTTGCGCGGTCATGGTTTGGAGGGGAGAGGGGAGGTTGGCGAGGAAAGGAAAGGGGGTTGAGGGGGCGATCGAGGCGAGTTGAGTCAGTCATCGGGAGGGAGCGAATGTTGCCGCCTCGGCGGAATGTGCTGCGCACGTGGGTGGAGGTGGCTGAGGGCCGAGGGATTGTTTCATAAAGATAAAGAGAGCAACGAGTGCAGCAAGGAGAAGATGGATGAAGCCGGGAGGAGCGCCGCTATCAACACTGGGGAGGGAGAGCTGATGAAAAGACAAAGGTTGGTGTACTTGTGGCGGCTGTGAAGGAGTAGAAGAACCGATGACGTTAAAGTGGGGCAGGTCCCGACAAGGAGGGCAAGTAACGGTTATCTGGTGCTGACAGCGTGGGGCAGCTTTACTTTGAAGGGTTGAGAGTGTGAGACTTGCCGGCTGAATGAGTGTGTGATGGTCGATGGGCACGCGATGGGACACACTGACATGGGCCAGATTAACAGAATCGTATGTTGCTCCCATCTTTTGCATCTTTTGAGTGTCTGCTAGCTGCGGACATATAGTGAATAGCAGAATAGCCAACGCCCGAGCCCAGAAGGCCAGAAGGCCAGAAGGCAAGTAAAGAAGCAGCAGCAGGAGCTATTTATGGTCGGCGGATGCCCCTCCCCCCTCGCATGCGCTCGCAATGGATGGGGCCGATCGGGACGGCATTTGACAGATGAGGGCGCATGGCGTGACGATCACTCCCCCTGCCCCACGCTGCGCACTTACCCTTGGAAGCAAGTGCCTGGGCCGGACGGCTGGACGCGTCATAATGGCACTTGGGTATGCCAGGGAATGGGAGACGCGCCGGGGCCAGGGTGTCTCAGGGGCCGGATGAAGCTAAGACCGCCGAGGAGCCCTATTTAGAACTGACCAAACTGGGGTGCGAGCGGCATGGCTGGGCGTCTGCGCGCGTCCACGGAAGGGGGCAGCTCGCGTCAACTCGGACGCCTCAGGGGCATAAGGGAGATGCCGGGCCGAGAGAGTTTGGATCTGATACAAACAGGCAATACAAGTTGGATGGACGAGCGAGATTTGGGGTGGGGGGCAAAGGAAGGGTGGTGTTTGTACACAGACACTAATCGTCGCTCTCTCTCCCCCCCCCTTGATCCTCGTCCTTGTTGTCTTCTCGCTTTGCTTTCATCCACAACACTCTCTCTCTCTCTCTCTCTCTCTCTCGCATCTCGCACCTCTCACAGATCACCAGATCACAGACTCCCTCCACCCTCCTTTCCACTCACCCTCCTTGACTCTCTACTCTTCGCCTTCTCCTCTATTCCATCTCTTTCATCTCGTTCATCTCTTGTCATCCTCCGTCCTCGTCTCCCTTTTGTCTGTGCGTGTGCCATTCTTTCATGCTGCTCCGACTTGCACTGCCCCGCCCTCTCGGACTATGCTAACCTCCAGTCATCACTCAAACTCACAAACATCACCATGCTCTTCTCCCTCACCCCCTTCCTTCTCCTCGCCGCGGCGTCGCAGGTCGTCGCCGCCCCTCACATTCACAAACGCGACCATTCCCGCCTTGCCAAGCGCAACTTTGGCCGCGTCACCTTTTTCCGTTCCACCGACTCTGACCCAAACCTCGCCTGCCAAGGATACTACTACTCGTGAGTGCCCACACGTTGCTATCCCCATCCGGGGAGGCTAGCGCTGGCTGGTTGAGGCGCCAGAGCCCAAACTCACACCCAGCGACGAATCCTTCCCCCTTGTCGCCCTTTCCACCTCTGGCGACTTCTCAAACGACAAGTGTGGTCAGTGGATCACCGTGACCTACAACGGCCGCACCGTCTCTGCCCAGGTTCAGGACGCATGCGCCACCTGCTCAAACGGTCAGATCGACCTGTCGCCTGGCGCAATGCGCCAGCTCGACCCAGACTATGAGCGCACGGGCCAGTTCAATGCCGAGTGGAGCTTTGGTGGAGGCGGCGGCGGCGGCAACAACGAAGAGCCCAAGACGACAACCAAGGAGGAACCCAAGACCACTTGGACCCCCCCTCCCCCCGAGCCCACCACTACCACGCCGTCGCCCAAGCCGACCCCAACTCCCACGCCAACCCCCACCCCGGACACTTCCTCCACCTCGAGCCTCACCTCGGGCACACCCAGCTCGCTCTCTCCCAGCTCGTCGCTCCTCTCGTCGGCCTCGCTCAACTCGACTACTTCGCTCAACGCGACCTCGTCCCTCAACGCTACCTCGAGCCTCAACCAGACCTCGTCCGCGCTCCCCTCGGCCTCGCGCAACGCTACCGCCTCCATCGCTGCAGGCAGCGACCACGTTGTCGCTGGTCAGGGCGACGTCGAGGACGGCGCTCTCTCGGGCGTCGGCAACCTCGTCGTCAGCATTGGCCGCCTTATTGTCCTCGCCGTCGGCGGCAACTAGTCTTTCGTTTTTATATTTCATGCAGGTGTAATGGGTTTGGTGGTTTGAGGGTGTGAGCGGCAGGCTCGAGAGCCGGACAGGCTCAAGGATCCAGAGCCATCAGCGGTCGCGCTATAGCGCGGGTATGGTCAGGGCTGAGCCGGTCTGTTCTAATCACGGCCCACCCCAAACCGGCCCTGGCGCGCCTGGCGGCTGGTCCTCCCGCGATCCACCATGGCCACCATCAGGATGATGCGTGGCTCGAGAAAGGGGCTTCTCGCCTTGCTTCTACCGAATCTGCTCTCTTCACCGTCTACTTAGCTACTTCGCTTCTTTCTCCTGTCCGACTCGTGTCATGTCCGACGCCCTGTCTGCTTTGGCCGCAAGCATCAACAATCGCTCCCCGCCTCCCATCCCCACTGACATCCACTCCTCGAATTAAAAACAGTACTTGAAAGTGATGGTTACTCAATGGCTTGATGAGAAGGAGGGAGACTTCATCCCCTTGCATCCCAGGCTCCACAAGGATGCCGTCAACTCCCTATTGTCGCTCCTGGCCGCCGACACCGACACCAACCGGATTGTTTGTCTTGTCAGACCTGAGGTGTGCTTCAGTCTCGTCGCGACTGATGACATGCGAAGGGGTCATCGCTCATGTTTTGGGTGGACACTTGCAATGAAATGATCCACGTGGGGCAGATCACCGTTGAACATTCGACCTGGTCCACGTGGGGCAGCCATCATGCACCCTCACCGGCCTCACCATGCTCACCACAGAGCATGAACAAATACATGTGTCGTTATACTGGACAACTTCTGACTCTCTGTCTCTATGCTCGGCCCCCGTTCTAGAGCTCCCCCGACGCCTTGACGGTGCGCAAGAACCACCACGTCAGGCCCGCGATGCCGCCGAGCGTCGCGAGTCCGCGGATGATGATGGCCACCACAAGCGCATGCCGCACCGCCTGATAGAATGTGCTCAGCGCCGCGCCCGACCAATTGGTACGCCGATCCGCCGCCCGGTCCGGCCCGTGCACGCTCTCCTCCCAGCTCCGCACGACTTGGCGGTAGCGCCGGCCAAAGACCCAGATCCAGAAGTTGACGTCCGGGTATGAGAAGCGTGGGAAAACGGCGCTGGGGTTAGCGTCGGTCTGGGGGCAGGGTGGGGGTGGGGGCGTGGGGTGAGGCAATGGAGTTAGGGAGGACGTTGACTAGGCGCAGCAGCTCGCCCGATCGCCCATCCCTTCAATTACACGGCTACTCACGTTACTCCGGGGCCGACGCCGCGGCGTCGCTTCTCGATAATCTGCACGCTCAGCTTGCTCTTGGGCTTGCTGTGAGAGTCCGCCATGGCCGTCGTGGTGCGCGCGCCAGGCGTGCTCGCGTCGCTGCTGAACCACTGCTGGTCGAATGTCGAGTTGACTGTCACGGGTGTGCGTGGGCCAAAAATGGTCGAGCGCGTCGGTGAGCTGCTGGTCGAGTTTGAGCGGAAGCGACTCGATGTCGGCGTCCCGGGCGTAAGGAGGCGCGCATTGCTTTCCTGGTTGGGGCAATGGGCGACGAGATCAAGGCTCATGCCGAGACTGAGGCCCCAGAGGCGCAGGAGGCGCTTCCCGCTCGAAGCGTCATACCATGTCCCGCTCCCGCCCTCAGGCGGCTCCTCGAACTCCATGCTCATATCGAAGCCTTCGGCAACAAAGTCGGGCTCGTCCGGCAGCAGAATACATCCGAACTGCATCTTGCCGACCAGCCCGCGCAGCGCCCACCGCACAAGCTGGTTCCGGGGAGACAGGCGCGTGCTGATGTCGATGTCGATGTAAGACCACTGCCCTGCGTCGAATGGTGGGGTGAGAGATGACATGGGGATCCAGTGCACTGTCGAGACCTCGGACGCTTGAAGTTCGGGCGTGGGCGAGAATGGCGAGGTTTGGAGGAACACTGGGGGTTAGCTGAATGCCAAGAAATGGGGTGCCTTTGTTGACAAGAAGACAACTCGAATAACAGCCTGCACCATGACGCCAGAGAGCGCCTTGTAGCCACTTGACGACAATCGGCTGCCACGGCACGATGTATAGGCGCCAGGGGCGGCACAACCGGGGGGGAATCAAGCTGCAAATCACACTCACCGAATGGAGACAGAATCATGAGAAGACGTTTGCCGAGCGACGTCGTGATTTCGCGCTCGTCAAGCCGCCCAACCTGAACAAAGTTGGACTCTGCGAGGTCGATGCCGATCTCCTCCCACGTTTCACGGAGAGCGGTGTAGACCGCGCTGTCATCGGAGGGCTCCTGCCGCCCACCGGGGAAAGCGATATGGCTACTCCATCGACTGCCGCCACCGCCCGCGGGTGCGCGCCGGATAAAAAGAAGCTCCGGCACCGTGTCGGGGTGGTTGACCCAATCTGGCGTCAGGGGACGGCGGGCGTGGGTACAACGGTGGTGCGGTTGACTCACCCAGCCGCAAGAAATCGTCAAACTGCATGCCGACGCCAAACTCCTCCTGCGGCACGACGGGTCCCGCATACCCATTGGGCACAGCGCCCTCGAAGACGAGGCCGGGCGCCGGCTTCATCCGAATGATGAGAGCGACGGAGGCGCGACGGGGCTGCGTGGGCGGCGAGAGGATGAGGCGCGGCGGTGTCAGCCGCAGGCTCTGAATGAGCGCGAGCACGTTTTGTGCTGGCACTGTGTCTGGTGTGAGTGGGCTGCCAGGGAGGAGGGTGAGGCGACGGAGCAGGGTGCGAGCGGCGAGGACGGGGGTAGGGGTGAGCCCGAAGGTCGGAGTGGGGGTTGGGGCCGACTTGGAGGTGGGAAGGGAGCGATCCAGGCCGTACGGCGTGGTAGGAGGAGCGGGCGCGAGAGTCATGGTGAATGGAGTTGGGGGCGACGTACCGGACATGGTGGCGGGTGGAGTGTTATCAGCGTGCCTTGATGTTTGGGTGATGGGTGATGGGTGAAAGGCGCGCGCTGTTGGGGGCAGGAGAAGCCAGTCTCGAGAAGCAAGGACGAATGATTGTGCGAGGCAAGGACGAGTGCAGATGGGGAGTCGAGAGGACCGAGTGGCGAGGGGAGGAGGGCGACGACGACGATGACGAGTGAATGAGTAACGAGATGAGAAAGAGAAGAGCACTGAGCGCGTTGCGATTTCTTTGGGGATGCAGGAATGTCGGCAACACTGGCCCGGACCTTGCCCACGTGGTATTTACATAATCCCGTCCTAGACGCAGGCTCGGTGACAAACCCCTCGGTCCCACCCGCCTCCTCCTCTCTCCCACTCGCATAAGCTCAGAGTGCCCACCGCGTCAGTTTCTGCACCTAGTCACATGCGTATGTGTTCGGTCGTCCGCGAAGCGATTCTGTGGATCCGTGGCCACTCGCTGCGTTGGGGACGTGGGGCCCTCGGGCTCGCGTGACATGACCAAGTTTCATGCTTCCACCCTCACGAGCTCCAGCTCCAGTGATCGGGGCCTGTGACGTCGTGGCGTGGGGCGGTGTAAGCGAGGCGCCACCCATATTGTGATAACGTCCTCGAGTCATCTATATGTGTCTGCATACGGTATGTACAACTTATGCTAGCCCCCGATTCCGAACATGCGCGAGCGGCGGCGCGTCCCCGGCGGGTCGCGCACGCGGACATGCCACCCGGGCTCGGAGACGGTGGTCATCTTGGGGAGGGAGTCCTGGGCGACAGGCTGGGGCTTGGTCTCCGCGCTGTCTTCGCCAACGGCGCGGAGCACAACAGCGGTCGCGCGGTGCACGGGCACAATTTCGGCCGTGTGGATCTCCCGTATGTGCTCTGCCATGGCGCTCGCGACGTGCCTCTCGTCGGCCGGGAGGAGCGTGACAGGCGCGCGCCCGACGCCCACGCCCGTCCCGCTCTCAGCGGGCGTCTCGCGCACCTGCTGCTGCTGCACGGCGGCCGCGATCGCGTGCTGGATCTCCCCATCGCGCTCGAGCACGGGCGGAATCGCGCTGCCCCGCCACGCACTCGCGCTCGCGCTCGTCCGCGCTGGCGTACTCGGCAGCGGAGACGCGGGGGATGCAGGCGGCGTCGTCGGCTCGGTCCAACCGCGATCCGTGTCGTTCAGCTCCTCTAGGTCGAGCGCGGAAAGGCGGCCCTCTACTTCCAGCACTGTCGCGAGCTGCGACGCGTGCCGCATGCGTCCTGCCTGCCCTCCCTGGCCTGCCTGTACTGTCGGGGACATGGGCGTGGCGGGTGGTGTGGGTGGTTCCGCGACCTACGAGAATGATACAGCGCCGCGGTGGTATGCGAAGTCGCGCTGGATCGGGGCCTGGGGCATGGGCGTGGCGGGCGGCGTGGCGGGTTCGGCGCGCGAGGGGGCTGCTGGCGTGGAGGAAGAGGTTGGGTCCGAGGCCTCCGTGGCAGGGTTGGCGGACTCGGACGGATCGGATGGCTCAGAGGACGGCGTGAAGACGGCTTGAGATAGCGCAAGCGCGTGGTCCATCTCTAGGATGGGAGTGAGCTGGTCCACCGCCCGCCGCGGCTCAGTCTCGGGTGCGAACGGCGTCGCGGGCGGCGTGGAGGGCAGGCGCTCGGGCGTGCTCGTGCCGGTCAGAGCGCGCTCGGGGTCCGCCTCTGCGAGACCCGCAGTCGCGGGCGCCGGATGCGCGGGCCCCGGGGCGTCACGTACTATCCTGGTCGGCGGCGTCTCAGCGAGGATCTCAGCCAGGTCCATCAGTCCGCGCTGCGAGATCGGCGAGGGCGGCTCGCTCTCCTCGTGCAGTGCTGGCAGGGCCTTGGCGGCCTCGGCGAGCGTCGTGAGCTCTTTCTCCTTCTTCTTCTTCTTGGGCGGCGCGAGGAGCTGGATTTTATAGTGGGGTCCGTGTCGACCGCTTTCAGCCTGACCCCCCGTCCCCGCCCCCGCCCCTGCTCGACCGCGCGCAGGCTCGGCGTACGCGGGGTGCCCGGCGTAAGTGCTCGAACTCGGGTCTTGAATGTGCACGTGTTCGTGATGCGAGTGCTCCCACAGCCGGCCAAAGAGGGAGCGCCGCTTGTCCTTGGTGGTGTCTGTGATCAGCCCAGTGTCCTTGGCCCGACGGGACCCACCCGACGCCGTGTGCGACTTGGCGCGCCCCTCGCCACCACCCTCCTGCTCCTTCCGCTCGCCTCGAGCCGACACTGCGTCAGCCTCGCCGCACGCATCAGAACGTACGTGTCCCATCGCTGGCTGAGCGTCGCGGTCGCTCCGCCGAGTCTACGCCCTTTCCTTTGCGGTTCTTGCGTGGGATGAGCCCGAAGAGCATAGTGGTGAATGGGCGCTGTGAAGAGACGTGGATCGTGATGCTGTGATGGCGACCTGGGCCATGCGGCCGCGTGGCGGGCATGGTCTGGTCAGTGCGCGGCCGTTCTCTTCTCATCGGCTCATGCAGCGTGTGGTTACGAGCCGTGCACCGACTGTTGCTGGGCAAATGTTTGCACAGTAGTATCTACTTGGGAATGCTGGTGGTCTCGATGGCGCTACGCCACAATCGGGGGCTGACTACGACCAGGCTCGTCTTAAGGTCGGATCAAGGCGACTCAGACGATCCAAGTAGAAGCGACGTAGTGGCCACAGGCAAAGAGATCGCCAGGAGTCTCTTCAGAGATAGTACACGATACTGCTGCCGTGAGTTTGTCCAGCACCGTGAAACCGTTAGTGGCACATTATCAGTGCCAAGGCTGCGCCGACTCGTGTGAGTAGACCCGCCTGGGCTTTATCGGCATTGTTACAACTTCTGCATTCCAACCAGCCACCTAGGACTTTGCAGCCGCCGACGCCATAAGTACCTGTCTCACAATTTCGCCCCAGTCGCCGTCCAGTTGCATGTCCACACCCGTGCTGTCTGTCCGCGCGCACTGTGCGTTGCCGCACTCGCACTCGGTAGGGCGAACAAGCGCCTTCTCCGCTGGGCCCTCGAGCGGGGTGCCAAAGGTTTCGAGTGCATACTGCTTGGCGCCGACCTCGGCGCGGTACTGAGCCTTAGTGAGGAGGCGGATGCGACCGGCGACCTGCTCGACCGTGCGCTCGTCTACGCCCGGCGCTGTGACGTTCCAGCAAGTGCAGATGGCCGCGACGAGAAGGTGGTGCAGGCTCGCCAGGCGTTTCGCGGGGCACGGCTCCTTGGCTGGGTCGCGCGTCGTCCGCATCAGCCGGCGGGGGAGGTCTTCCAGGCCCACGATGGTGTATTTCGCCCGGTTGAGGGACGCGATCATGAGGCACATGGGCACCAGGAAGGGCTGGGTGCTGTCGTCGGGCGAGGGCGTGCTGGCCGAGCTGGAGGCTGGCGTGGATTCGCTGATCTTGCCGCTGTCCGGACGGAATATGATCACGCACTCGCCCCCACGTTGGATCGAGGCAAAAGTGAGGTCGTCCAGATCAAGGCAACGTGGGCGAGAGTACGGGGTCTCGCTTACGCAGGCCTCACTCCATGGAATTACCATGACTTGTCGTTTGGTCGCGCCCCGCATGGATACTAGTGCCTCGGGCAGCGACTTGCTAATCGGGGCGGGACACACGTCGACCTGCGTCTCGGCCGCGAGTGCACCGTAGTTCCACCCGTAGCGGCGCGTCATCTTGACGCTGGAGACGAGCTGCCGTGTGATGGTAGGAGGCAGTACGACTGTGTTGCTCGGATAGTCGACCGTGCGGATATGCTTGAAAGCGCGGGACATGCGAGGGCGAGGCGCGCTGGGCGAGTAGTCCATCGGAAGAACGGGGAGGCGGTGGCCTTGAGGGGAGACGAGGACGGCGAGGTCGAGCCCATGGGCGTCCTTTCCGGGACACTTGCGTCTGACCTCGACGTGAGAGAAAAGGATTTTGTCGGCGGCGTCGCGCGTGTCACGGCTTACGAGACGCAGGCGAAGGAGAGTGCCACGGGACGCATGGGAGGCAATCATGCCAAACACTCCGGGGTACCATCGAGGATCAAGAGAGGGCCTGGTGATGGCGACGGGGGATGCGGAGGGTTCTGGCTCAGCGGGGTGGAGTCTGGTATCGGGAGGCAGGCGTCGGCGCTTCGGTGCGACCGAGGGTAGGCGCTCGCCGGGGGGAGGGTGATACCATGGGCAACCTGGGCAAGTGGCGGAGTGTTCAGTGGGCTTGTAGAAGTAGGGGAAGGGGTAGGGAAACGGGTAGGAGTCGTCGGGGGGAGGCGAGTGAGGACCACGGCGGCGTACGCGGCGTTTCTCGACGATCTTGACGGGGTTGGGGGTGTGAATCATGACGGAGCCGGTGGTGGGTGGGAGTTGACGTTGGAGTAGGCCCTTCAGCGGCGACAGTGAGCGCTGGCGATGAGGTCGTGTGTTTTGTCGTTGCCGGCGTGCCCGACAAGAGTGAAAGAGCTGAGAGAGACAGAGAGACAGAGAAAGAGATGAGCAAGAGTAAGAGAAAAGTGGGCAGTTTGGGGAAGACGAGTGCCGAGGGAGAGATGTGAAGAAGATGTGTCGGTTGATTTATGAATGGCGCTTTACGTGGACAACCTCCACGTCTGGTGAGATCCCCAACGTCTCTTGGCGTCACTCGAGTTGCTTAGCTTGCCTCCTCAAGCTCCTCGGCTCCTCGCCCGCAGCCACCCACAGCCACAGCCACAACCCAGATCACGCGCGCACTCATGTGCTTCTGGACGGATCTATGGGGCTATCCATCTGGATCTACTCTTCGTGCGCGGCCGGTTCAACCGTGTTCCGGCGGCCTCTCGGTGCCACAGGTCGCGACTTTTGTAGATTGGCGAGACTCATTTAGGGGCTCCGAGGCATGCTCGTGCATGCTACATGATGCCGGGCGCCAGCTGGCAGCTTGGCATTGGTCGATTGAGCCGCGGCATAACGTCTTTGTGTGATGGGGGACGCTGCAGCCATTGTGGGCAAGACGACCCCGAGGCATGCTTTTGAAACCCCGCGGGGCCGCTGCCAATCACAACCAGGGTGAGGGGCGAGAGGCTGCGCGCGTCAAGGTTCATCAACAGAGAAAGCTTGGGCAGCGTGCCTTGGGAAGCTGGGAGGCATGGGGAGCTGGGGCGATGGTGATGACGGAGTTTGCGATAACGCGGATGTTGGAAACGGGGGCCGGATGTGGTAGAGCGCGTAAGATGTCGATTGTCATCGGAACGAGCAGAGACGAGGTGGGACCTGCCGCGCCTCGATCCGGTACCCCGGGCAACGGCTATCAGCCCTCTTCTGCCCTCTCACATCACTGATCACTGCCCATCACCTGACTCATTCTGCTCGCCATGCATGGAACCAAGGACGTCAGTACATACCGCAAGCACGAGCTTTCAGTCTCTGCGGCGTGTGGGTGGGCTAGCCCACGTTTCTGTGTGGCCCCGGAGTCTCGGCGTTCAAACATCCGACGTCACTACTTGAATAGCCGTACACTGTCCGTGCGCCCTCCCCGGCATGCCCGGCCCACTCTCTCCACTCCCGATCACCCATGGCCGTGTTGAGTCCCACGCCTTGCTGGCTGCTCACTGGCAATCTGGCTTTGCTCACGCATCTAAACACTCACACCCACTACAATGCCAGACGGAGCCAGCGGCACGAGCCCGCGCCTTCCGCCGTTCGCGGCCGCGCAGTCACTCAACACCAAGTTCATCCCGTCCGTGCTCATCGTCGGCGCGGGAATCGGCGGGATCACGCTTGCGCTTGATCTTGATGAGGCTGGTCTGACTAACTGGATCGTGAGCGATTCCAAGCTGCCCAGGCTCACGGCAGATGGTCGACCGAGAAGATGATATGGGTGGGACATGGCTCGTCAACCGCTACCCTGGGTGCCGGTGCGATGTCGCCGCCGTCGCGTATAGCCACTCGCGCTTCCAGAACAGCCAGTGGACTGAGACGCATCCGGACCACCGCGAGATCCAGCGTTGTGAGTGAGACCTTGTTGCTTCTCCTATGTCCCTCCACAGCCCACGCTGACACCAGACTGGGCAGACATTGTACGCACACAAGGCCTGACGAACCGGCTGCGCCTGCAGCACAACTACGTCAAGGCCGAGTGGGACGCAGATGCAAACGTATACCACGTCACACTGCGCGACCTCGTGAACGACACCGACGTAGTGTACACATGCAACGTGCTGGTGTGCGCGACCGGCGCATTCAGCGAGCCGAACCGCATCGCGTTGCCCGGAGAGGACGAGTTCACAGGTGAGGTCGTACACGCTGCACGCTGGCCGCGGGACATGACCCCTGCAAGCTTGCGGGGCAAAAACGTCGTCGTCGTCGGCAACGGATGCTCGGGCGTCCAAATTGTCGGCACGCTCGGCCTCGACCCCGACATCAAGCTCACGGCGCTCGCGCGCGGCCAGCAGTGGTTCATGCCGTCGTCAACCGGCGGCATCGCCGCCGCACGTAACAGTGCGCCGAACAGCGAGCGCCTGCGTGCCATTCGTGCACGCTGGCCCCTTCTCCAGCGACTGCACCGCTGGATATTCCTCGCCCTCGCCGACCGCCGTTTCTACTACCAGTGGACGCGCGAAGGTGCGAGTGCCCGTAAGCAGCTGGAGCGCGATCTCGGTGCGTGGATGGTCGCTCGCGCCCCAGAGAACCTCAAGGACAAGATCGTCCCAGACTTCCCGTTCCAGGCCAAGCGGTACATCTTTGAAGACGGCTACTTTGCCGCTATCAACCAGCCCCAGAACCGTGCCGTTTACGGCCGCATCGCGGGCCTCACGCACAACGCCGTGCGAACCGACGACGGCGAGGAAATCCCCGCTGACGTCGTCGTCCTCTCTACCGGATACGCGGCCGACCACATCGACATGCAGGTCGATGGCGAGAGCGATAGCACGCGCAACTATGCCGGCAAGGGTGATTTGGTGTATTATCATGGGGTGAGTACTTGGACAAGGTGGCACGTGCGCCGAGATAAGTATACGGCTACGCAGTGGCCCCGCAGCGGTGTACGAGTTCAATCACTTGTACGATGCCTCGAGAAGACTTCGACCATGAGGACCCCCGCTCACACCAGATCGCCCTCCCAGGCATGCCAAACTACTACACGATGATGGGCAACAACTTCCTCGTCAACCACTCGTCCGTGACCGAAGTGCTCGAGATTCAGGCTGCGTACATCACGCAGGTCGTGCAGGCGATGCGAGACAACGGCATCGCCAAGCTCGAGGTGAAAAAGGCGGCCGCGCAGGCCTACGACGACCGTATCGCCGCGCGCCTCGAGCAGACGACCTGGCCGCGCGTAAACAATTACTGGCGCAAGGGGGGCACGGGGCGCATCTTCACGCACTACCCTGGCCCCATTGCCCGGCAGTGGTGGGATAACGCGTGGCCTGTGTGGGCCGATTATGTGGGTGGGGAGAAGCTCGCGCGTCGCCAGAAGATCCGCAAACTGATATTCCTTCTGGTACTGCTCGTCGGGGGCGGCATGGCGGCGGTAAAGGCCTGGGCGTCGGGGGTGCCGCGGCGCATCATGCAGAACGCGTTTGCGCGTGGTGACGCCTTCTCCCAGAGGCTGATTGCGCTCGTAGAGTCGATCCCGCAGCGGCTTCGTATCCAGTAGAGTCATTTTGTACGTTGTATTGTAGAAATGAAGTTAGCTGTTCTTGTTTGGAGGTCTAACCAGGGTGCGTGTGAATCCGAACAAAGGCTGGTGGTACAACAGAGACTGTCATGACAATACTACGACAAACCAGGCGCTTCAATCACCAGGGGTACTTGGAAGAGCCGTGGGTGGGGAATAGGTGCTGCGGAGATCACGCGTCTGCAGAAGGCTATGCGGTCCGCTTGCTTCCGGCCACGCGGCACGAGTCCTCTAATGGCATGCGAGGCCGCGCGCGCCTGTGCTCGAGACGAACGCACTGCTGTCAGCTCTATACGTGACACCTTGTGGCTTCACAGGCGGCAGGGGAGCGGGCGCGACGCTACCATCCCCATCCCGTGTTCTCCATCTTGTCCTCGACAGCAGTCTCGCATCAGGACTTACCTGATATCCATCTCGTCCTCATACACATAGTGCCCGAGGAACGCTCCGACAACAATCGCCGTGCAGAGGTAGACGTTATACGTCATAGCGACAAGCATGAGCTGGCGTTAGATACGACTGCACCGCAGCGGGCGACTCACGAAGTACGCGATGGCGACCGACACCGCATACATTCCCGCGCGCGACGCGCGCACCGAGGATGGGAGACGGACGCTGGCGTCAGTCATGCCATTCGATGCTTCTTGATCTGTGTGTCAGAAGAACGACTCACATGCCAACCTTGGCCGCGCTCTGCTCGTCCACAGCCGCGTAGCCCGTCATGGGCGTCGCGGCAAGCGTGCTCGCCACGGCGCGCTCGTAGCGCCTGCTGCGAGCGAGGAGGGCCGCGTATGCCACTGAGATGCCGACGATGATCGCGCTGGGGTCAGCGGGGAGGTTGGAGCAGGAGTAGGGAGGGTGGGAAGGGGGAAGGGACGAGAGAGGACGCAACGTCGAGGACTGGGATCTGGGACGGGAAGTGTTGAGGAAGAGAGACGAAAAAGAGAGTGCGAGACTCACCACGACGCAAGCATGGTCATCCATCCACTGACGTGCCAGGAGCGGAAGACGACACAAGTGTCGGCAACCTGGGCATTCCAGAGCATGTTCATCTGGTATCAGCGGGGTTGCGGCCGCATTTCACCGAGCACTTGGGCATGTCCATGTCGGGCATGTGACCGCCGTGGCCGTGGTCGCCGTGATCCATAATGCGCGGGGGGTTAGGAAAGAGAGTGAGAGAGGAGAGTAGAGATCGTGAGTGAGGGGACGGGAGGATGCAAGATGAGACACGGACATTCCCGCCTCTCCTGAGCCTGATGCAGATCGCCCAATCCTGAGGGTCGTCCCCGGTGAAACGATCAACGATTGACCAAAAGTTGCGTCTCAGGACACCCCCATAGCTTCGATATCCAACCCTTTCGTGCTACGGCTTCATCGGCGCCGCAGCTTGAAGCAAATGACCGTATATCCACTGACGACCTCTAGGTTACATGGGGCTCTATCACAACTACAATTGGGCTGCAATGCTACTCCGCTCCACGGTCAAACGCCTACCGCGGAGGGGCGATGAAGTCCTCCGCGAATTCCTTCTCGCCAACCTCCGCGCGGTACTCTGCAAGCGAGATAAACCTCACCCGCTTCTTGAGGCGCTGGTACTGCTCAAACGTGTGGTCGCGCGGTAGGATGCGCTGGTACAGCTCGTACTCGAGCTGGGGCCGGGGAATGGGATCGCGTGTCTCAAAGCCGAGCACAGTGGCCGGCACGGTATCGGTGCCGACAATGGTGTAGTGCACGCGGCTGGATGTGATGATCTCCTCTGCTACAAGGTTGAGCACGCCGACAGACTCGGCAAGCGCGAGGTCATGGAAGCTCGAAGCAGTGACGACCGATGGGAAGTGCAGGATGATGACAGCACGGCGCACGCTGTCGGATAGACATAGGGAGCGGAACACGCTGCGGTAGCGTAGGTGCGAGTTTCGCGGGCACGAGATGTTGAAAACACGATCGCGCACGCCATCGGGAGTCTGGGGGACTCCGGTCAACACTTGAGTGTTGATAAGTGTAAGCGTCACGTACTTTATGCACGATATTGGGTGGCGCCACTGGCTGCCTGGATACGTGTCGCGCACCGTGTGCACTTGCAGGTACGGAGCGAGGAGACCGATGTTGACACTGCCCAACTCCTCAGTACCGATGGTGATGTCGCCCAAGTTGCTCGCAAACGTCAGTGTGCGCGTGTGCCGCAGGATTGCTGGGTTGACGTAGGCGCGCCCAGTGTCCCATGCGTCCCACGCGTCGTAGCTCTGCGGTGGAAGACCAGGAATACGTCGCTTGCCCTCCGCGGACAGATGAAGGCACAACTTTTCCTCTATAGCTATGCTGGTCAGCACAATCGACAACGCCATCTCGCGGTCTAGTCGCGCCTTGATCTGCCGGCAGAGGAGGCGACACATGATGCGCGTTTCGTGATTCGCAAAGTGGAAAATGCGGTGAATGATGTCTGAGTTGGCAGGATACGATACTGGCGACGGAATGATAAGGAGGTCCGCGTCGATGGCTGCTTTGGCCGCATGACACAATGTCCTGCACACTCGGCGGGTTCCGCGGTCCGCCATGCAGAGTATGCGATTTATAACCTTCTTGTGGGCGTGGTAGGCAAGGGCTGTGGGAGATGGGAGGCCGGTGGGAGGTGCGAAACACTGGCCGTACTCGAACTGGAAGCGCGACGGAGCCCACTCCACCTCCAGCTGCACACCGCCTGCCCAGCAGGTTTCCACAGGAATGTAATCCTCATCTTCGTCCGAGCTCGACAAACTGCCGAGCCCCGCGGTGGGTGTCGTGTCGCGCGAGCTCTCAGCGCTCTCGACCTCGGAACGCAAGACGGAGACCGTAGACCCTACCCTGCCAAACCTGGAGAGTGGATGACAGGGGGCCTTCGATTGCGCGACGGCCGTGTAAGACATGGCTGCAGGTGGGAGGTGATGACAGCGACAGAGAAGGTGGGTCGACAAGATTTGTGACAACGGTGGTAACAGCGCGGGGGACCACGAAGGCGAGGGACGGCGACGCAAGCGCTGGCCTTGAAGGGGCTGCGGAGGGCAAAGCAGCTGGGAATGGTGGGCTGCAGCGGGCAAAAGAGCAGGCAGGGAGGTCAATCGCTCGTGGGTTCGTGGGAGGGAGGATGACGACTGACGAAATGTCGGGACGGAAGATGAAGTGGGGGGAGGGAAGGGGGTTCTCGACTGACGAAGCTTGTCGGCGATCACCACTGCGTTATGTGCTGAAGCGGCGGTGAAGGACTGTCACGAGCAAGTCAAGATCGGAGGAGAGTAGGTGAACACAAGAAGTGACGGCTTGACTGTATATGAGACAAAGCAGAATGATCGGGTGGCGTTGTTTGCCGCAGTGTGGCCAAACGCCGCACTGATGGGCAAAGATCTCATGTTGTGATTGTGATTCAGTCGTGTTGCACGCTGCACGTTGGTGCACAGACTAGGAGGCTGCGCCCCATCACTCCCCTCCCCCACCCACTGCGATCGCCATCTTCGACTCCATCGTACGAGTCAGACTGATGGGCTGCTCGATATCGAGGCCCAGTCGCCAGCGGAGCCTTGATCGACATTCCTTCCGCCCTATCCTTCCTCCCCAGCGGCCGATGCCAGATACTCGTTTGAGGCGGAGCCGGTCCGCCGCAATCATCACGCGCCGTAGCGGAGGATGTCATCGCGAGTATACCTGCTGTCAGCGCATACACTGGGGTCCTTACGTGGAGTCGGGGCGGGGTATCAATCACCCATCTCTTTTGCCCATTGCCCCTCGCCAATAGACTTGCGGTACGCGTCGAGTGCGACAAATTGCACGGCGTCGACGGCGGCGTGTGCGTCCGTCATGCTCCAGTTAGGGAACGCTGCGTCGATCTTGGCGTTTCGATCCGCGTTGTCGACGAGGCGATGGAGCTCAGCGCGGGCTTGTCGCTCTCCAGTTTTGGCGTCTATGCTGCCCGGATATGCGTGGGCGACGTCCACGAACGTGATCTGGAGGTGCGGAAGGTGGTGGACGAGTACCTCGCCCATGTCGGTCAGGAGGCCGAGTGGCCCCACCTCTTCTTCGTCGACATGCCCGCCGGCACCTGTACGGGCACAGATAATCACTAGGACGCGTGTTCCAAGTGGGATGCCAAGCAGCGCACTGACGCCCAGGCGCCAACACGCGCGCGGTGTGCAGTCAACCAGGAGCACCAGCCTAACAGGGCAGTCGGAGTCATCCCCGACTTCAGGCAAAGGCAGCGACGGGTGACTCCCACAGTCCACGGCGGATCTCACAACAGTAGTAGGGGCCGATGCGTAGACGAACGGCGCAATGTCCGCTGCGTCTTCTTCCCCGGCTGCTGTAAATACGATCACCTCGAGACAGGAGAGGAGAGAGGTGAACTCGCCCACGCCGTCCGGCACGACTGTGCCCACGAGTTCCAGCACACGAACCGCGCGCAGTGCCTCTTCCCAGCTACCATACCGTTCTGCAGTCATGGTCCGCTCGGCCGCGCGGTTGGCGGCACGCTCTACCCAAAGGCCGAGATGTGCGACATAGCGTCCCATGTCATCGTGCCAAGTGCGGAGGAGGGGTGGGCGGCCGAGAGGGGAGGAAAGAGCATACTCCCAGAACTCGGGGTCAGACCATGGGTTTGTGGCGGACGTCACCCGGATGTGGTACATGAGACGGGCATCGGCGCGCGTGCAGAAGTCGCGACTGCAGCGTCGGAGAGTGAGGAGTGCGGCACTCTCAGCATGGGCAAAGACGAGGTCGACAAGATGTGGGAAGTGGGCGGCATCGAGCATCTTGTTTCTTTGAAACGGCCTGTCGAGCAAGTGGAGTGACGAATACGAGAGAATGGTTTGGTAGATGTCAGTGGAGGCGGCGCGGCGCTGCGGTAGGAGGGCGAGCTGCGGTTGAAACCACGCCGCAGCTGATAGTGCCCAAGATGATGGTGATGTTATTGATGTTGTCGGTGCGGCATCCGGCGCATTGCTTCCCTGTGCGTGACCATGAAGAGACGGGCGACGGAGTGCAATGCAATGGCGAGGTCTTGATCGAGAGGCCTTGTGGGGCTGCGTCTCCAGTTGTCGGAGAAATATCGGATCTTTCTCACGTGTCTCGGTAATTTGATTCCGCCTCGATCAGTGCGCGCGCCATGACATGTCGAGCCGACAATCCATGCTGCAGTCCATCAACCATCATCTATCGCGTCGACACCGCATCTTCAGTCTCCGCCTCAGGTCGTTCCACCATGGCGTCAAAGGCTGGAAAGGCTCAGATGGAGCTCAATCCCCGCGGCATCCCTCGCGCGCCCTTCGTCGTGCGTCGTTGGACAGTTCCCGCCTTCCTCTCGTTGCATTGCTGAACCCAGGACAATGTCGAGGAATATGTCGGCGGCAAGGATGCGGAGATCGACGGCGTGATCAAGAAGTTCCAAGAGACATCGGCGTAAGCGCTCCGAACAACGTAGGCTAACGACAGGAAGTACCGCTACATGGAGCTGAATCTGCAGCAGCGGCGCAAAGCGTTGCTGGCGAAGATTCCCGATATGGAGCAGACGCTGTCGGTTGTCAACTTCCTGGCGGCGCGGCGACGAAAGGCGCTCGGGGAGGAGGAGGAGGAGGAGAAGGGCGATGGTAGCGATCTGGAGGACGACGACATCGACGCGCTGCTCGATGGCGAGGACGAGGATGACAAGGAGAAGCCCCTGACGACACTGTTCGAGCTCAACGACACGCTGTACGCCGAGGCGCAGGTGCAGGAGACGGGCGAGGTTGGGTTGTGGCTGGGAGTGAGTAGTCTCGGTGTCTGGGAAGGTTGAGTGGTAGAACAGGTGGCGCGGCGGCGAGACAGTGCATCAATCGTGGCTAACTGCAGGCAAACACTATGCTCATGTACCCCCTTGGGGAGGCGGCCGAGCTGCTGAGTAGCAAGCTGTCAGGCGCGAAGAAGAACCTTGCCGAGGTTGTCGAGGACCTCGAGTGGATTCGCGAACAAGTCACCGTCATGGAGGTCAACTTTGCGCGTGTGCACAATGTGAGTCTGCAATCACGGGGGCAAGCGCGATGTGGGCCAAGTGCTGCGTTTCTGGAGCGAAACGCGCATTAAGAATGGCAGTGACACAGCATTCGACTTTACCATGCCGGAGAGCACAGCGACTTGGTTCGAGGGTGCTTCGGTTGGCAGGGGCGGACACGGAAGTTGCGCGCTAACACACAGTGGGACGTCAAGCGCCGCCGCGACCGCAAGACGACGGAGTCGCACCTGAGGACGAAGGGAGACGATAGCGATGACGAAAAGTAAAGCATAGACTTGCATGCGATACCCAACATTCTAGCTCTAAGTCAAACGTGCCTAGTATAGACTGTGCAGCCCGGGGGAGGGGGGGGGGGATGTCCTAATTGGCGCGGGATGCGCACACATGAGTCTCCGCCCATGCCGCTCAACAGCCCTTGCCTTGTCGCGCAGATCCCTTGAGTCGTCGGTCCCGCACCTACATCCATGTGCACCCAGCTGACCCGCTCACCTGGCCAGCTGGCCTCCTGGCCTTTGTTAAACTGGGTGCCGTACGTACTGTGCTGACGACTGTCGCTGCCAGCAACTCTACTGCACATGCTACACATACATCTGCTCGAAGAAGATGCTCCTCCCCGGATCCCTGGGCTGCTTTTTCCACATCTACTGCCGTCTACGGCGCTTGTGCTGTGCTTTACGAGAACTTACTTCAGTTAGGGTTCGTTACCACCTCGTAGCGGGTCTGGACAGCCTTGATTCCTTTTGAAGGCTCGACCAATGGAGCCCGAGCTGTTTGTCAGCCTAGCACTGCCGGCATAGGACTCACACGAAAGGCGACGGCCTGGTTCTCCTTTGCCTTCTTAAGAGCAGCGGAAAAGTACCTGCTCATAACAGCGGGGCTGATTGTCGTGGCGAGAGACTCATCCAGCGGGGTGAGGTACTCGAGTCCGGCAGCCGTCGACAAAACCGTCGACGAGGGCGAGTCTAAGAGACTGGAAGATACATACGTTGGTCGTTACTGAATGACGACGGCGCTATATATACTATGAGCCGTAAGGATGTATCGTATCGTGCGGAAGTACTGACACTGAGTCACATGATGGGCTGGTTCTGCATGCACGTGACGTTGGGCGTAGACCATGTGTGGGTCACGTGGTCGATGTTGCTGGCGCCGAAGGTGGCGCCACGACATAACCTCGCTGTCCAGCATATCCAGCATGTTCAGCATGACAGAAGTGACGAGCCTAACAATCGCTGACGATCTGACAAAACTGACACCTCACTTTCTGATGGCACTGCTGCGACCATCTGGTGTATTCAATCGACGCCTGTATGTCCATCAGCCATCACTGCTTACGAACGGATGAACACTAAAGCAACTGGGCTGATACCAACATAATTAGGACGCCCTGCAGCCTACATATTATAAACATGCGTGTGCTCCGCACTTCGCACTTTGGAAGCCGTCCTTTTGGTGTCGTTTAGCCGAGCAGGGTTGGTCGGTGGCCGGTGCCTTGCCGTTTTGCGTACTTTTCTTATGAACCCTCCAGGCAATGACCACATCCCGGAAATCCCCCACATCGGCGTACTTAATCATTGCTCCTTGATTCGCTCCTCTTTGGAGCCCGGGATGTCTGCGGCGGGATCGAAGGCACGGCGCAACCGACCGCGCCTTCATACCGACCGGGGTTGCCACCCAGGAGGTATTCAATGTGATGGTACTTGTTCCCATTACGCACGGCACTAGCCAAATCCGATTGGCCGAGGTTGATGAGCTCTTGAGCAAGATATTCCTCTCGCGGAGAGAGTTCGTTGCACCGACTGTCGCGAGCCCTCGGCTGATGGATGTTGTCGCCGTCATAGATCCAGGTCGGGATGTTAAAGGTCTCAGCAAAAGGTAGCGTCCTCGCGCTTCACTGTCAGTGTGTGGCGAGCACAGAGAAAGTTCTACGAACTGCCCAGCAATTCTACCATCCTTCTTGATGGAATTTGCCCGTAATGGTCATCCCCGTGACGAAGAAAGGTTGGCTGCTCGGCATTCATATCCTTGTCCCCTTTAATGATGTCTCGGGCTTCCAGGTACATGATGTATGCCCAGACGGGATCGGCCTCTTCACGAATGCGATTGTATGACCAGCGCGCGTCCCAGCGGTGCTTTTTCTGGTGGACGAGTCACATGAGATGATCCAGCCGAGCCAGCTTGCTCTCGCCCGAGGTGCGATACGTTTGAAGCTGAGCAGTGCGATAGTGGAAGAAGTAGCGAGTTTCCAAGGACCCGACGACGATGTCCTGGTTTGCGTCTAAGTGCAGACTGCCGATGCGTCCGAAGGACCTTGCCGATAGCTCAACCATCATCTTTGCGACGTCCTGGAAAGACTTTTGGCAAGTCGTGTCTTCCAGGAGGGAATCTGGGACGAAGCCTTGAATGCGTTCAACGAAAAAATGGTAAGCATTTGTGGCTGCAAGGTGTAAGTGACAGCCGATGTTCCAACTTACGATTGACATCCGGCCCAATGAACACGCGTGGCACAAAGGTGGGCGCAAGCTGATTCGCTACGATGCTCGTAGCGAGATCAGTCGAGGTGAGATCGTGATGTGCGGACCCCGAGGGTGAAAAGGTCTCACAACAGAATTCGAACAAGCCACTGGACGCCGTCCTCGAAGGTGAGAGGGGCGTTGAGACGGTATGAGCCACACCACTGTCGCAGTCGTCGCAAATGCCACAGTCCAGCCATCGGCTACATTTTGCGGGGCTGTAGTTGAGCATTAGGGCGCAGATGCAGGGAGAAAGCTAGGTACTCCATTAATATAACATGGAAATAAAACATGTACGCAGGGCAGAATCGCGGCGACTACAACGGTTCGATGCGGCGAGACGTCCACGCCTCTCCCAACAAACGCTCCAGCCACATTTCCTCACTCTCGAGTGCGCGGTCATAATCCGGCTCCCCCCGGCACACTGAAACTCGAAATTATAGAGGGTGAGCTGAGGGCGGTCCGAGGGTAGCGGCTCGACCTCGTCATTCTCGTACATCTCCGGCTGTCGCAGGCACCGGGTTGCTATGCTCCATGTATCGCGATACATATGCACACCACCCCAGCTGCGTGCAGTTTCGCGTACGAACAGGCCATCTCGGAACTGAAGATCAGTTTGATCGACAATACAGCGGTTCACAAAAAGTCAGTGAAGCTCTCCCAATGGTTTGGGTTCTCTTTGGTCGCATCGGCTAGTGTACGACCAACATTCTCAAGAACGAGGGCGTAGATGACGTATGTGTCGTATCGCCGCTTATGCTCCCTCTGTAGATGTTGAAACAGTGAGGGACTGTCGTTGCGCCACCGTCGGCGCCAGCAACATCGACCATGTGACCCACATGCGGTCCATGCCGAAAGTCACCTGCATGCGGAACCACTTCATCATGTGACTCATCCTTGGTACTTTTGAAAGATGATACATCCATATGGCACATAGTATATATATATCGCCATTGTTACTCAGTAACGACCAATGTATGTATCTTCCAGTCTTCTAGACTTGCCCTGTCAGCAGGATAATTGACGTCTGCTGGACTTCAGTACTCACCCCACTGGGTGTAGTCTCTCCCCACAACAGGGACGAGGGTACCTTGCACAGGCGCGAGTTGAGCGTATACACGTGCTTCCTGGAGGATAACTGTCAGGCCCTGCGCCGTTTGGAAAGGCAGAGGCTGGGGAGTGGTTGAGCACAAAGGTGTCTGTACACCGGATGTTGCTGCACCACCCCGATGACTCGAAGTTGACAACTGTGATAGACGTGCAATAAGACTATGATACTATGAGGGGGTAAGAATACGACAAGTATCAAGAGTTGGGGGAAAAGATCCTAGACGTCACCGTATGTGTGACAATGCGATGTGAGCGGTACCGACATGGGTATCGATCGGTACCCACGCCGTTATGCATTGGGGAGCGTCTTGCGATTGGGATGCATGGTTATCGTGTGGTGGATGCCACGTGGTCAACACATGTAGTCGGCGCTCAGTGATCATTGTCGTTCAGATCGTCACATGTCCATACTCTCAAGATCCCACAATGGGGGACGCTAGCACCATCTGTGACGCTTTCGCGACCATCCGCAATGGTTTTGACGCTCTCAGCAAATGTACTCCCAACCCTGCCATCCTCGACATGCCAGTGCCACCTGATGACACCTCCACCTGGGGTCGCGCCCTCTTTGGCGGCATATTCACCATCAACGACACCTGTCATAGTCTCAAGACAGACATTGCGGCCCTCAAGACAGATGTCACGGGCTTGAAGGCTCAAGTCGCTCAGGTCGAGCTGCAGACCATGCAACAACTGATCGATACCTTCTACAAGTGAGTATCCATAGATAGACTTAGCAGCTGTCATGGCCCGGTCCACCGACCCATGACCTCCAGCGGAGATCCCTGTATGTCCGTCACCGTACACACGGAGATCACCCATATCTCCTTTACCTCCACTCCCCCGCTCGACCGATACTCGCCCGACCACCCCGCTCGGAAGCGGGTCGACCTACGTCGACCCTCGTCGGACATATGGTCCACCTCGTCTGTCGACCAACCGGCTGACCGCCTCGGTCGACTCCTCGACCTTGCGACAACCGCCGGTCGACCTACTCGGCCGACCAATCGGGCCCCCTCCTATAGTTGCCTATATAAGACTTGTAGCCCGACCGGTCGCCCGTGTCGATTCTGTTATCCTTGTGATTCCACTGTTCTTCCGAGGGTTGTCCGAATAGCAGCATCGGTCAACCCCCGTGCGTTCTCCCCCTAACTCCGCCTCCGCTTCCCGTTCGGACTTCGTACTTCGCCGGTCCCGTCACCCCGTACGACGGGCCCTTACAGCAGCTGACTCTCAGGCGTGAGCTGATTACTGCGCGGATTTACAATGCGTCAGGTAAAGTTGTCATGGCCCGGACCTGAGATCTAGCTTAGGTAGAACTGCTGTTAGGGCTGATAGCCCTAATATTGTACCTTTTAGTGATACGGTCTAAAGCGTTCAATTCCGTTTCTCACAAGAGTCAGTGATTCCCCTCTGACTCCTATCCCAACTCCTTGTCAGGCCCTGCGCCGTTCAGAAAGGCAGAGGCTGGGGAGTGGTTGAGCACAAAGGTGTCTGCACACCGGATGCTGCTCCACCACCCCAATGACTCGAAGTTGACAACTGTGATAAGCTTGCAATAAAACTATGATACTATGAAGGGGTGAGAATATGACAAGTATCAAGAGTTGAGGGAAAAGATCCTAGACGTTGCCGTATATGTGACGATGCGATGTGAGTGGTACTGACATAGGTACTGATCGGTACTGACACCATTATGAGTTGTGGAGTGTTCTGCGATCGGGGTGCGTGGTTATCGCGTGGTGGTTGCCACGTGGTTGACACGTGTAATCGGTGCTCAGTAGTCGTTGTCGTTCGGATCGTCACACTTGAGGTGGACGGACGACATGTCTGGGTGAGCGAACTGCAGCGAAGTGGCTACTACGTCGTTGTCCGCATTCGTCAAGGAGATGAGGAGAAGAAGAGGAAGGTCAAGTGCAAGACACAGCGGAGGTTGTGTTGTTGAGTCATTTCTACCACACGTGATCCACCCCGTGCCATTCACTCTCTACCATTCAGCCACTGCGGACTCCCAGATCTCTTGGTACACCCTGTTCACCCCGTAAACACATGATAGACTCGCCGAGTAGCAAACTTGACGAGCTGGTCTCAGTTCAGCCTCGGTGTACAGTACAACATGTACCATGCATCTCTCTAGACACATGTCGATCTAGTTGGTCTCCCACACGTTCTCGAGGAACGTGACAAAGTTGGCCGCTACCTCCGGTTCCGTCCAGCTACCTGCGGCTCCGCCGCCGGAGCGCTGTGCGCCTGTCTGCGTCGCCTCGAACTGGCGCTTGAGCCGCTGCATCTCACTTAGAGTCGGCTTGTGACCCGGCAAGTGGAGGACGAGGCCCTGCCGCGCCGGAGGCGACGGAATGGGAAATGTCGGCGTCTGCCCACCCGCGAGGTGCGCAAGAAGAGCGCTTACTATTGTGCTCGTAGTTCTCGTCAACGTCTGGAGCGTCCCCGGTGGCGGTGCGCTGCGCTGATTGACGGCCTGGTTCGGCGGGCGCTTCTCACCAGTCCGGATAGCGCGCCATATGTCCTCGGCGGGCAGCTCCTCGTCCCATGAGACAGTGAAAAGCGGCGAGTCCCATCGCACCATCGAGTTGGGCTCCTCATACCGCTGGATCAGGTTGTCAAATCTGCTCGTCAGCGCTGTTCCCCTTTGATGCTGTGCCGGAGATCCGCCTCGACACCTCTCCTTCTTACCGGCATTCGAGCTAGATGGCATCACTTCGCCACTGTAAGGGGCAACGCGGGCACAGCGCATGTGGCACAGCTCATTGTTCCTCGACATTTTGTCAGGCAGCGGCCCATTATGCAGAGTCCAACGCGATGTCGGGTCACCCGTGGGTGCGGCCGCCACCGCATTGTCAGAGCCGCGCGAGCAAACACAGTGACTGAGAAAAAGGGGCAGAACGTCGATGCCTGCTTACTTCGTGCTCACAGCAGCCAAACTCACGTTGAGTCCGTGTAGCGCTCTCCCTCTGGGCGTGCGGCATGCCATTCAGCGCATTTGTTGGGCGGTGCAGCTACCCGAATCGTGGCAACGCGGACTCCGGCCTCCCGTGCCGCGCAATAGAGCTGATACCTAAACCCTTTGATGTAGTTTGCGCTATCGAGGATCGTAATGCTATCAGGGCGAAGGGCACGGGTTGCGGCTGTGAAGAGGGCCGCGCGGGCTGGCTTCTCGGTCTTGCTGTCTGCGATGCGGGAGGCATGGAGGATTTGAGGTGGAGGGCAGGTGGAGGTCACAAAAGTGGAGGTAGGCGGTGGTGGGGGAGGGACGAGCGTCCAGCGGCCAACAGTTGAGCAATGCGGTGAGGAAATCGCGCGGCGAGTGTTATGATATGTAGATGGAGAGCATGAAGAGCGCGTCAGCATACAGAGAACCATAGTTGTGAAGTGACTCACCATCGTACGCGCTCCTAGACACGTGACACGCAGCGTCGTCAACGAGGACAACATCAAACTTCGGCCCTTGGTAGTCCGGAGCGTCTATGCGCTCCTGGAGGTAGTCGCGGAGCTGTTGGGCGCGCGTCGACTTGCCCGAGCAGGGAAACCCCGAGACGGTGATGAGAGCCATGAATGCGGTGAGGAGATTGCGGAGAAGAGTGGACTGTGGACGGTGGTTGGTTGGAGTGATGACGCTCACTTTGCCACAGGGCCGCGTCTCGTCTCTTTTCGGCCTTCCCGCGCTTGCTCCCTCCACATCCACCCCCCCGTCACCCCTTCAACTCGTTGCCTCCATCACCATCCACCATCACACTTCATCCGTGCAGCCGCTCACCTCGCCCAGGCCTACTCTGGGTCCACCTCTGTCCTCCCCCCATCTCCTTCGCGCCGCGCGCGTGCGCTGATACTCTCCGCGCGCGCGCCGAAGACTTCCCTGTTCCACGCCCCACACCCCCGCCCACCCCGGCTCATTCCATCCAAGCCATCTCCACCGCTCCCCACCCCCAATCCGACTATCCTCGCCATGTCGCGGAAGCGCGACTCGACCTTAGGGAGCCTATCCTCGGCGGCTACCGACTCTCTGGCAATTGCCAAAGAAGTCGTCCTGACACCTTTTGCGTCTGAGCACCGCCGCACCGAGAGCACCCGCATACTTGCCGACCGTGAGCACTTCCGGCACGCATGAGCTTCTTTCCAATCGATTTCTGACTACAGTTGCTCCGTCGCTCATGCACCCCAAGTTCACGAGCAGAGCCGGCACCCCGGTCGGCATCAGTCGCCCACATCGCCCCTCCCTCCTGAGACTTCCGACCACTGTCCCCGGCGTCGGCAGATTAGGGCAGGACCCGCCCTCCGCGACTTCCCTTGCGATCCTCGAGAACGCTGAGGTGCTCGCTCAGCTGTCATTGGATAGAGGCGAATCTGCGAGCGAGGTCTCCCTTATTCGCGGCTTCCGGGCAACGATCCCGTCCTCTGAGTTGAGCAAGCAACGCCGTCGGACGCAACGCGGTGAGCTCGTCGACACGGACCTTGGCGGCGACCGACTGGGTCTTCGTCGGCTGGGTGAGCGGGCGCGCGGCCTTCTTACAGAGGGTGAGCATAGCGATGGTGAGCGCGAGGACAAGCCTGGGCGCAAGACACGCCGCAGGCGCAAGCAAAGCCGAGCCTCGCGCGAGGCACTCCTCGCGTCCAATCTCCATCTCGAGGACCTACTCAAGCACGCCGACGAGATCGCGCAGGACAAGGACAATCTACGTGTGCGGCAGAGCCTTGTCAATGCCGAGATTGCCCAGGTCACTGCCAAAATCGGCACGCTCGAGGAGATTCGCCGCCGCCTGCAGAAGAGCTTGCTCAAGCTACAGGAGGAGAGCCTCGAGCTCGACGACGAGCTCGAGGGCGTGCAGGAAATGATGGCGTCGCCGAGCGTCACTTCTGCAGCTGGTACCAAGGCGCTGCCTCCTACGACGGCTCCGCCCGTCAAGAGCTCGCGGCGGCGAAAGGGGCCCGCATTCTTGCCCTCTGAGCATGACGAGCTGCCATCGGGAGTCGCATTCATGGTGAGTGCGCCGAAAGAGCCGGCTAGGAAAGAGTTAGCGTGGCTCCGCCCACCTCTTTCACGGAAAGAGAGCTGCTGCCCACTCCGTCGTCGAGAGGGCGTCTCAGACGCCCGAGCCACCTGCAATGTTGCTCGAGCTAAGAGCTGTGTGTGGCTTGGCTTGGGGGTCATTGCCTTGTGATTTTGAGGGCGGTAGGACACATCAGGCGCCTTTTCGGCTGCTGTTCTCCCTTTGCCTTGCTTCTCCCGACAGCGCCCTCAGTCGGCCTCGTCCACGCATCATCGGCCCTTCATCGTGCAACGCTAACTCCAGTCACTCCAAGGTCACACTGGCCCCATCACCGCTCTCGATTTCAACGAGCCCTACGGCATGCTTGTGACAGCAGGACAGGACGACATCGTCAAGGTCTGGGACTTGTGCGACGGCGAGACAGTCGGCGAGTTGCGAGGACACAAGGGCTGCGTTAAGACGGTGCAAGTGGAGGATACACTCTGCCTCACTGGAGGAGCGGATGGGAACGTCAAGATGTGGGACTTGCGCCTCGTCGAAGACTACGAAGACAAGCTGCGCGAACAGTCGGAGAAGGCGCGGCGTGATCCGCTGTCGAGCATTGCCGAGCAGAACGAAGGCGGCGGCGAGGACGAGGAAGAGCCACCGAAGGAGGATCCAGGGCCGTGCGTCCGCACTCTCGAGGGGCATAGCAAGGCGATTACGGCCATGTACTACGAGGCGGGGACTCTCGTGACCGGCTCGTCGGACAAGACCTTGCGACAGTGGGACGTATCGACCGGGCAGTGCGTCCAGACGATGGACATCCTTTGGGCTATCAGCAACCCGCCAGTAGTGCCGCTGTCGCCGCGCAAGAAGGCCAGACCGGGCTTGTCGCACCGATCGTCTACATCTTTCGGCTCGGTGCAGTACGACGACATACTCCCCTCCCCCGGAGGCGTGCCCAACCCGAACGCAGCGCAGCAGCAGCTCCTAGCCGCCGTCACGGGGCAGTTTGCCGTCCCCACCCCGCCGTTCGCGGACGGCACCTGGGACATGTACCAGGACTTTGTTGGAGGCGTACAGTTCTGGGGTTACGCTCTGGCGAGCGGGTCTGGGGACGGTGCCGTGCGCATGTGGGACATGCGGACAGGCCAGGCCCACAGGACACTCACCGGTCACACCGCGCCTGTGACGTGCATCCAATTCGACGAGCACAACATCGTTTCAGGCTCGCTCGACAAGACCGTCCGCGTAAGTTACGACCCTCGATTGTGCTGACAGGCAGATATGGGACATGCGGATGGGTGCCGTGTCCGAGCTACACAAGTACGAGTACCCCGTCACGGCGGTGCAGTTCGACAGCCGCAAGGTGGTTGCGGCCGTGGGCGAGAACGGCGTTGAGGTGTACAACCGCACCACCGCCGAGCATTCACGTCTCGTTGTTAACGGGCACACCAAACCAGCTGAACGCCTGCGCTTCATGGACAAGTACCTCGTATCCGGTGGACGCGACGGTTGTGCGAAGGTATGGGCCATGTAGCGCCACTTGCATGCACATCATTCAACGGCGGTGGCGACAATTCGCTTTCACTGAACGGATGGCTGCCGGGGTCAAGAATATCAGTGTGTGACTGGACAGCAGAGGAATGAGCTGTCTTCGGCGTAGATCTCATCATACGTGACTCAGGCCTCGGCCTCTCATACATTGCCAGTCTCACCCTCTCCAGCTGACGCATGTCGCACCGAACTTGTCACACACGCTTGGCGAATTCCTCCAGTTGAGCGCGCAGCGAGCGGCCCTTGCCGAGGTGATTCTGGATCTGCTTGGCCGTAAGCCCAGTCTGAGGTGAGCGCTAGCAGGTCGGCCTGACCACAACCCACCTCAGCCTGCGTCGCCGCAATGTTGCTCCCCATGACAGAGGCGATGCCGCGCTCAATGACCATCTCGACGAGGCGCTGCCGCCCTTCACCATTCGCCGCGGGCTTGGGGGCGCGGGGCCTGCGGTTGGGTTTGGCCTCCACGGCGGGCTCCGCTCAGGACTGGGGCGCGTGTAGGGCGTCGAGGTCGTCGGCTCGCGCTTGATTGCTGGCATGGTGAAGTGGGAGGTGGTGAGATGAGCGGGTGAAGAAGGGAACGAGAGGAAGAGCGGCATCACGATGAGGGTGTGAGCGATGAGGGCGAGAGTGCAGACCGAGGTTGGGGCGCAAGAGGTGGGCGCCCTTCTGAGTTGGCTCGCCCCGCGCATGTCAGGTCTTCACAAATCAGTTTCGCCCGTCGCTGCCCCCATGCTTCTTTCGCTCTCATCAGCATCCAATGCACCTGGTCCCCACCACTACCCTGGCGCCTGGTACAAGCTTCACTCCCAGCAAGCCGCGTCAGTAAAAGTCAACTGCACCGCGCCTTGGCGCGACGTCCCAAGGTCACTTGTCTCCAGGGACCCAACCTCTCGATATTGGAAAGCTAGTCTGCTCAAGTTCAACTTGCAATCAACATGTTGAGGTTCCTTCGCTGTCAGCTGGGTTGAAGCCTCGCAGGCACAATGGTCGAGGCCGTGGTCCACGCCGAGTGAGCGATCTATACCGGTGTATGACCTCCGGAGCTCGCCTCCACCTTGGCCTGGGACTCGACGACTGCGGCCTCGAGCGGATCGCGTTTCAAAAAGGCAGGCGTCAAGGACGATGATGATTTACGTGAGGCCTTGTGGTGCTTCCGACTTCACCCCTCTGGACCAGCACACCGGAAGGTCGGCTCAGTCAATCTGCTCAGACCGCAGCCCATAGTGAAGCTGGAAGCTGCGCCCAGCGAGCGCTAATGGTCAGTGTAAGGGAGACGAGGGACGGAATCGTTGCCGAAAGTCTTGGTGCCGCCGGTTTCAGACCGCAAGTCCGGGGAGTCCATTCCCTGTTCGCCCATTCGTCACTCCTCACAGATCTCATGCCACGACGCAGCATTCCTCGTCTTTCACACGCGGCACTCCTCGGATTCACTCGGCTTGCAAAGCATCATAAAGGCACAGTAGGGAAGCCTGCTGGTTCCACGCTCAACGATCTGCGATTATGTCAAGGGCGTCTGCCCGTCAATGTGGCGCATGTCAATGTGGCGCAGATCAATGTGGCACACACGGGACCAAAATGATGAGATCCTCCATTCCAAGGTCATTACAACGCCATGATTAGTGGGAGTGTCAAGCTGTTGCAGTAACAAAAAAGGTAGTAGATAAGCTAGGCGTGAGTACGACTCATGCTTCCTCATGCCTCGATCGTCCTGTCGTAACCCAAAGCAGTTAGCGATGGGGGAGTTATGATGCCTGCATGTCGTCATCATTTGGGCGTTGTGCCAGTGGCTCACGGGTGTCGGATACTCACTCGTTCATCTTGTCTCGCTTCACACTCCTCACTGATCCATCTCTCTCTCCAACTTGACCGATGGCACCTTGGTCCAGCAAGAAGCCGGCCGAAGCAAAGAAGGACCCTTCCCTGGGTGCTCCGCACCCCAACTTACCCCCGAGTCATGCCCAATCCGGCTGGGCGGCCAAAGCACTCCATTTGAGTGATGAGCTCGGCGGCAAGCTCAACGAGTTCACTGCGAATAAGTGGGGCATTGAGTCGTTCTGGCCTACGAGCGGCGACTTTCCCCGCGAGCTGGAGAAAGCCGCGCGCATCTTGAAGGCCTTTACCCGTATGTGGCGCCCGATGGAGACCAAGGCCCCTTCATGAAGACTAACACTAGTCCCCGACGCAGACCCCGCCGGGCCTTCTCCCGAGGCGAAAGGGTCCACCGCAGCCCTCCGCATCCCGCCTTCGCTCATCGCCCACGCCCGCGGCCTCGCCATCTACTCGTGCTTCCGCACAGGCTGGGCTCCTGTAGGCGGCGGCATGGGATCGGGAGTGGTGGTCGCGCGCCTGGCGGACGGCTCATGGTCGGCACCCGCGGCGATCTGCCCGACGGCCGTGGGCGCGGGGGTGAGAAGCGACCGGTAATCGGCTAACGACAGATGCAGATCGGACTGGACGTGTACAACGCCGTCTTAGTCATTCGGAGCGAGAAGGCCCTCGCCCAATTTGGCGGACACCGCGTGGCGCTCGGTGGCGAAATCTCGGTCGCTGCTGGCCCCTATGGTGGGGGAAAGGGCGTAGACAAGGGCCTCAGCCTTGACACAGGCCCCGAGGTGTACGCGTACATGCACAGCCGCGGGGCGTATTTCGGCCTCGAAGTGGTCGGCACTGTCTTCGTGAGCCGCGCCGACGAGAACGCCGCCATGTACCACTGGCCTGGAATCAAGGCGAGCGACATTGTGGGTGACATCGTTAACGAGGGCACACTTACAGCAGCTCGGGGGCAAGGTCCCTGTGCCCGCAGAGGCCTCAAGCTTGATGCAAACCCTCCGCGCGGCCGAGACGGGCGTGGCGCAGTGTCCCAACGTGGCTGTATATGGCCCAGGTTTCGGTGGCGAAGGGGCCCATGGGAGCCAGCACTCCCCCAGCGCATACGATTACGACACTAAGCTGGTACCACGCACCCTAGTTGGCTGGGATGCATCCCGAGAGAATGCCGTTGGCAGTTCCAGCACCGTTCGACCAGCCCTCTCGCATCTGGATGTCCATTCTCCCGTACCCCGCGGGAAGGGAGGCTCTCCATCGCGCACTTCGCCGGGGGGAACGCGTTTCGTGCCGCCTCTCCCGCAACGCGGCCAGTCGCCTCTTCAGGCTGATACCAAAACCGACGCTCCTCCCCCGTACTCGCCGTCGGGCTGAGTTGTCACCACCACCTACGAGTCTGATATGGCATCGAGATTATCCAGTGGCTAGAAGCAGAATGTCTGTCGTGAGATGAAATGTTCAGTATTGATCTCCGCGCCAGTGTGTCGGTCATGAGAGCCGCCAGCGCTAGACCGCCCTCGTGATTCTTAACAGAACCCTTTCAAGATCAGCGCTAGGCGTGAACTGATAATCCTACAACTGCTTGCGCTCGCCGAGTTCGCAATATCAGTTGCGTCCCTGCGACGTCTAAAGCGGTAAGTCGTGACCCGTGACTGATAAGTTGGAGGTGAGCTGAATACATGCTACTCATTCGTGCCTCAGCTCCTTGTAGCAAATCCTCTCGTGCCGGCGCTGCGCGGTAAACAGACATGCTGAATGCTCGTCGCCTCAGAGCTTAGCTGCGGTGTCCCGTTGGCGGCGGGTGGCAAGACGCCGACCCGATGTCGCGCGGGCAACATCGCGCGCTCGCTAACCCATTGAGCAATCCTTTGCCGAGGGTGTCGAACGCCAGTGCTTGCGCCAGCGACGCCTCAGTCCGGAATCCTCGCGGACATTGACGGCCTGCCTTGAGGACAGCACATCTGAAGTCCGAGGGAGTTCTGTCACCGACATTGTGCTTGGAATGTCGTGGGCCAATGCTGCCGTTGTACTACGCAATGTAGGCGTAGCAGATCCCTTTGCCGGGCAAACGTCCTTTGGCTCCGCGCCGTCGCCTTACCATCACTATTTCCGGGTGTCCCTCAGTATGGCCACCGACGGCGAGCATTGTGTGCTGCAAGAGAGGCGTCTGCGAATCGCAATGATTTGAACACGTAGGCCACAGCACTGGCCGACGGCTTTAGGTGTGCATGAGTTTGACCTGGAGTGACGCTGATGAGGGGGTGGGATGAGTGACCCGAGGTTGATGAAGGGAGCCGGGCTGGCAAATCGTCCGGTATTCTGGTAGCTGTGTTATCCACGTCCATTTGCTGGGATGGGCTGTTGTCGTTCACCACTGTGGCTGGAACTACGTCCAAGCTGTCAGGATCTGGCATAGCCGTGTCGATGTCCATCCTAATGTCGCCATTGTAGTCGACCGTCTCGTTTGCCTGGGAGTGTAACCCCTCTTGTGTCCCAAACTCGAACTGCACACCCTGGTGGGAATACATCGAGTGCGTATTGGAGGCGACTGCTACATGGTCAGAGTGATACTTGCTCGGACTCACTGTGCTGCGACTCTGGCGGAGCCTTGCTCACGATGCGTGACCTGACCATCGAGTCTCGTCCCACATGTTCCATCGGGTGTACGTCCTCTGTGCGACCCCGAGTGGTATAGCAGTCATTGCTGTCGTGATGGTGCTGATAATGACGATAGTAATCGGGGTCGCGAGTGCCGTGGCCAAGCAGATTGGCATTGCTGTCGGCGACTTGATTGTTGTTGACGCGGCGGCCTCCCAATACCTCGTTCGCGTTCGGGACCGAGAGGCAGGTCGCGATGTGCGCCAGCTGGTCGAGAGACGTATTCATCGATGGAGATGCGTTCGTCGGAGTGGGGAAGTGATGCGACGATATGAGGTCGCGATGATGGGAAGAGGAGGCGACAAAGCAAGACAGATGAGCATCGTGATTGTGAACTGGGACCACCTCAACACCGACGGAATCAAATGTGTCCCCTTTCAAAAAGGCTGGACAGTGCTTGTTGAGACGCAATGTCACTATCGCTGCTCTCGTCCGCGTCCTCGGCCGGTGTACGGGGCAGCGCTGCCTTCGTAGCGGCACGTACATCGCTATAGTCCTTAATTGATTGCATGCATGCATGCTGTACAGAGAAAGGATACTGGTGTATTGACTGAGCTTTGAAGAAGTGATCTCATGCAATCTTCATGGACTGTACCGCAATGTGGGATCGAATTTCACTGCTGTTAGCTTCGCCACAGCGCAGTGCCTCACAAGCATCACTGGCGATAGCGTGCAGCATGTCCACAATGTTCCTCGCGGAGGACACGTCGTCTTCACGTCCCGTCTTGCCACTCTCGTCGCCGCCCTTGCTGCCGCTCTTGTCCCCGCCCCCTTCGCTACTCTCATCGCTACTCTCGTCGCCGCCCTCATCACCGCCCTCGCCATCCCTCTCCGATCGAAGTTTTTGGGCTGCCGCGACCAGTGTCTTGAGATGCTCATGGACAGCCTCCACCAAGACCTTCTCCCGTTCCGCGGACCCAGATGGGGCTTTGCGAAGGGAAAACGACGCAGCTCGTTTTCCGTTCTCAAAGCCGAGTTGAGCGAGGTGGGCGTCGGCCCCGTAGCCTGCAAACGGCATCCATTCGGGAAAGCCCAGCGTGTCAGATGAAGGGTTCACTTGCAGTTTCTCGAGGTCGCGCAAGAGCGAGGTGGTGCGCGTGATGTCCCTCTCGAGAGTTTGGGCCAAGGCGCGAGGGGCACACTTGTGGTGTGCCAGCGGACTGAGCAAGTGGGCCGAGAGGGGTATTTCACGCGGGGTCGAGCCTGCGGAGTCGGCATGCGGGGCGGGAGGGTTCACGAAGTCGGCACGCGAGGTGAGCCAGGTCGGCTATGTGCGCTCCCCATCAAACGCAAATCCAATGTTAAGAGGGGGGATGGCGGGGCCATCGTCTGTCTCCTGCAGACGTAACGAGTTCAAGTACACGTTCTGAGAGGTGGCTGCCGGGCTGCTCGAGGACGAGCCGGCCACCCATCGCGAGTTTGTCTTGAGCTGGCGGTTCTGAGTACTGCTGCGCTGGAGGCCCATGTCAGACCCGCGGCTTTTGCGGCGCTGTTCCTGCTTTGCTCGCGCAGCCCGGGCCTTGTGCACACGCTTCAGAGCGATGTCCGTAGACTGGGCACCGGACCATTGTGTGCCATTGAAGATCCCAGTCCCTTCGAGGTCGGCGATAAATCTCTCTTGCTCTCAGCTGATTCACACGTCCTTCTTCAACTCACGCTTTACCTCGCATACCTCGGCGTCCTCGCCCAGCCGCCGTGCAACAGTCAACACGCGCTCCAGAGAGGCGATATGTTGCATTTGCAAGTCAATGAGCTCTTCGACCGTCTCTCCATCGGGAATTTCAAGGCTGTGTCCAAGCACAAGTGGCAGCGGCCAGTCTCTGCGATGTTGGGCGAGGGCGGTCGCCAACGACGTGATGTGGTAGCGCAGGTGGCCGAGGAGGGTATACAGCGACTTCGCCTCGCCCTTCGCAGCTTCGGTGCGCACTTGTTTTAACGACGGAAAGGGCTGCGGCGAGCTCGTAGTCTGCCTCCTTGATCGTGTAGGCTCGCTTTGGCTTTGGTCAATCGCCACCAAGCGGTGCTGTAGACAGTCGTCTACCAAAGCAGCGAGAGGCAGGATTGTCCGCTCCAGATGGCCAATGGCTGTGTGTAGCCTTGCTGCAGTGTCATTGGGGTAGAGGATATACAGCCTCGGCGGGTAAATTGGGCTGACGGACGCGAGGCCCGCGAAGACATGGAAGATGGCACCCAAGTGCAGGGCGTACTGAGCACCGTTAGCGCGCCGCCGGAGCGAGGCTGCCTGAAGGTGAAGACGATTGCACAAGCGCAAGTGAAGTAGTGAGACTCACGTAGCGACCGAATTGCGCGTAGGCTTTGCATGTGCGAGCCGCCTTTGTTTCGTGCAACACTTTGCGAACGAGGGCTGCTGTTGGGTCTGCTTGGTGTGTCAAGTCTGTTGCGTCGGACGGACATGGCGAGCCCGTGGTGCTGGAAGATGTAGAGGGCGACAGGGTGCCCAGGTTGTCATGCCTGATACGATTGCTGGACGATGGAGTCATGTAGTAGTCGTGGGATGTTGCAACAGCTGCCCAACCTCAACGACTGCTGAGAGCATTTGGTCGCGGCGTCTCGGCTCAACAACCAACCTTGGTTGCGTCATTGGCCCAATCAGCGTCCGCCCACCACAACACATTATTCGTTCGGTCTCCACTTTCCACCCACCTGCCTATCTCTCTCGCCGTTCATTATGTCTACTCAAGACCATGCGCCAAATGTCAAGCCCGACACAGTAGCCCTTGGGGAGGCCGTATGTAAACAGGACAGCGAGCGACGATCTCTCACACATAGTATTACACGCTGTTGCGCAATGTCTCGCGCATCTCCGACGAACTTGCTAGCGCGGCTGGTGTCACCTCGACCACTTCGACGGTGCAGCGTGGCATCAAACGCGCACGGAGTGCCGACAGTCAGAAGCGCAGCGTGACGCCGGCCAGCTCGACTCCCAACAATGTGGCTCCCGTGCAGCATTGGCGGCGTGACCTCCCACTGGGAGCACAGGACGCACTGGAGGCAGCATTGGAGAGGGCGCAGACAAGCCTTGCCGGCGATTTGCGGCTGGACAACCTCCTGCCAGCCATGCTGGCCCTCGAAGCAGCATTGGATCGTGCACAAGGAAGTCCTCGTGCAATTCGGAGAGCCCAGGACAAGCTTGGTGCAGCGGTTGATGAGCTCGAGCGTATGAGGGCTGGTGGCAGTTGAGAAGATCCATCAGCCCTTTGGAGGGCAGGCGAGTGCGATAGCAGTCCAGCCGGTGTCAGGCTGGGCGTCGCTGCAGAAGGTTGAGAGAAGTATGCCGCTGCGCACCTAGACACTTGGCTCGGTGTATATTATAAGCTGGTTGTATATGCAACAAAGGTTATCGCCGCGGGGGAGTCTACTACAGCTACATGTAGCGCACAGCCGAGATGCAGCGCTTCTCCCTACACGACTAGCGGATCGCTTTAGACACCGGGACGACGAGGATAAGACGAGTGGGCTGAACAGAGCGCGGCATATCATCGCACGGCCTTACGTGGATGACAGCCGCGGGAGCTTACTCAACTTGGCGGCGACTGCGGGGTTCCAACCAGCTGGCCGGGGGCGAGTGTCGTTCTCTGCAGGGTCTGGGCTGGAAGGTACAGCAAAGGTAACTTTGTGTTTGTTCGGCCTGGTCGGCTTCATCAGTAGAGATGACGGCACCGTGGTAGAGGCAGGGGCTGAGGCTGCGGTTGCGGTAGGGGGAGATATTGGGGTCGGGGTGGTGGTTGCGGCAGAGACGGAGGAGGCTGTGACAGTGGGTGTGGCAAAGATTCGGTTAGGGGTCCTGGTTGTCGTAGAGACGGGAGCTGTATCCGGGACTGCAGGAGGCGGCGTGGGTGTGGGCTCTGGACTTGGGGACAGCGGCGGCAATGTGCTCAACATGGCAGCAATTGTAGAGTTCCATCCTGCCGGCCGCGCGGGAGATCTTGGCCTTAGGTTGGCAGGCAGGGCACCACCATATTTCGCGGCCTCGCCGTTGGGTTCAGTCGTCGACATGCTCGCTGGCACCAATGCGACTGAGGAACCCTGGATTGACCACTGCTCCGTTGAGCTGTCAGGCCCATGGCGTTCCGTGTCGCTCATCGCTGGGGTTGTGGGCAGGTCGGGTGAGAGGCAGTCAGTATCGCTCATCGCTGGGATATCGAAAAATTCTGACGAAGGGGATTCGATGCCGGTTGTCGTTGGGAAGCAGGGCGAAGGGCATTCCGTGCCCATCCTTGAGGTCGCCGGGAGGCCAGGCGATGGGCGCTCTGAGCTCGTTGACATGTTAGCATGTGAGGTCTCCGTGACTCTCGTCGCTTGTGCTGTCGCATCGCCCGAGGGCTGTTGTTCCGTGGCGCTCATCGCTGAAGCCGGTGGGACGCCCTCATGAGAGGGTCCTGCGACACTCGTCACTGGCGCCGTAGGGATGCCAATCGCTGATGGAGGAAGACTGTCTGCGACGGCACCGGTTTGCATCGCAGCTCCGTTTGGCTGAGGTGTGATGGGGGATGCCCACGTTGGCGGGGGCGGCGGAGTGTCTCTCCTCTCCGTGGGCATCTGGCCTCCTTGGCGCTGAAATAGGATGCCGCAGAGAGCGTAGAGGGCGGGCGGCAAGTCTTCAAGCCAATATTCAAACTGGCTTGCCCCACTGAGCATGTTGCTCATGTAGGTGACTGTCCACATGGACACACAGTTCTTGAGCGTGCGCCAGACTTTGTCACGAGCGCAATCGGCACAAGTCTCGTCGGCACAAGTCTCGTCGCAATCAAGATCGGCGCTGAGGAAGACGGCATCAAAGTGTCGCATCATCCACGTCAATGTGAGGAGCATGCTGCCAGCCTAAGAGAGGTCAGCGATCAGCAAGGAAGGCTGGCTTGGGACTTGCCAGATCGCGTGAACGACGCAGCTGCTTGATAGCGTGGTGTCCTGCGTCGCGGCCTGGTGTGGTATCGAAAGTGACCCGGGTGTCGGCAAGAGGAGAGTGGACAGCGTCGGCCCATTTTGAGTAAGACTGCTCGAAAAGAGCGAGATAGTAGTTGGCTTCGTTGAAAGGGACATTGGAATCTTGTGAGGCTAGAGGGTGATCGCGATGAGGTGTGTGGTAGGAGGGAGCGGTGTATTGGAACATGGCGATTGGTGATCTCAGTGTCTCAGTCGGAGACAGCGGATGACTAGCATGCGACGACGACGCGACGACCTTGAGGCGGCGAGGGGGATGACGGAATGGACGCAGCGAGCACAGTGGATGATCAGCCTCCACTTGCATTTCAGAATGAGGTGTAGTTTCAAAAAGAGGGGTAATCACTTGGAATGGAGTTTGTGTCAATGTCCGGGATTGGCTCTGATTGATGGATGAATCAAGAGAAGAGAACGCCCGTATGCCGGAACGCCGATGAAAAAGGGTTTGGATGGAATATAACCGTATAGCCCGCTATAGGGCGATACGGGGGTGACATGACAAGGCAAAGACGATTAGGATAGCTAGGCTAATGGACAAGTAGCTACCGCTATTGCTCCATGCTCTATGCACACGGCGACGGAAACAACACACCCATCTGATGACCACCCACGCACCACCTTTTTGAGTTGGCTTATTGGGATTGTCGTGACCAACGCGGCCCTCGCCTTTCCCCTTCAATCCTGCAATGGCGCAGCTTCCGAGCATCCAACCATGCCAGCTATGCCAGCCAGTCTCCACCCGATCAGTTCAATCCCACAAATGCATCTCCTCTCGTCGTTCATTCTCTCATCACCACCACCACCACCACCCCTCCTCGCCACCACTCCACCTCTCCACGCTGCATCATCATCACTATCCATCCATCCATCTCACCACCCCTAATATCCCACTCTACCGCGTCGCACTTCACATACCCACCTTTGCTTGTGCTGTATTAGACGCGCCTCCTACCTTCTCTCACTCTCACACGCTCAGATAGTCACAATCGCACTCCAACTTGCTCTTGCTCTCGCCCTCGCTCTCGTCTTCTCGCCCTCATCCTCTCTCACTTGCGCCAGGCCTAGCCGGCTAGCTGGCAGGCTGGCCTCACCACTACCACCACCACCACCTTGCTCTCTTCAATTCGACCCTTTGTCTTGTATCACTCTCTTCCTTTCCTTTCAATCGTACCTCAACGTCCCCCCACCCCGCCAGGCGACGAGCTATCATGGTCGACTATGAGCGCGTGCAGACACGCAGAGCTCACCCCTCTACAAGCACCAGCCCAAGTCGTTCATCTCTTCGCATCAGAAACGACATGGACCGCAGCGTACGTCACCCCGCAACAATGTCACTGACCTCGCCGCAGCTTTCTCCCCCGCCCCATCCGGCACCTTCCTCGCGCATGGCATTGTCTGCCCTCGTCAACTCTCCTCCACCAAACTCACCTCCACGCCCCGCCCCTCCACCTAGACAACAACAGCATGAGCCTGTGAGATCCTCGTCAGCACAGTACGCCTACAACTCGTTGTCGTCCTACGATGCCCCTTATGGGTCTCATTCGAGGTCGGATTACTTTGTTCCCCCCGACGTCGGACGTAGCTATCTCCGCCCTGAAGTCAAGGCTCATGGCCGCGCGACTTTCGAGCGCTCTGCCTCTTACGACCGTCGCCCATCTTATGAACAAGCCATCCCCATCGATCGCGGCGGCTATGACGACGACTACGACGACCGCGGGCTGCACTCTCGCCATTCACACGACAGTCGCGCTGGGCCATCGGGTTACGGTTATCGCTCGCCCTCCCCTATTCTACACGCTGCCCCTGCCTTCCAGCCGTACGAGCCCACTTTCCGCTCCGCGCACGACTCACGCGTCGCGTCCCCTGGCGCAAGCTCCAGTATCGGCTCGGAGAGAGGTATGTCTGCAGAGCCGCCCCACATCTTGCAGGATATGGAGCCTCCACCTGTGACGCGCAAGGGCGCTTGGCGGCCAGACGACAGCCTAAACGCCAACGAAGAGGTTTGGCAAGAGCACCTTCGCCAGTTCCAGCAGCGACGCGAGTACGAGGCGGCCACCATCCTCACCTGGACTCCAGAGATGGGCACTGGCAAGCCTGAGCCACCTGTCAAGGTGCCCGTCAAGCGTCGCGGCTGGCCCAAGGATCATCCTACCCGCATCGCTCAACGCGAGGCGAAGGAACGAGCCATAGCCGCTGGAATACCGCTGCCGAAGAAGAAGTACAATCGCAAGCCGAAGCCCTCTGTGGCAGCTAGCGCCGCGATTGACGATGAACTCCTCGGCCTCGCGGAGGGCGACGACGCAAAGCCGAGCAGTCCGATGCCTGCCTCATCTGTCGTCGATGATGATGGCGAGATGACGATCTCGGACCCCACAGGCATCATTCTGCCATGCGGTTTGACGCGCGCCGAAGTCATGACCAAGGTCGAAGCCGGCGACATGCGCGGTCTAACCGAGGACGACGTCAAACAGGTCCAGGACGAGATGTGGCTCAGAAAGAGCGGCCCGCCCCAGCTGCGCAAGGATGGAACGTTGCGCAAGAAGCCAGGCCCCGCAAAGGGCTGGAAAGCGATGCGCAAGATGAGGGAGCAAGCCGCACGTGGGGACGATGACGACAGCGACGCGGCGTCTGTGCTAAACGGCGAAGCCGAAGCCGACATTGCCGCGCTCCTCGACGACGATGGCCCGAAGCGCAAACCTACCAAACGGCGGAAGAAGGACGCCGACGTCAAGCCCGAATTGGACGACGACGTGCGCTCGCGCCTTGGCGAGGAGGAGGATGAGTTGCTCCCATCAGACGCCGAGAACGGTGACTCTCACGCGGCCGCTAAGCCCAAGAAGAGGTCTGGCAAAACCAAGGAGCCAGGCGTCGGCAAGGGCAATTGGACCCGTCCTAACAAGGAGAACAAGCAACACAGCAAGAAAGGCGAGAGCGCCGCATTGCAAACGGCGCTGGAGGCCGTCGTTGACACTGACGCCGAGGCTGCGGAGGTCATCGAAGCTTCACCACAGCGCCCCTCCCAGCACCAGCCCAACACCTATGATCCGCGCGGCGTCTCCGAATCCGAGGCCCGCGTCCGTCTAGAGCTTGTCAATGAGCTACAGCGGCAAGCGTGGACCTCCATCTGCCGTGACGTCCCCAAGGTAGTCACCTTCATGACGCCAATGCTGACTGTTTAGGTCTATCGGGTCAACCAGGCTTACGACAACGTCGTGAAGCAGAACATGCTGCGGACTGCGCAGGCTTGTCAGCGTAACGCGTTCGGTCAGCGCAACCTCAAGACGCATCGCACCAAGATGAACAAGGAGGCGACCGCCAAGGCCAAGAAGGTTATGCGCGAGATGCTCGTGTATTGGAAGAAGAATGAAAAGGACGAGCTGGCCGCGCGGAAGCGCGCCGAGAAGGAACAGCTGGAGAAGGCCAAGGCCGAGGAGGAGGCGCGCGAGGCCAAGCGCCAATCTCGCAAGCTCAACTTCCTACTCACACAGACCGAGCTCTACTCCCACTTTATCGGCAAGAAGATCAAGACTCACGAGGCCGAAGACATGGGCGACGGCGGCGAGAAGCCTGTTGCGCCTGTCGCCCCTCAGGGTGCCGAATTAGAGTTGGACGAGAGCGGCGAGCCGCTCCGGGAGCTCAACTACGATGAAGACGACGACGAAAACATGCGCCGGCACGCCGCTCGCAGCGCGCAGGAGCACATCAAGGCAGCCAAGGACAAGGCAGCAGCGTTCGACCAGAGCCGTGGCCCGGCAAACGGTCAGCTGGCTGACCTGGACATGGACGGCGACGAGCTCAACTTCCAGAACCCGACCATGGGCGAAGATCAAATCACGATCACGCAACCCAAAATGCTCATGGCGCAGCTCAAGGAGTATCAGCTCAAGGGTCTTACCTGGCTTGGAAACCTTTACGAGCAGGGCATCAACGGCATCCTCGCCGATGAGATGGGTCTCGGCAAGACAATCCAATCCATTTCGCTGCTGGCCTATCTCGCCGAGGTGCATGGGATCTGGGGGCCCTTCCTCGTTATCGCTCCCGCGTCTACGCTCCATAACTGGCAACAGGAACTAGCCCGCTTTGTGCCACGTCTCAAGACCATCCCGTACTGGGGAGCCCCAAAGGACCGTGAGACCCTCCGCCGCATCTGGAACCGCAAGAACCAGACGTTTACAGAGGATTCGCCGTTCCACATTGTTGTGACCAGTTACCAGCTGGCCGTGCAGGACGAGAAGTATTTCCACATGATGCGCTGGCAATACATGATTCTCGACGAGGCACAGGCAATCAAAAGCTCGTCGTCCGCGCGGTGGAAGTCGCTTTTGTCGTTCAATTGCCGCAATCGTTTGCTTCTGACTGGTACCCCCATCCAGAACTCGATGCACGGTGAGTGTGACATTGATCGACCGCCAAACTGACCTCAGAATTATGGGCTCTGCTCCACTTCATCATGCCTTCTCTATTCGACTCGCACGACGAATTCTCCTCTTGGTTCAGCCGAGATATCGAGTCTGCCGCGAGCGGTGACAATGCATCTCTCAAGCCGGAGCAGCTCAAGCGTCTCCACATGATCCTCAAGCCGTTTATGCTGCGCCGGGTCAAGAAACACGTGCAGAAGGAGCTTGGAGACAAGATTGAGATCGACGTCCTCGTCGACTTGAGCCAGCGGCAGCGGGAACTGTATCGCGCGCTGCGCAAGCGCGTGCCTATCGGCGAGCTCATCGCACAGGCCAATAACTCGAACGATTCGGCAAGCACCAAGCACCTCATGAACCTGGTAATGCAATTCCGCAAAGTGTGCAGCCATCCCGACTTGTTCGAGCGCCAGGACGTCATGTCGCCTGTCGCGTTCGGTACATTCAGTCACAGCGGCAACCTGGCACGCGAGGTCGATCTCTACTGCCCGCACTCTATCCGCAACCCGATCGAGGTCGAGCTGCCCCGCTTGATTTGGGACGAAGGCAAGCTCGATGTGCCAAGTGAGGCTAGCAAGGCTGGCAACGAGTCACACGTGCTGCACAACCTGATGAACATCTGGAAGACCGACTGGATCAACGAATCGTTGAAGGGGAACGATTCAGAATTTGCGTTCCTCCGCGTGGCGGGAGTGTCTCCTGCCGAGGCAAGTCGACAAGCGAGAAGTCATCCGCTCGTGATGATGCTCGACGGCGTTTCAGCTTCTCGCGGGGTCATTGTTCGTGGTCCTTTTGCGTCTGATCGTGACTTCGCAGCCTCCTCGGACAAGCGGTTCATGTCGATGGCGCCGAGGATACCGAACGCCGCCCTCGACGATTCACAACTGCCCGCTCTCCGAGACATCTCCCGCCAAGTCTGGAATCAGTCGTTCCTCTCTCGTGCCGAAGCACGGTTGCCTTCAGACCGCGTCGTTGCGCCGGCTATCGTGCCCACTGTATCGAACCGTCGCTCGTATGTCAACATGCAGGAACGGCTCGCCGAGGACCCCATCGCCCGTGCAGCACTTTACGGCGTCGCCGACAGCGAGCGCGATAACGCACAAGCTGTGCGCGACCTGCACGCGATTGTTCCCGGCGTGCCACCCCAGGGTCTCCTCGGCGCGGCCTATGCCGATCAGCGTCCCGTCTCGACACTCCGTTTCCCATCAATGAAGCGATTTATTGTCGACTCGGCTAAACTTGCCCGCCTTGATGACCTTCTTCGAGAGCTCAAGGAGGGTGGCCACCGCGTCCTCCTCTACTTCCAGATGACGAGGACACTTGACTTGGTCCAGGAGTTCCTCATCTCAAGGCGACACAAGTACCTGAGGCTGGATGGTTCGACACCCATCGGCGAGCGCCGCGACATGGTCACGGCATGGCAGACTAACCCTGACATCTTTGTCTTTTGCCTGAGCACACGCGCCGGCGGTCTGGGTATCAATCTGACAGCCGCAGACACGTGTATCTTGTAAGACTGATTGAAATGACCCTGCTGACGCCAGCTTTGAGCATGACTGGAACCCCAGTAACGATGCCCAGGCGATGGACCGAGCCCATCGTGTTGGTCAGACTAAACAAGTCACGGTGTACCGCCTCATTGCGCGCGGCACGATTGACGAGCGCATCGTGCAGCTGTCGCGGGCGAAGAAGGATGTTCAGGACATTGTTGTGGGCAACAAGGGCATTGCGGATATGGCCAAGCCGACCGAAATCGCCTCGCTGTTCATGGACGACGAGGAGCTCGCCGAGTCGGTGGCCAAGCGCAAGCAAGCAGAGGCGCACGGATATACGGCGCCTGCGTTTGGACAGGAGCGCAAGAGTGCATTTGGCGACAATCTGCGCATCGACGAGGATGAAGGCGACGACTTTTTCTCGGCCAAGCGCCAGGTGGCCAACGACGATGACGACGAGGCGCCGAGTGGCGCGCGCACGCCAGTGCCGACCAAGAAGCGCAAGAAGGACGCGGCCAAGCCGCGCGCAAAGAAGGTCAAGATTGCTCTGGGACCGGACGGTCTCCCCATTTAGCCTCCGCCCCCTGCTTGTTCTGCGTATCACACATGTTGTTATACCCCGCATATGATCCTGTAGATGCATGTCACGTCATGGGGACCAGTCGCAGTCTGACGTTGGCGCCTTATCTGAGTGTTTTCCGGGGTCGCGGCTGCGGGTCGCGGTCGCGGTCGCAGTGAAGCGGCGCTGCCTCATAACCACACATCTCGAACGAACGTGTCGAACCAGAGATGCAGCACATCACCCGGCGTCGAAGATCCGACTGCCGGCGTAGCCAATGGCAGTCTGAGCAAGCGCCTTATCTGAACCACCCATGCAAGACTGGGTCCGGCAACTATGTCGGCGACCGGCTTATTAGCCTCTGGCTGAAACAGGCCATGCTGAGAGTGACAATGCGGGCGACGCGCGCCCCTTCTGTACGCATCGCCAGCTCGCCAGATCGCCAGATCACGAGAGCACAACCGATGAATGCCAGGGCACAGGGCTGGATGCCTGGTCGGTTCCCGCGGCGCCGCCAGCCAGCGGCCATTGCAGTGGCGTACTGAATTGTGAATGGGTTGTGTTGTGTGTCTGCGGGAGGCTCACGAGCCATAACTCGACCTGGATCTTGTGAGGACTCGACGGGCACCGCGTGCGTACGGTCAGACATGCCGCGTCCTCCTCACTTCTTCCCTCGGCTCTTCCAAACGAGGCTCATCAGCGTCCTCGCGCCCGCATGCAAGTTGTCTCGGCTATGGTGACATTTGTATGGTGACATAGCACCTCTGTGAATACTACAATGGGACTCTATGTAATCGCCAGTCTTTGACGGGAAGCGTCTCTTGGACAGGTCGACCTGCCAGCTTGCATGCCCTCGGCCTGCTTTGACTGTGGTCGTGCAACATTTCACGCCAGACACTGCCCCGACCAACACCTTCGTCACTAGGACTCTTTTGCTCCACGTGATCCCGAGATCCTCCTTGGCCATCACGCACAGTTGGTCGCTCATGACCCCGCTCACGCGGCGCGCGGCTCAAGCCCAGAGGGCGAGCGGGCGCGCGGCGGAGGCTGGGGGCCGGCTCTACCATGTACAGTGAGGTTCCAGAGGCCGCGAGGGCACGCCAAAGCTCCAAAGCCAGCTCAGAGAGGCATGGGCCGCGACAGAGTCACAGCACTCATATCACACTCGCAACAAGTCTCAACAGAACCAAAAGGGACTCACAAAAGGCCAGGGCCGGCGCGCGGCGCCGCACGAGGTCGGACCCTATACACACACGATCAACGAGGTCGATCGGATTGGAGGTTGTGGGTTGTCCAAGGTTGGGTGAAGAGTGGTTGGATGTACGGGTGTCTTTTGATTGTTTTCGTCTACTTCTGATCGTCTCATCATCGTCTAGCTGCCTCGATTGCACACTAGATGTCGACCGCCGCCTCACGCGTCGCCCACGCCCACTCATTGGCGCCCAATCCCGACCCGTTGAGAGCCGAGATTGAAGGGCCTCCGGCCTGCTCGGGCTGCTTGGCCTCGAGCTCGGCAAGGAGGTCATCGAGACCCCTCATTTCCGAGTCGTCGAATGCGGCCGCCTCAGTAACCTCGAACCAAGCGCCCGGCGCCGAGCCGCCCACTTGGAGCGAGAGGTTGGATGCGCCATTGGCCTCGAAGAGGGACGCGCCCGCGGGGAGGCCGAGGTCCAGCCCCGAAGCCGAGCCAGCTCGACGATCACCCGCGCCACGACTGACAGACGCCGCTGGGTGGCCGGCGAGTCCAAGTTGATTGTCACAAAGTCCCTCGCCCGCTGCAGGGCCACGCTGCGCCTCTGTGAAGAGACATCAGACGGGGTCGCCACCGCTGCTGGGTGGCGAGCGAGGGGAGTAGACAGGTCAACATAGGACTGGCTGGCGTCGCCATTGGCGGTCGCCGGAGTGTGGGTGGACGAGTAGTGGTGAGTAGCGTCGAGGTGGCTTTCGAGGTGAAGGGGCGAGGCGACCTGGTGGTGGGGCTCAGAGGCGTAAAGGGGCGGCGAGAGCGTGGCCTCCATGCCGGGATGGGACGGAGGCTGGTGCAGAGCAAAGGCCGGGGGAAGGAAGGGCGCGGGGGTGGCATTGCCGGTGGGGCAGGACGAAAAGATGCTTGAAGCCTGGCGGACAAGGTTCTCGAGCATGTTGACGCGCCAACGCAGCTGCTCGTTCTGAAGGTAGAGCTGTGCGGGGTTGCTGGGAGCCATGGTCATGGGCGACTGCATGAGGTCCTGTGGCGGGGCGGGAGCCGGGGTGGCAGGCGCGGGAGCCTCAATGTTGGGGATGTCGGTAAGGACATCGGCAGGAGGAGGCAGGACGGTTGCGAGGGAAACACCACAGCCTGCTTTGACAATCTCGGACGGGATGCCAAGGTCGCTGGCAAGGGATAGGACGCTGTGCGCAGGTGAAGACTCGCGCGTCTTGCTGGGCGTTGAAGGGGCGCTACCTGATCGAAGGGCTCGGTTTTCGGCCTCGAGCTCGACGACACGAGCCTCGAGCCAAGCCAGGTGAGCCTTGCGCTGGTTACGACTGCGCTGGGCCGACTCGCGATTCCGAAGAGTCTGGGTATGTAAGCTTCGGCCGAAAGGATATGGGAGAGTAGTGGACCAGAGGTTAAAACTCACCCTGGCTTCGCGGCGCGCCTTCTTTGCAAGCTCTGCCTCGGTCATCTCATGGTCTGCAGGGTCAAGCTCCTTGAGCTCTTCGTCCTCCTCGTGGTCATCGTCGGCTGGGATGGAGCGAGCGCGCTTTGATGGTGGTGGGGATGAAGCGGAAGCGGAAGCAGAACGCTTTGACGATGACGCGGCGTTTGATGCGCCTTGGGTGGTGGTGGTGGCGGCGGTCATTGAGGTGGAGCAGTGGGGGGAGATGGGGTATGTGATGATGATGGAAGAGGGTATCTTAATGGAGATGGGAAGATGGAGATGGTGCAGACGATGGAGTGACGATGGTGACGATGGGGACGATGTCGACGTGGCAGTGTCAAATGGAGAGGACGAGTGTTGGAGGGGTATAACAAGAAAGAGAAAGAGAAGGAGAAAGAGAGATGAGGAAGGAGGCAGTGCAATGGGGGGGGGGGGGCGGGCGATCGAGTGGGATGTGCGTGTGCGTGGGAGACGAGTGAGCGAGCGCGAGGAAGGTGGGTTAAGTAGTATGTCGACGTGGAACCAGTCCATGCAGTCCAAAGAGCGGTGTGAATGAACCGCTCTGGCCGCCGCCTCAGCCGCCTCCCTCTCTCGATCTCCCCTTCCCTTTCTTTTACCCCTGCGCCACATGTCCCCTCCTCATGCCTCCCTCCCCATAGCACACATATTCTCAGGGTCACAAGTCCAGACAAGACCGTTTTCACTCCTCCCTCAACCCTGTTGTACCCTGAGTGCTGTGACGTTCCGTTGCAAGGTCGAGTTTGAGATCCGACCGCATCCCACCTTGGCCCTTGGGCGATATTATTTAGCAATTAGCACTGCAATACTACTGCGATATGCAGTGCTATTACTGCGATTACTGCTGAGCATGCTGAGCCGTTTGCTCATGACCACCTCTTGTGCTCTAGTCGTAAAGTCGAGGCTCTCCTCCGCCTCCGCCTCGGCGCCTACACACCGCTATTGGTACCATGCACCACGCGTCTATGTATGTACAATTGCACTCCCTCTTTAGTGACACTCGTATCATAGGCCCAAGCTTAGGTAAGATTGCATTCACTTTCCTCCTCCCACAACCAACTGATCGCTCGGCGCCCTCCTCCATCCCCCAGCCAGCGCCACTCGCAGCGAGCAGCTAGCTGGGCGGAGCTGGGCGCAGCTGGGCGGGCTGGGGCGTCGAGGGCGTGCGTGTAATGATGATGACATCTTGCCAGTGACCCTAGACCACAAGCACGCCCATGCTCCAACGCTCCGGCGCATCCAGCACCCAAGACACGAAACTGACCTATGATACAGCCTACTCATAGTCCCTCGCCAGGACAAAAGTTAATCAGATAATGACCCATGGCCGAAGCCGCGAGACCCAAGACATCCGTGAATCGCCCATGCATTGACCAGTCTCTTTGGAGCACCAAGCTTTTGGCGGTGGCGCGAGCCCGAGCTTTTACCCGGCCGGGCCCGATACAATAGGCGGCGCGATTTGATTCGACAAGTTGGTGGTGCGAGTCCGTGACAATCGACAATTGATCGCGGGGGCGTGGTGGGCGGGAGACTATGGGTGGGGTGGGCGATACATCTCCCCGTTCCCGGTTGCGATGGATGAGGCAGGATCCGTGCGGGTGTGTGGTCGAATAGGCGCACAGGTACATGGCGCTGTACTGCGATGTGAGGCTGTTGCGAGATACCTCGCTGCTCGCTGGATCGCTGAATCGCTGCATCGTTGGATCGCTGGATCACCGGCCGCCAGTACCGCCAGGCGCCAGGCCAACAGGCCATGCATCCAGCATCCAGGCCGGACGAGCTGGGGCGCTTTGGGCACGTATGCACAGATATACAGATATACAGATATACAGATATACAGATACAGCTCACAGATATAGATGCGCCATCGCGACACCGCCACAACATTCTCGCGATCTTGCAATCTTGCATGTTGCAATCACCCGTTGATGCGCGTACGCGCGTCGCTGCGCCGCAGTCTCCGCGCGGTCCCCGCCCAATGGCCGATTACCGATTAGAATGGCATGGTCGTGCAGCTTGCAGCTAGCCAGCGCGTTCCAGCACCGGGCGGAACAGGCATGCACGGATCGCACGGAGGCCTCATGGCCGCATACCGTCTCTCCAGCTCTCCAACCTCCAAACCCACACGATCGGCGGACGGAGACGAGGGATCAAAGGCTCTTGCGTTCAGAGATCAGAGATCAGCTAGATCAGAGACACGCGAAACGACCTCGTGCGGTATCCCATAATCCATCGCATTCCATCACTTTCCGACGGCCCACGGCCGATCGCCATGTCCGATGAGCCAACCGCGCAGCTGCGGCCTGTCCCTCGTCCCTCGTCGCGCCGTCGCACCTCTCTCGATCCGACGATCACTCCGGCATGTGCAGCATGTGCATGCGTCACCCTCACATCACTTGCATTCGCACCACTCTCGCCCCTCTTGGCCTCTCGACGGTGTCATTGCTGCCGGCAACGCTGAAACGAGGGGATTTGCGGGAACCCCATGGCCGGCCGAAGCCCGAGCTAGCCAGCTGTCACCGAAGCGAAGGCACCCCGCGTACCCACGTCAAGCGGGTGAAAGGGCAGGAATCAGAGTTTGGCATAGCGATGATGCATGAACGGCCGAGGGGTGGTGACGCAGCCAAGCGTACTCGTAATGGGGCGGTCGGGGCGCGGGGCGCGGGGCGGCCGATGCGCGATGCGGGCCTGCGGGCCGGCTCCCGATCTCCCGACGCCCCCGAACCCCTTTCGTAGCTCGTTGCTATGATTGCGGATCGTGCGGATCAGGTCCATCCGCCAATCCGTCACCCGAGGCTGGCACCCGTCACCCGTGACGGATCACCAGCTCGCACTAGCGTGCGAGGTAATTATAGGTGTCTATTGTACAGCATGTACAGAGCACACGCCACCGCCCGCGCCGCCCGCGCCGCGCCGCTCGTGTCGCTCGACGCTCGCGTACGCTCGCTTTGGCTTCTGCCTCGCACGTGGCCCGGGAAACGAGAGGACGCGATGTACGCGACCGAAACTGCGGCCTGCGCAGATCCCGGAACTAACTGGCCGCCCTAGCCGCCCTGTCGCCCCGTTTCACACAACATGCTAGACATGAGCAGCTGGCGCCAGCAGCACGCAGGCTCTGAATCCACTCGAGATACTCGGTATGATCCCACCACATACATATGCTTCCGTTCGTTGTGTAACAGCGCACGCCCTCGCGCCCTCACAGCGCACAAAGTTGGGGGGAGACACGCCGGCTGCGCAGAGGTAGGCAGTATCCAGACCCCATCTGATCATTCCGTGATAATCGTTTCGCGCGATCGCGCCTCCCACAGGCGACAAGGCCACAAGGCCACAAGGCCACCAGTACGCAAGTGAACAGAGTGATCAGCGCCGCGGTATAGGGCTGTGGGCGCTCGACCGGCGCGAAGGCCGCACCTCTCGCATTTCGCAGGCTAATCGCGGATCGCGGATCAATCGCTGGCCGTGGATCAGCGCACAACTTCGACGAGTGTCGCGATTGGTGCATTTGATGTCGCGAGGGGGATCACGTGGGCCACGTGCTTCACGTGGAGTTACGATTGTTGACTCATCTTGCGTCACATCGTTATGGCTCTATGGCTGCCATCGCTCGTTGCGCTCATTGCTAGCACTGCTGCAACCCGTAGGCTGCCGCACATGTCGCACATTTCTTCACTGGCTTGTCCATCCTTCCTCTCCTCTCCCAATCTTTCGATCTCTCAACTAATCAACTACTCAAAAATCGCAACCCCCTGCTCCACTGAGTACATTATACAGCATGGCCGATAGAGCGACAATCCCAGCCTCTCGACCTCCCCCCGATCCCGCCTCGAGGCTTCAAGAATTCTTCGACATCCTTAACGCCCATCGCCTTCCTCCTGTAATTTTCAGTACCGCAACCAGCCCGCCACGATGAGCATATCCGGTGAGTAATGTGCACGCGGTTCCGCTGAAGACGCCAGCAAGAAAATCGCGGCCGCGTATGATGCGGTTCTCGCCGCGGGCGTGGACCAGGGTGACCATGAGTGGCGGCATATCCTCTCCGCCAGGAGCTTGCTTCGGGCAACCTGAAGATCGTCCTCCTCGACCTCGACCGCTCAAGCCCTTTCGACGGCACGGCCGCAGAGCGCGTCTCATTCCGAGAGTCTCTGCTCGCACAGCTTTTCGATGAGCCTCTCGAGTAACCCCATGACTGCCCCCTCGCCGCCTTGCCATCATGGCAGTGTGTGCACTCATCCACAGTAATGTGTTGTATTCTCGCCGCCGCGCAACCTCCACGCATAACAATGCGGAAGCCTGTATGAAACGAGTATTGTGTACCGCAACTGTGCGATGTCTATCAAGGTTCGGATCAGAAAGGGAGGTGTTGAAGTGTCCCGAGTCAGATTGACCACCTGCGTTCCCTTTGTGGCGGATTCACTGCAAGCCTACTGCAGTTGTTCAATCAGACTCAGCAACGTTATTTCCAAGCCGGGTGAATCGACCCTCACTAATGAGCGCCGCGCATGATCATGCGGTATTGAGGGGGAGGAGTGGCGGAAGGCACCCAAGGCTGTTTCCTATGTCAACGAGTGCGCGGTGAACGTTCGACTGCTGCCACTTATGCCACTACAACTTCCCAACGGCACGTTTCGGGCCAAAATGCCATCGTGCGGGGTGTAAAGCGTGATCTCCCTTTTGGCTGGGGCGCAGCGACCTGGGCACCGCCCTCACTGTCTTGGTCAGAATCTCAGAGGTGACGCATGGAGGTGGCACATGGAGTGGTGGAGGGGAGTAGCAGCGCCGAGCCCGCGAGCTGCAAGGCGGTGACTCCCCACCACGGCGGCAAACGTCCGCGGGGAAGGATACCCCATGAATGGGTCTTCATGAGCATTCCACGAGCATGCACGCCTATGCTCGCTGGAGCGCCGACCAGGGCGGCCACTGTCGGGACGACCGCGTTCGTGTCAGCGCCGTCACGCTTGTCAGGGAATCACCGATAGGTGCGGGCAGGCGGGCAAAACAGGGGTACGCTATTGGATACTCGGATCAATGTCGGCAATCATGCCCGTTATCAACTCCACGCCACCTCGAAAGCATTGGCAAGCTGCTGGTTACATGTGCCAGGACCGAGGAGATGGAGGGGAGGCGGTCCCCACAAGAACATACGGAGATTAGCGTCGTCGATCCTTCGCTCGTCCCCGTGCATTCCGAGCTGGCGTGTTCGCCTGCGCCTCGCCTTGGCATAGTAGGAGGGAGTTTAGGGAAGATGATTTCACGCGCGCGTCCGCTCGCAGAGCGTGCTGGCAATCTGGCCTCCGAGACATCCCTTGTCAAGAGCTTGGTGGCTCTCTGTTTAGTTGAGTACGATTGCATGTAGTGAATACGAGTGTATGACATCAAGTTCGTGCAGGTCGGTTTTGCGCCGTGCAGTCCGTGCGCATGCGCACAGCCTGAGTGCTCAAGCTCGCGCAAGCTACAGTGCTTCTCTGTGCTCGGAACCAGTCAAACATCACACTTCCTGCAGCGTATACACTGGCTCGGCTGTAGGTGGTTTAGATACAAATGGCATGTACAGTATTCGGCCTCTCACTGCGGAAGGTGACACGCTGTCACCCACGCCACGACCACTTTGGCCACAGTGGCTCTTCCTTCTTATGGTCGAGATTCGGTTCAATAGCACTCCATGGGAGCACTCCTAGAGGCGGCGCATGCGGGGCGGTAGGCTGAGGCGGCCGCACAGGCGGTGGCGTAGGCCGGGGGGCCGGGACAAGTGAGGGGAAACTCGCGAGGGGGAATCTCTGGCCTGCTGCAAGCGGATGCTGAGGAGGAGGTCGCAAGTGTGAAGGAGCCACAGGCAAGTGGGGATGAGCTGGAAAGCCAGCTCTGCGCATCATGGGCGTCACGTCGAAACCCTGACTCAGCGCTGTCGTTGCTGCGGGCTCACATGCTCCAACAGCTCGATGTGGGCGGCTGCGAGCGAGAACGCGTCCTCGAGAACGGTGCGGGCAGAGCTGTGTGCAGTCTGAAGAAAGATGACAGTGCCTGCGTCGGTGCGCAGAGGAGGATAGAGGGCGAGGAGGGTGTGCAACGCGGCGGCTTTGACGGTGCGCACAACGAGTGGGTCGCCACCATTGTGCACCTGAGGGGAGAGGCCTTGGGACGCTAGTTCAGCAAAGAGGGCGGACTGGAAGTGGTTGAGCGACATTTTGGAGGATGGGAGAATGTAAGGGGAGAGCGCGTGGTAGGGCGAAATCGGGATGGGTGATACCAGAGGTCCCAGCGCAAAGGCTCAAGCGTGTGGAGGTGGTGGAGGTGGATCAGCACTCAAAGCTGGCGTCCAGGCTAGCTTGCAAGGACAGCCTATCCTTGTCTCATTCTCACCACTGCCCACTGGGTTCCTGCCATATACCTATAAGGGGAACCAGACACACATGAACGAAAACGGCTGCTGTTCGGCCCAGCCCTTGCCCTCACAGCAATTTGGGGCTGCTGACAAGGTCGACAGTGGCTTTGAGTCACTGTACTCGTGTTCGCACCTGCGTACATGTTAACTTGGCGCAGATGAGCGTCAACCACCCCTACCCAAAGAGCAGAAGGGAGCCTCGCTCCTTGTGCCACGCAGCTTTGCTGTTCGCTCTGCGCATCCTGATCACCCACCGGTTTCGAGACACCGCTAGCTCCCCTCTGTGACAGCAAGGGAAAAAAAGATTGACATGTGAAGTGCTATGATCAGGATGCTGATTGAGCTGCTGTCACGCCTCCTATATTATTATGAGCGGCCCAGGATTGGGGGCTCGATGTCATGCCGAGGAGAGGCCCAAGGTCAGGGGCTCAAGTCCAGCAGGGCAAGCTCTGAGTTATGCTATTGGTAGAAAAGGTTGACAGATGAACCAATCATCATGGTACACCTATGAGGACAAGAACTTGTATACATGATGGTATGTCTGGATACATGCGGGACTGAAGCAGGGCGAGGAAGATCAGTGTCACAATAACGGAATGTCTGTAGATGACATATTTTGCAGTACGTTGTGAAAATTGCTCATTGCCTGCCAATTGACAGCCTTTCTGCAACTTACTCACCATAGTACTCACGCTCCCCGCTTTGCAAGCCCCATCGTGACCCCTCTCCCCTCCTGGGCTTCCCCCAGCCTCCCCACAGAGGAGACAATTTTACTTTCGGGACTGACAGCCTGTTCTCAAGATATCATCTCGCAACTCCAACAATCCACGACGCCGAGGCTGCCCACGGCGCCACCAACCCGCCGAGGACATCGACTGCCGCCACAATGCTGACGCTGGCGATAAGGATTTGGTGTTCACTCCAGAGGCATGGATGACCTTGGAAGGCGGATTCGGCCTCTTGAGGGTGGCACACGAAGACCCTAGTGACTTCCACATCGTCATCCCGGTCTTACATGTGCAGCTCGCCGATGCAATGAGCAAGGCAAAGGGGAGCAGCACACAGAGCACCATGGCAACAAGGACCATGGGGCAACGTATGCTGCGGACCATCCGGTACTTGCTACAAGGCATCCCCGGCGACGGCCACTTCGCAGAGGAAGGTGCTCGACTCACTGGGGATCACTTGCTGCAAGCATATCCGTCGCTGATGGACGAGGTCGAGCTTCTTTCAACAGGCCTAATTGATCATAATTGAGGCGCTCGACCGGCAGTCGACGTTGGAATTGGCGCGGCATGTGGCAACCGCGGGCAACTCTTCGCGGGCTATGTCCGTCATCGTGAAAGATATATCAGCGTGGAAGGACGAACCGATCCATGTGCATGAAGCGGTGTCCATGTAGTGGCTTTTCCAGCTGTCGAAACTTGCAGCTGAATCGCCATTTCGCCAGGTCAATCCCAAGCGTCCGCGCCAGCTTGCTATGTGGGACGACTTGCAGATCTCTCCGGCTCCAACGCAAAGATTAGGGCCGGCACAGGAAAAGGCAAAGGAGCACGAGGAGGCGAAAGCGCAGGAACAAGCGCAGGGGCAAGTGGTGGGACAGGCGCAGGTGCAGTCGCAGCAGGCGGCGATCGAAGGGCCCATCGCTTTTTGATCGAGACCAATGTGTACCATCACGCTGTTCCCAAGAAGGGCTCGCCGACAATGACTTTGACCTCGTGAGCTACCTCCGCGAGGAGGCGACAAAGCGCCCCCTAAAATTCTTCGTCCCTCATGAAGTGAAAGTAGACGCTGCCAAAAGCAACATTACGAAGTCGCTCACCTAAACAGCTATCCTGGACTTCTACTAGTGCACAATTTGTGCTGTGTGGACTGCCAGCGAAATTATGAAGCCACATGCGAGCTCAACATTGAGGCAATAGGTCTCGGGAGGCCGGTTGTCACAACATAACAACTCATACAACATATACATACAAGTCATTATCATGACACTGATTCTCCTCGCCCCCCTACAGTTCCGCACCATATCCAGATGGACCACTTTGTATCTATAACCTCTACTTCACAGACATACTGTAACGATTGTTTCGTCTGTATGTAAATCCTACTGATAGCATGACTCGGAGCTTGCCCCACCAGACTTGAGCCCCCAATATTGGGCCTCTTTTGAGGTGTGACACTAGTCATGGAGGCTGCTGGCCTTGGTCTAGAATCCTTTCAAGCCATGCAGCAGCGACTGAATGCCACTTCAACTCACCTGCACAGCTACGACCAGTGGGGATTACCTATCCCGGACCTTGTCACAGCTCAGGAGCTTGAAGCAAAGTGGCACTCACCTGCCTTGATCATAAATTACTACAAGTTGAGCATTATGCTCCTTAACAGTGTGGTATACGTCTTCAACGACAAGGCAAAGGCGACAGAACTCATCGCTGAAGCAGTTCGACACCACTCGGGGTCAAACTGGACCCCAACTACCTCACAGTACCTGTTGTTCAATCAGCAGTATGGATGGACCCCATCTAGGTGAGGAGAAGCCAGTGACGTAGTTGACAGTCTGTGAGAGCATGATTTATGCCTCTTCTCAAGGCGCTCGTGGTGGACTGTGCAATGCTTGTTTCATCATTCACCAGAATGTCTATCGCCATCTCGACAAGCCTGGTCTCGAGTGTGGTGACGGAGGCGGGCCGCCGGCGACCACGCGCCCCCTAAAATTCTTCGTCCGTCATGAAGTCTCACGAGAGTGAGGCCGTGGTACCTTTCCCTGCAGCTTGGGAAGTTTGTGGACAGCGAGTGTGAGTCCCAGGGTATCCAGCGTCAACCGGACGGCATTGATGACGTGGCCAACGTGAAGGGGAGTACCGACAGCTCCGTAGGCGGTGCCACCCGTGCTGGCGATACCAACATTCGTCAGGAGCTCAGCCAATGCGACTTACCCGTCGCGATTCTCACTGGAGACATGTATGTGGCAAAGATATGGGGTGGAGAGAACGCTACGGCTCGCTACACCCCCCATCCCCCTTCCCGTGGGGTAGGCGACCCACGCAGGGAGGAAGATGGACTCTTCAAGATGTCCCGAAGTTGCTCAACTATCGTCAACTCCTTCGGGTCAATGAACTCGACATAATGGAGGAGCCACACTCGGAGATATCGGCGTCACCCCGTGTTGCCTCTTCGTTCTCCTTCTGCTTCCTCACATCCTTCATCTCATCACGTACGCGACCATTGCCACAGCACCTAGCGTGCTTAAGATTATGCCGGTTCCAGTCACAACGTCCTCGATCCCCTTCAACCACGGTGTTCACTCGACGACATACCTACCCGCATCTCCAGCCGTCTCCCACGACACTGCTGAGCTGGTCTCCTCTGGTCATCTCTTCAGCCTCGACGCTGTGCCGGAACAGTGAGTACCCAACCCATCAATCCCTCTATCCTCCCCCTGCCATGTCCATTTTTGATACGTACAGCCTCCCTCAATCCGTCCAAGTATACCTGGCGCTCGTTGGCTGTTCCGAGGTCACAATCCCCCCTGGGCTCTCTCCCTCCCCTTACCGCCCGCCTGCAGCCTCTGTCTTGTCCAGAGCCTCGTTATGCACCTCTGAGCGCATGTGCCATGGCCTCGCTATCCTGCGTGAACAGCGCCGACTTGGTCATGGGTGAGTCGAGTGGCTTAAGCCGCGCCGTTAATCCCAGCCTTTTTTACGACGCGTTCTCGGCAAGCGACCTCTTGAAACGACCTCTGTATCCTTTTGTTCCCTGCGGCCTCCTGGACGACGACATCTCGGGAACGGTTGACGAAGTCACGCGTGTTTGGATGGTTGCTCCCCTTGGCAGCTCCATGGTCGCCGTGAGTCAGCAGCACCTGGTACCCAGCCAGCTTACACCAGACGAACCTCATTCTCCCTGTTCCTCCCGGGTGGGACCGCGCGCCGCCTTCCTTGTACCCTGCCGTCATCTCGTGGCTCTACTCTCGCTGCTTCCCGATTTGCACATTTATGAACGAACCGCGCTACGAGTCAGATGAGGAGGGCTACTTCCTCTTCGACAAGCCAGTCGACATCGACCAGTTTACTGATGACTGGATCCTTTGCGAGAGTGCCCACCAGCTTCATGATCTGGTTTTCAGGGGTAGGGTGAGGACCTTGTGGCGCCCGCACACCGTAACTTGCAAGGCAGACGACCAGTGGGCTCTGGACTCGCCCGACGCGCCAAGAGGAGGAGCGGGCGCGCGAGAGACGGATGTATTCATGCTCTCACTCAAGGCCGACATGAGGCGCGTTTGGTGGCCCGCACATCCTTACGATCCTCCGCCAACCCTCCAGTACATAAACAATTCCGACTCCCTCTAACGTGTCGCGCCACCCCCAAATAGACATGATCATTGTCCACCTACTTCTCAACTTGGTCAAAATTGAGCCCGATGACCTGGCCCCTCCACCGTACGCTTCCTAGCTTTCGTTGTTCATTTTGTACGTCACTGTATGTAGAGCCAGAAGATGTAATATTACATCGGCTTGGGTGGCTCTGTCGTCTTGATCGTCCACCGCACCGCTTCATTCGCCATAGGTGGCCTGCCGTGAGCTGTGGTCAGCTCACATAGTTCCTGTATCTGTTCATGTGGCCTACTCCGACTTTTGTATGGCCTAATACATGGCGCTAATCACTCACTCGTCGCATCCAACCACCCATTCCATTCTCATCACGATCTATGCTCTCCTCGCATTCCCATATGCTTTCGTGCTGTACTCTTTCCCCGGCATGGCCATTAACCAATGCCAATCTGACAGCTCCGACGAATCCGCTGACACGGGAAGAAACCCCACTGACAGCAGTACGAGTTCGCCACCCACTTCCCGTTTCCTCGCCCCTCGTCCAGCTCCCCTCGTCTAATGGCCGCGAGGATGGAGCCATGGCGGCCACTCGTCACGGAGACTGAGTACTCGCGATCCTCACCAACGGGCTCTGTTATCCTCCGGCACTTCATTCCCCCGTGTGTAGATCTTGCTGGCCGGCAGATCCGCTGGTCCGGCATGCCTGGCACGAAATGATCCGCAGATCACCTCTCTCGATCACGCCGACGCACGCCGACGCGCGCCAACGCCCTGTCTCGATCGTCTCTTACACAATACGCACGACTCCGCCTCCTCCGTGCCATCCAGCCCAAAGGCAAACAAGGTTGCGGCGGCGTCCTGTCCACTAACAGCACTAACAGCCCCTCTCATGACTGACAGTCTCCATTCGCCATCATATACGCCCTCCGCCTTCGGCCTCAGCTTATGACCTGCCTCGCCCGATCCCATGATCGGGTGACTCACGTCCAAGCGGTGGCTGCGTCGATCCTCTCACGTCCCTCGATCCCTCGCGGTCCGATAAGTGCGGCCGTCGTCGCCGTCTATCATTTGCGCAACCTCCTCGCCTCTTCCTCGTCATCACTCGTCACTCCCACCTCACCACCTACCTCGACCCACCGCCATGCTCCCTCCACGCCCCCTCGCCCGCCTTTGGCGTCGCCTCCTGGCCTGGGTCCGCGACGCGCCAGGTGAGTCATCACGTCCCACGCACGCCTACTCACCCAGTGCCGTCGCGCGAGGGCGAGCCCAAGCGGGAGGACGGGCCTATCCCCATCCCGCCCACACTGCTCATTGAGCACATCGCGACGCCGGCCGAACTAGCTGCGTACGCCAATGAAGTCCGCAACCGTGGTCGTGAGGATGAGGAAGACGAAGACGAGGACGAAGAACACGGCCTCACCAATCGCGCCATGCACGAACGCACCGAGAAGGAGGCACGGCCGTCCGAGTCGCTCGAGCATGCGCGTGGACCGCGCCCGCCACCGAGAAACAAGTCGTCGCGTGCACTGCGTGTGTCGCTGTAGCTGAGGGTAGGTCCGGGCGGCGGTCCGTGCGCCGCCGAAAGTGATTTGGTAATCCGGGAGATGTGTTGTAGGCGTTGAGAGTGGAGGTTGATGAAAGCTGTGACAACTTTCCCGCCAGCAGGCGAGGCAAGGCAAGGCAGTGAGTGGCTGGGCTCACCATTCGGTCCCAGAGTACCTTTGGACGCTCGCATTGTGGTGTTGGGCATAGGTCTCTCTCCGGATAATGGACCCCGGAAGGAGCTTGGATCGCGCGGTTGTCTTCTCGTAGGGTGGCTTTAGGAGACTGGACGACTCACGTCCTTGCCACTTCAATAATCCGCCAGTCCATCAACCGCCTGGCCAACGTGCCAATACAACGAAGCTCATGATATGACAGCCGAGTCCAATGCGCCTGCGGCCTGTTGTACACCCCCATACACTGGAGGTCGCACAAATTCGAGCCGGTAGCCTGCTGCTCCGCTATCATCGGCGGGCCAGGACCACGCCACTAGCGCGACGCCGCTTGCGCAGGCACGGCACTGCTGCCAGCGAGGCTGCAGCGGCTGCACACGCCGTCATGAGACGGCTTAGCGCTGGCCGACGGCCGTCGATCTACAATGATACCACTCTCTGCGACCATCTGGCGCCTCTCCCTACCACCTAGCCCCCGCCATGCTGCTCGACACCATCTCCGCTTCCATCTCGTTATTCTATCCAAACCCCCCGCCGGCCTCCGCGCCCCCCACGCTCTCCCTCGACTTTCACGCCTACCCGCACCTCCTGGACGCGATCATCGCACACGCAGACAAGCCGACCCGCCTTGCCCTCCGCGCGACCTCACACGATATCTGCGACCGCATCGACGCCCTGCTCTTCCGGCATGTTGCCTACCGCATCCGGCGGCCGGACCCGCCAGTGCTCGCCTCACCAACATCCGGCAAACCGTGGTTCTCGCTGGACCGCGTAACCTCGGGGATCTTGCGCGCCCGCGACATCCGCGGGGCGCCCATCCTCGCGCCCGAACGCGCCCTCCGCCTCACCCGTACGCTGGACCTTTACGCGCCCGCGCTGCGCCCGCTCGCCGCGCGCGTACGCCATCTGCGCCGCTTCAGCGCCGAGTTCGACCCGCCAGTCGGCGCAGACGTTCTTGTCGACCACATCCACCTGCCCCCGCTGCGGATGTACGGCGTCTACCTCCCCGTTGGGAGCGAGGGGCACGCGCACGTCGGCGCGCGCCGCCACGTCCTGCTCGTCGAGTATGCGGCCCAATACGGGTCTGAGCGGCTGCACGACGGCACGCTCGTGCTGCCCCACCTTGCCGATCTGACCGTCTTCATCCTCCGCCCCGTGCGCGAGTGGGCCGGCGGCCCCCCCGCCGCCTCGCCGGATGCGTCGTTTTTCGGAACTCTCGTGCGCTCCGCGGCGAGGCATCGCGCGCTCGCTATCGTCGGCGTTGAGGAGACGGCCGGGGAGATCCTCGGCCTCGGCGGCGTGGGCAACGAGGTGCTGCCATTCGAAATCGCTGTGCACGCACTGTATGCCGCTGCAAAGCGCATCGTCAGGGAAACGCCGGGGGCGACACTTAGGAGCTGCGTGTTCCTCACGCACGCGCAATACCGCTCCAAAGTGGGGCGAGAGGCATATGAGCTCGAGACAGAACGCTGGTGGGTGTCGTCCGAGGACATCCAAGAGGCGGAGGCGGAGCACGACCCCTTTCTCCTCCATCCCTCCCTCTTTGCTGTTTCATAGTCTGCACGGAGCAGCGCAATACTGCTGCGGTAGTCAGCCCCGTCTATCAGCGGGATGGACATGCATCTGCACTAGCGCTGTGCGGCAGAAGCGGATGGTGATGGCGGACGTGCAACAGATGACCCAATGGAGGTTGTTGCCACAACATGGCGCGTCGTGCCTTGCTGGACGACAAGGCCGCCATGGCATACAAGTTTACCGTCACCGCAGGCCTCATATCTGCCTCGCATGACCTGTAGCGCATCTGTAGGACCTACTCTTGGCGCACACAAGCGATGTCTACATATATGGTAGTATCTAATCTTGCGGACGTGCGGCGATTTGGGTGAGTGCCGGGGCGGAGAGCGCCGATGTCCGAGTTCCCGGGGATAGCCCGGCTATCCTGCCCCACGCCCACCAGATGTCGACGGCCGTGCGGTGTGTCGCCGCGTCGGGATCTCGGCCGGGACTGGGTGGGGAGCCGGTTATCCCTTCACAGCTGGACCGTCGGCGCCGAGATTTCCGCGAGCTGCATGACATCGAGTTCCGCACTGCGGCTCCTCTCCTCGCTCTCGGTTACTCTAAAAGGCTCACCTCCGTTCTCCTCCTCAACTGCACACCCTACATACTCTCATCTCGTACACAACCTCGATAATGGCGAACCGCATCAACACCATCGGCGGCCACCTCGGTCCCTCGACCGGCAACTCGCGCGTCGACCGCCTCACTGCCAAGCACGCCGATGACATCGTCGTGACATGCGCGAAGCGTACTGCCCTCGGCAAGGCGCGCAAGGGCGGCTTCTCAAAGTGCTCTTCCGACGAGCTCCTCATCGCGACTCTCAAGGCCGCGAAGAAGGACATTGGCATCGACCCCGCCCTCGTCGAGGACATTGTCATCGGCACTGTGCTGACCCCTGGCGCACCATACGCAGGGCGTGCGGCGTCGCTCACTGCTGGGTTCCGTGAGTCGTCCGACAAGCTCGTCCCCTACCCCCCCTCCCTTTTCACTGCGCAGCCCTAACATGCAGCCGAGACCACTCCCGTGCAGATCATCAACCGCTTTTGCTCATCCGGCCTGATGGCGGTACAGGCGATCGCGAACGAGATCCGGAACGGGGAGATTGACATCGGCCTCGCAGTCGGGTTTGAGCACATGACCTCGAACCCGGACGACGGTGCGCCCAAGCTCGCGGCCGAGACGATGGCGCTGCCGATGGGCCAGGACTGTGCCAAGCCCATGGGTTGGACGTCTGAGCAGGTGGCTGGCGAGTTCAACATCTCGCGCGAGGACATGGACGCGTGGGCCGCGCAGTCGCACAACCGCGCCGAGGCGGCGCAGAAGGCGGGCGTGTTCGCCGACGAGATCGCTCCCGTAACCATCAATGGTGCGGTTGTCGACACGGATGACGGGATCCGGCCGGGCACGACGCCCGAGAAGCTCGCCAAGCTGCGCGGCGCGTTCGCTCAGTGGCCTCCATCGCAGACCACAGGCGGCAACGCGTCTCAGATCACCGACGGTGGCGCCTACGTCCTCCTCATGACCCGGCGGCGGGCTGAGGAGCTCGGCTTGCCGATTCTGGCCAAGCACGTCGCAACGACCTCGATCGGCCTCGCGCCTCGCATCATGGGCATTGGGCCCTCCATCGCCATCCCTGCCATCCTCAAGCGCACAGGGCTGACGGTCGACGACGTCGACATGTTCGAGATCAATGAAGCCTTCTCCTCCATGATGGTTTACTGTGTTAAGAAGCTTGGCCTTGACCCTGCCAAGGTCAACGTCAACGGCGGCGCCATCGCGTTCGGGCATCCCCTCGGGTGCACGGGTGCGCGCCAAGTCGCGACGGGTCTCAACGCCATCAAGCGCACACACGGCAAGATCCTCGTTACTTCCATGTGCATCGGTCTCGGCATGGGCGCCGCCGCCGTGTGGGTCAACGAGCAGGAGTAGATGTATGTAAGCAGTCGGCGATGAATTGCATGGGTTGTAACGGTGATAGTGGTTCGCTGACGGTCTAACTCCTCACGTGACGCCAGCAAGCTGAGAGAAACATCTTTCTGTTGCACTTTCACTTCAATCTGGTGCTAACACCCACCGTTGTTCTGACCACATCATGTGCCAATTCGAACTGAAACACTATGTACAACCGAAGCGCCGGCTTCACACGCCATCCAGCGGCGACCTGCAAGACGCCGCCGTCGTATTTGTATTTCTTGTCGTCCTTGATCCGGCAAGTCGCTGGAATGCTTCTTGGCAGGCTGGCAGCCTGCCAGCCGTCGCGATCCCCTCTGCCTCTTCGGACGGCATTGAGCGCCACCGACGCCATACTGCCAAACACGCCATCTCCTCGCGGACAGCCGCGCCAGCAGTCCAGGCTTGACTTGCGACTCGCCCGCTCGCACCGATCGCCGCCCACATAAGCGCAACCGCTTCTCACCTCTTTTGATCATCCGCTACTCACTCATGACGATCGTGCAGCCTCACCCGCCCACCACATCTCCTGCGCCCAAAGGCGCGTGCAGGCCCGCCCTCGACCCGGCGGTGTGCACGCTCGACACGAAGGCGCACCCGGCGATCCTCAAGCGCCTGATCGCGCTCTCTCCGCACGCGGGTAAGCTCGCGTTCCGCGCCGCGTCGCGCACCTCACGCGACCTCGCGGACGCGGCGCTCTTCGCGCACGCCGTCATAGTCCAGTGGGGCAGTGCGGGGTGCTACGCGAAGCCGCCGACATCGCTATTCGCGCTCCTCTCCCCCGCCGGCGATGTGCTGCCCGGCAAGCCGCTGGCGGCAAACAATGCGGCGTGGGCACGCCGCCTCGCCCACACCCGCGTGCTGGACAGCACGGTCCGCCTTCCGAGCTTCCAGTGGGAGACGGTCGTGCACGCCTGGCCGCAGGACTTGGGCCGGCCGCGCGTGCTGCGCCGCCTCGTCGCCGGCGGCCTGTGGCGCGGCGCGCCACCCACCGTCGTCGACCTTGTCGTCCTCTCGCCCCTCTCCCTCGCATCGTCTCTCGGCCAAGACATGCTCACCGCTGCACTCACCGCCTCGCCCCGCAAGCACGTCATCAACGTCCTCGTCGACGCGAGCTACCGCGGCGCATTCTTCCCCACCGGCTCGGCCGGCGAGGCATGCCGTAACACCGCCGTCCTCATCTTTGCTCCCCTGCCGCACGGCGCCCTCCGCCGGCATCTCACCTACCCCGGCGACGACACGCCGGTGCCCTCGCGCATTATGAACCTCACAAGCGCGACTGAGGACATCTTCGACTCGCTCGCCGCCATCGTTTCTTCCGGCGTATACACCTCGTATCTGTTTGTGGGGCTGCACGAGCTCGACCCACAGCTTCTCGGGCTCGGCGGGGGCGGGGGCGGGGGCGACGGAGGCCTCGAGCTTTTTGCTGGCGTACTCAAGTCCCGCATCCTCGACGTTGTGCGCGAACGACATAGCCGCTCGTCTGCGCTTGGACTCGCGCATGTCTCTGCGGCCTCACTCGAGAACTCGCTCGCCCTGCTCTCACACGCCGAGTATCGCGCCGCTGTCGGCGATGGGACTTACACGATTGAGACGTGGCCCCAGGCCCCGGCGCCCTGGTGGGTAGCGTGAGCGGCGTAGGTTGTGAGTTCCGCCGGGGAGTCAAAAGGTGTGTACGGTCGAGGTCCATCTGAGGCTCGTATGTCGGTAGTCGGAAGTTCGCGGGAAGTGCAGTCAAAGAGGAAGAGGAAGAAATGTACTGTATGGTGCGATGGTGAGCGTTAGCTGCAGAAGTGGACCGGGGAGTCGACTGATAATCTGCTTTGGTCTGTCCAGCTTAAGAGGATACGCCTGGAGCTAATCCGGAGCGCGTGCCACTCGCTGTCGTCAGAAAGTCGTCTTGCATCACTTTGACGAAACTGGAAACTCGCGAGGCAGGCCTATGCATGTGTCGCCCTCCCCGACTATCAAGTGCTACAGCTAAAAGCACAACAGGAGTAAACATTTACTGCACGACGCACTCGCCCTTCTTGTCTCCGCGCACCGAGCGGCGCTTGCCCGGGTTCTCTACCGGTGGCGGCATCTTGCGCTCACGGTCGTCAGGCTCATCCACGCGGATCACCGGGCGATCATACGTCGCGTCTTCGTCGATCCGCAGCAGCGATGTCGACGGGTTCGGATGGCGCGGGCCCGTGCCCGTGCCCGTCTCGTCCGAATGATCGCTCACGCGCGACCGTAGCGACGCCGGCTCCTGACCTGGCGAGAGGTGGCCCGGCGTGCTTCCCCCACTGGAGTAGCGGTTGCGCGACTCTGAGAGCGACGTGTTGGAGGGGACGGCGAGCGAGCTCTTGCTCTTGTTTCGTGAAAAGAGGCGCGCCGGGAGTGAGGAGATGCCCAGTCCCTTGGGCTCATAGGGCGAGTTGGTGCCCGACGAGGGTACACTCCAGTCCTGGTGGTGCGCAAGAAGGGCAAGCTGCTCACGCACATCACACTTCGGGTGCGCGCGTTCTGAGCACTTTGCATGCGTGATGAGACCGCAAGTCTGACACAGAAGTGCTTGCTTCTTGAGCGCCTGAAGGCAGACGTGGCAGGTGATGGGCTTGGCGAACGATGTCTTGACCAGCGCATGCGCCTTGCCGCCCGACACAGACACCTCCGGGCTACTCTCCCGCTCGTCCTTGTGATGTACGACGTGCGAGTGAAGGCTGATCATGCTCATCTGTGCCAAGTGTGCCGTGTCGCCGAGGTCGATCATCGAAGCGGAGGCTGACCTCGCTCCGGCCTGCGATGCCTGCGAAAACACACGCTGCGCCTCGATCCGGTGATGCGCAGGCTCTTGGCTCAATCTGCGCAAGAATGGCAGCGAGTCCTGTGGTCGGGCGAGCAGGTCGCCTCGCCCAGCGCGAACCCATTCGTGCTCAAACAGCATCGCGGCTGTTGGTCGCAGCGCAGGCTCTTTGACAAAGCAGAGCTTGAGGAAATCCTGCAATTCGGAGGACGTCTCAGGCATCGGCGGCATTGGGTCCTCGACGATGCGGAACAGCACGGTCATACTGTTGGGCACGTCCGAGTACGGTGGCTTGCCAGTGATGAGCTCGATGATTGTGCAACCCAGGGACCAAATGTCCGACGCGGGCGATGCGCCCGAGAGCTTGATAACTTCAGGCGCCATCCAGTTCGGTGTACCGGCAATCTCGTTCTTGAGAACCGTCCGCCCGATGCTGGCACGTTCTGCAAAGTTCTCCACCGCGCGCATGTTAAGCGACACTCCAAAGTCAGACAATTTGATGTTGCCATTCTTCGTCGAGAGGATGTTTGCCGCCTTGAGGTCGCAGTGCACGACGCCCTGCGAGTGTAGATAATGTAGACCCTCGAGGATCTTGGCGACGTACGACGCAACGAGGCGCTCGTTGAACTTGCCGAAAGCCTTGAGGGTCTGGCCAAGGGAGCCATTCTCCACAAACTCGAGCACAATGTTGAGGAACTGGTCGTCGCGCGACATGCCCTCGTACTTGACAATGCCGGGGTGCGAAAGGCGCTGAAGTACTTCGACCTCTCGCATAACGTCGCGCACCTCCTTCTCCTTCACGCCCGAGAGACGAATTCTCTTGATGGCGACCATCTGGCCCGTTGAGAGGTTCAGTGAACGGTACACCGATCCAAACTGACCGCGCCCGATGCAGTTGCCAAGCTGGTATCGCACGCTCTCATGACCCTCCGAGTTGGTGAACTCTAGGATCTGGAGCGAGCCATGCACCATGCTGTCGCGTTCGCGATCGCGGCTAAGTGTCGACGTGCGCCGGCTAGGGAGATTCACCATCGACTGGTTGCGCATATTCATGATGCGGCCAGCGGGCGGCCCTTGGCCAACGCAGTCGGCAGAGCGTCGACGCTCCTCCTTGGTCATGATGCGCGACACGCCAAACTCAGACCCAGCGTCCATGAGAGCTTGGGGCGACTGAACGATCCCGCCATTCATCGAAAGGCTGGGGGAAGCGGGAGACTGCGGGCGCTTTGGCACATAGATTTTGCCAGTGACACTGGACCGACGAATGCGGGGCCGAGGAGGTAGCTCGCTCATCGGTCGCAGCGGCATTTGCGCGCTCTCCTCGTCCATGCGCTGCTCCAGCTCGATGCTTTGGGCGCGCGCGCCACGCGATACGGGGCGCAACCGCGGGCTGTCGGACCGTCGTGGGTTGAGAGGGGGGCGAGAAGAACCCTCGAGAGCAGCCAGTGACTGCGACAACGCAAAGCCGCGAGCGTCGTCCTGAATATGATTTGAGAGGGACAGGTCTTCTGTACTGGAGAGAAGGGTGCCAATGATCTTGCGTCTCGCCTCCTGCAGAGTGTGCTCAGATAGGTTACGCGCCTCGGGCGAGTTGCACGACGGCGACGACTCGGGTGGGGACGACGCATCGATGATAGTTGGCTCGTCCAAAGGATGGTGGAAGTCTTCGCCAATGATAGTTGGCACAGGCCCGTTAAAGCCATTCGCGCTCATACTGGAGCGCGAGTATGATGAGGGGACGTGGGAACTGGCACTGACGAGGCTGGGTGTGCGCTCACGCTCTTGCAACTGGCCACGCTCGTGTGACGAACGCTCATGCGGCATGCGCTCGCTGACGCCGTGAGGCGGGCTTCTTTCCTGCAACGGCGTGAGGTACGACGACGAATGCGCGGACGAGATACTGCTGTTCCACTCGTGCCCAGAGACACGTGGGGAGCTCGAGTCCGATGCGAACGAGACCTGCGCGCGGTTAGCTGCGCGCATCAGCTGGGGCCGCGCTGTCGACGCCACAGCCACGGGTGCCGGCATAGGGGTGGTAATAGTGGGGATGGGTTGCCCATTGGAAGATAGGCCGGTGGCACTGTTTGAGAACGTGGGCACCGGCGGAGCGCCAGCAGAGGTAACGCGGACTGGCGACAAGGGAGGGGTGACCGTCGAGGAGACCTTTCGCACGATACTGGGAGCTCGCGCGGCCTCTTTGTGGACGGTTGAGGTGGACGAGGTAGCGGCGCTGCTAATGCTGTTCTCCCTCTGGAGTCGAGCTAGCAGGTCACTCGAGCTGCTGCGAAGCGGGCGGTCTCCCAGCGTCCGCGGCGCGACCATTGTAACGCCAGACGATCTCTGCGAAGGCGACGTGGAGGATGCTCCCGAGAGACTTGGTGACTTTGGCATTGGGGTGGATAGCGACGTCTCCGACTGAGTCGACGTCCGGAGCCCAATACGCACGCGCGGGACGTTTGTGGGAGCTGCCATCTGCGCCAGAACGAGGACAGTACGAGCTACCAAGGCCAGGCCCTCGGACGAGTTCTCGTCGAGATCGCTGATCTCAAACATCTCGCTCTCGGGCACGCCGACTTCGCGGCACGCCGTGAGGAAACGGTTCAGGTTGGCCTTGATGCGCGTCTCGTCTTTGGGGACCTTGACGCGCTGAATGCGCGACGGCTGCGACGAGAAAAGTCTGTTGAAGAGGAAGCAAAAGACAATGCCGTCGGCAAGGGCGCTTACAAACACCTTGCGCTCGCGCGCCTTTGCGGTGGCAGTAATGTTGCAGGCCCTCAGCTTGGCTTCCTGCACCTCGAGGGGTACGTCGGATGCGGTATCGTTCAGCAGATCGGCTGCAGCCTCCGACCATGAACTGCCCCATGTTCTCTCCATCCGCTGTAACATGGTAAGGCGATCTTCGGTGATCCGTCTGATCTCCAAATTACGCTCCGACTTTTGGAAATTGGCGTTCCGCAAGGCCGGCACAATGAGGTTGATAATGTAGGTTGCGGCAAACCGCAGGTGATAGTGATCCTTGGAAAGCAGCTGGTTACGACCATTATCTGGAAGCACGAGCGATGTCTGCGACAGGCTCAGGCTGGCTTTCGAGGCGTTGTAGGGGTGAGTGCTCGCGTAGCCCAGACCAAGATTTGTACGCGAAGCGTTGTGGTGTAGACTCGTCCTTGAGCTATTGTGCAAGCTGGTTCGTGAGAGGTTGTGGAGACTGCTGCGCGAGCGGATCAGACTTGTTTGTGACAAACTCATCCCGAGAGGGGGTGGCGCACAGTGCATGTTACTCATGCTCGCGGAATGCCCGTACCTGTACACGCTATTGTAGAGCGCGTTGGGAGGACCGCGCGCCGGCAGTGTGTCACTGATGCGGGTAGCCGAGTGTGACGGTGCGCGTGACAGTTGGCGTCCGTGTCCGGCACCATGTGATGGCAAACGCGGGACTGCACGAGGGGTTGTAATGTCAAGCGCCTCGCAGCTTGGGCATGCAAACGTGGGCGTGGCGGGGGATGTTGGTGCAGACTTGGCCGCCGCTGTTGCGGCAGCCGCGATTGAGGGAGGTTGCGGTAGTTGCTCATCTTCCTCCTCATCCTGCGGCTTGACAACTGGAGCGGTGACGGAGCGATGTCTGGACTGAAAGAGCATGCCAAGCGAAACTCTCCCGCGCTTTTTGCCAGTCGTCTCAGCTCCGGTCTCCTCGACTGCTGCAGCTTTACTGCGCTGCTGCTGTGCGCGCTTTGCGGCACCCAGATCTGGTGTGCTGCGCGAGCCGAGGTGCAAGTTTCCGAGGTGCCCCAGGTGCTTGCGTGTTCGCGGGAGCGGGGGCGGAGACTCGGGCACGTCGAGGCGAACACGTGATGAAGATGCGAAAGCCTTGAATGAACCGCGACGAGAGTTTGGGCGCGACCCTGGGCGCGAGGATTGCCGTTCGATTTCGATGGGGGGGTTGGGAGATACAGGTGACTCGGGCCCCGCAGATCGCAAGGCGGATGGCAGGCCTTGCCCGAGCGCGCGCACGGCCTCTGTTGGAGACTTGGAGTCGTGATTAAAGAGATTCCTGAATCTTGACCGAGCCGACTGGTGGTGTTGCTGCTGCTGCTGCTGCTGCTGCTGCTGCTGCTGCTGCTGCTGCTGCTGCTGCTGCTGCTGCGGCGGCGGCGGCGGCGGCAATTCAGATGGGGACAGCTGGGGTGGCAGAGGTGATGGTTCTGCGGAGAAAGGAGGAGAAGAGAGTTGAAGGGGTGCTGGTTCCGGTGTGCGGTCTCGTCGCTGAAAGAGCTTCCGACGACGTGGGGGCACAGGCGGTGGCTGGGTGGGCACTTGCGCGGACGCCTGTGCCCCTTGTGGAGCCGCCGCCGCCGGCTGTGGCACAGCCGCCCGGTCGGCTGGCGACATGGGGAACCGTGGTCCCCGCGGTGGGTCTGGCGTATAGACGCTGTGAGAGGACAGAAGATATGAGGTGCGTCGAGTGGTTGTTGGCGACTAGATGCAAGCCTCAAATATTGGTAATGATGTGACGGCAGAGGAGGAACGGGCTGGCATCGAGCGTCGGAATGAGCGATCGGTAACAGCCATCTACGTAGCTCGGTGTCTGTGCGCGATCAGTGTGCGTCGGGACTCGACGCCGCGTGAGGCGACTCACTTGATGCGCGTGGTTGTCTTATCTATGCGACAGTAAGTCGAGGGCGCGTGGTATGCGAAAAGGGGCTACTGCTATGTCAACGTCAGGCGGGGAGGAGCCCGGTCTGCGGGAAAGTGGAATGACGGCGACGACGGCGTGTGCGACCGACACGAGAGCATGCGCAGAGAGCGGAGAGTCGCGAAGAGAGGAGGCTACTCGTGCTTGTCAACGCCCCCAGTGGCCGGTGACTGATTGAGCCAGCAGTGTGGCAAGGTGGAGTTTGGGCGCGCAAACAGTGTAACCGACCCCTGGCGGGCCTGCCGGGACCTCGTTGAGCTGGTGCAGGATACAGAGCAGCGGAGAGGCTTGCAGGAGGGATTGTTGATGCGGGAGCGCGCTAGCCAAATTGACTGTGTGTGTGTGCGCGGGCGCGCGCGCGCGCGCTCCCCTGCGGTCCGAAGGACATGTGACTGGGTGACTGATTTGGGGAATGAGGAGCAAGACTTACTGCTTGTATTTGAAGGTTGTGGTTGGGGACGGGGGGGTGCGCCGAGGGTGAGGTGGGAGGTGGGAGGTGGAAGAGGTGAGAGGTGAGGGGACAGGAGACCGAGATGGCGAGTGAGTGTTGTGGGCTGCAGAAAGTTGAAGCGGCGGTGAGTCGAAGAAGGTGAGGGAGGTGGGAGTGACAGGAAAGTGAGAGTGGATGGGGTGATTGGGAGCGATGAGGAGGAGGAGGAGGAGGACAGGAGACCGAGATGGCGAGTGAGTGTTGTGGGCTGCAGAAAGTTGAAGCGGCGGTGAGTCGAAGAAGGTGAGGGAGGTGGGAGTGACAGGAAAGTGAGAGTGGATGGGGTGATTGGGAGCGATGAGGAGGAGGAGGAGGAGGAGGAGGAGGAGATGAGTGATGAGGAGAGGGGGAGGAGATGGAGATGGAGATGGAGATGAGAAGAGAGAGAGAAAGAGAGAAAGATGATGATGGAGAGATGAGTGGATGAAGAGAGAGTGAGAGAGAGAGAGATCGAGTGGAGGAAGGAGGAAGGAGGAGGGAGGAGGGAGCCGAGGGGAGGCCAGGCGGAAGAAGGGAGGCCTAAGGGAGGGAGGGAGGGAGGGAGGGAGGGGAGGGGTGTGTCGGTCGGGGCCTGGCTGCGTCTGTTAATACACAGTCTGCACAAATGTATTACACAAAGTCTAGTCTGTTCTTCGTCGTCTTGTCCTTGTTCTTCTTTTGGCTACTGTACAATTCGCGCTACAATCTGCATGCATGTGGGAGTGGCTGTGGCAGAAGAGACACAGAAGAATAGACGAGCACAAAGCATTTGTGGGTGACTTTGGAAGACGGGAACGGCCCAAAAGGGTAACCAACCAAGGGACAAATGGAGCAGGGTCAAGTCAAGTCGTCGTCGTCAAGGAGTGTCGTTCTGTTCATCTGAAACATTCCTCTTCTTCTTCTTCTTCAGTAGTAGTAGTAGTAGTAATGGAGCATCTGTACAGGTTATCGATGTACAGTACAGTACATACACTTGCACTCGCTGTCTCACTGGTGTCTCTCCGACATGCCGAGCAGGCAGCAGGCATCAGGCATCAGGCAGAAGACAGCGATCTTTGCCAGGAACGACAAGGCACATTTCAGTTGATGGCCCCTAAAGTCTGCTGGAGGCGAGTCTCATCCAATTCAATCATTAGGCATTCATTAGAACTTGATTAGGTCTGGTCTGCCACTGAATTATGCAGCTGTCCATCCACTCACTGTCTACTTTGAGCAGGTCCGCCTCCTCCCTCTTCCAGATGTCTTGCGACTCTGCACCTCTACTACGCGTCCAGCGGCTCCATCTCCCGCAGCCCCGCAGCCCCGAGCCGAGCAATGAACGCCGCCCCCGCGGACGATCCCGCGCCTGTCCATCGAAATGGTGGCGTCCGGGGAGGTGGTTCCGCACTCGGCACGCGTGAATTGGGTCTTTGTCAGGGGCCACCACTTGCTCACCTCATCATCACCTGCACCAACAAAAGCGTGGCGCGTGGCGTCCGCCGTCTCCGATCTGCCGAGAGTCCACAAGGCCCTCCTCATTCATACTCATCGTAGGCTGCAGCGACAGCTAATAAAGCCATCATCGACGTATCCTCGATCGCTATCGCTATCGCTATCACTATCACTATCACTATCACTATCACTAGGCGTCACGCATCACGCTCTTCTTTTCGTTCGACGTCTTCTGCCATCTGCTGTCACGCCGTGCGTACGTCTTGTCACGAGCAGTCAAAAGTGAAATCTTATCTCGTGCACGTGGAATCATAGATAAGATCGGGGCGGCGGTGGTAAAAGGCCGGAGAGGAGAGTGCTCCAGGCGCATGGTGGCGCATGGCATGGCATGCATAGCTTGTGCAAGTTGCGAATCACATTACGCATCACTCTTCTCACACCTCCGCACATTGCACACACGTCTCAACACCCAAAGTCATCATTAAGCGTCCCCTTTCCCATCAGATACGCCCTCCCAACCAGCTGCGCGCGCCCATCCACCAGCGAACAACGCATGCTCCCACCCCGCGCGCTGAGCTGCACTGCGTCCAGCACCACCGTGCTGGGCTTGACGCTCGCCGGCCGCTCGTCGTCGGGATCACGCACCAGCCGCTCGATCGTCGACCGGCCCCCGCCATTCGCCGACAGGTAGTACCCCGTCAGCACGGCGTGGGCTGACCCCGTCTGCCGTTAGCAGCCAGCAACGTGACACACACACTCACAATCGTGTCTTCGTCCAGACCCATCGACGGGATAAAGACCCGGCTCCGGATCTCCACCATGCCCTCTTTGACGCGCACAGCTTGTGTCAGGATTGTGACCGTGTAGTGGGCGCCCTGGAGTCAGTCATTCGTTCACACCTCCTCCCCTCCATCTCCTCTCCTTTACCTGCCCTCGCCTCCTCAACCGTGTCCTCCTCCCCCCCCCCCCCCCCCCCCCCCCCCCCCCCACCAATGCCTTGGGATCCACCCGCCCCCCCGCCAAATCCGTCTCCGGATCAAGTTGCACGACCGCACTCTTCCCTCCCCAATCATACTTGGCCACGCGCACCACATCCGACGCCTCGAGCCCCGTCGCCACCGTGAGGTCCTTGCGCAGATCCTGCCTTTCGTCCGGGGACACTGTCGCCGGCGTGATCGGCATCGAGATCCCGATCCGCCCGCCCTCCTCCTTGGTAGCCACAATCTCCCCGCTCCCCGCATGCTCGAACGCGATCCGCTCAGCTCCATGCAGCGGCAAAAGCACGTGTGCGGCCGCACACGTCCCGTGTCCGCACAGCGGCAGTTCCTATCGTCAGCGCGCGCGGCTCCATCGACCACGCACCCCCGCTTTGGTGAACCATCGGATGGCGTATTTCGGCGTTTTGGGCTTACCCCCGCTCGAGCTTTCGCCCTCGTTCTTCATAGGGGATACGAAGACCGTCGCGGGCCACGCAAAGTCGCCAGCGACAGCTTGGAGGTAGGTCTCGTCCGTCCAGCGCGCGTCGTCGTGGGGCACAACGACCACGGCGGCCTGCGAGCCCGAGTGCGGCGAGTTGGCGAACGCGTTTACGGCGTAGAATTCGAGGCCCATTGTGGAGGGAGAGGGGAGGCTGGGAATGGTAGAAGGAGTGAGAATGGAGATACGAGGATGGAGCGACTAGTTGATGTATGTCATGTATGTCGTCATTGCCCTCCACCCCCAGATGGCCCGTGGTCCAGCATCTCGTGGCTCTGCTTCCGCGACAGTCGGAGATTGGGACGTCTCCGCTGGCTGCTCAATGAACGCCGTTCTCTGATCGGAAACGCCGTGGTCAGGCGCTCTCCCGCTTCCAGCCTCGGTCTCGTCCCGCCCACGGGGTCCACACCGACTCACGGCCGCCGGTTGCACGCCGACGGCCATTTCACCCCGGTCGGTGTCGACGCGGAACCAAACTTGCTGCGAGCCGACGCGACTCACGTCTCCGACGGGACCCCCACGTGGCACGCGTGGCATCACCAGTTTCCGACGGAAGATCGACGTCCGTTGGTAATCTCCCTCCGGCTGATCCGCGGCTGACGAGAGATTTGACCCCCGAGACCAATGACGGTCCGCAGCATCCCGCAGCTTCACGCATTGCCGGCGGGCGACAGTCGCTCCATGCATGCATATAAACCGACGCTGTCTCACTGACACACACTCTCCCACAACACAGAACATGACCGTCGAAGCGCTCCAGAACATTGTCGTCATCGGCGGTGAGTCGTTGCTGTGTGTGGGCACAGCTGATCCCAGCGTCCGGCGCCGGCCACAGCCTCGTCAACGAGCTTGCCGGGAAGCTGCCGGAGACGCACCGCATCCTCCTCATCGAGCGCAACGAGTTCGTCGTCCACATGCCGACGATTGTCCGTGCCGCCGTCGTCCCAGGTGAGTTAACCCGCGGGTGTGGATTGTGGAGCGATTTTCCGTCCATCCCTCCCTTTAATCTGGTGGCGAGCGCTCGCATCCTCGCGCGCGGGCATGCGCATACTGCCCGCCTCTATGCTTAGTGCTCCGTGCTGCGTGCTCAATGCTTTGGGCGCAAGTGGGCGAGGATACTGACACCAGGCTGGGAGGACAAGAACCTCCTCGCGCGTATCACGCAGGACACAATCTTCCCCGCGGGCTCGCGCCACCGCGTGCTGACGAACACGGTGACGGCGCTCTCGCCGTCCTCGCGCACGCTCACGCTCGCGCACCCCTTCGAAGGCTCGACCGAGCTGAGCTACGACCGCGTAGTCGTCGCCACGGGTGCGGCGCAGGCGCTGCCTATGCGCCCCGCCCCCGGCTCCTCGCTGGACGAGTACAAGGCCGTGCTGCGGCGCATGCAGGCCGACATCAAAGCCGCGACATCGGTGCTCATCGTCGGCGGGGGCACGGTCGGCGTCGAAGTCGCGGGCGAGATCACGGCCGCTTACCCCGGGAAAAAGGTGACGATCGTGCATGGCGAACCGGCGCTCCTGCACGCCGGCGAGCGGCGCAAGGAGCAGCCCGACCCGAAAGAATACGTCGCCCCGCCGACGGCGCCGCGCCTCAGCGCCAGCCTCGAGGACCAGCTGAAGAAGCGCGGCGTCGAGCTCGTGTACGAGGACCGCGTCGACGCCGGTGCGGACGGCAAGGAGCTGCACACCGGCCCGCTGGGCCAGCTCACGCGCCTGCCCCTCGCGTCCGGCGGCTCCGTCGAGGCCGACTACGTGTTCCTCTCGATCGGGAACGCGCCGAACTCGTCCCTCGTCGCCGACGTCGACCCTAGCGCCGTCACGCGCTCGGGCCACATCGCCGTCGACGCCCACTTCCACATCCTCTCGTCCAAGCTCGAGAACGCGTACGCGCTCGGCGACGTCGCGAGCGTGCCGGGGTGGAAGACACTCGTGAACGCCATCGCCGAGGGCCCGGCCCTCGCCAAAATCATCGACGCCGAGATCCGCGGCAAAACGCCTGCAGCATACTCGGTCCCAGCCAGCAGCTATAGCTCGCTCGTCACGCTGGGGCCCGGCGGCGGCGCGGGCGTCATCGCCCTCCCCTTCATCGGCGAGGTGGGCGCACCAGGCTTCGTGTCGTCGATGAAGAACGCAGACTTCTTCGCCAGCAGGGCTTTCTACTCGCGCTTCCGCGGCGCCGAGTCGGTGCCCACTACCCTCTAGGCAGTCGGCCGAACCCACCTGTTATCGCCTCCCGCTTGTCTCGTCTCTAGATTTCCTTTCTTCCCGTAATTGGTGTGATATCACACCCGGAAATGCCAGTTGTCATTTGTTTGTGCCGCAGCACGGGGATGACGCCTGTTGGCTGAGGTGAATCTGGGCCAGACCCGCGCTATCGTCCATTCCTGCCAAGCTTTGTTCTGGAGATTACACCCTACGATTCCTCCGCTCCGTTCCTTCCGCGCCAGTCTCTGGCAAGTCTCCAGCGACGGGGCCGCACCCAGCTCGAGCACGGCTGGACTAAATGACGTCCGCACGATCTCCGCCGATAAGCCACCGTCCGAGCCGGAATCCCACCGTGCGCGAGTGCCGAGACTTCGGCAGCGCAACTCGCACGGGCCGGGGCCCACGGTGCCTGACGTTACTCTGGATCAGCGTGGGTGTGGGGGTCAGCTGATCTCACTGCCCACTGCACTCTGCATTCCATCGCGTCCGCCCGATGCTGCCCACTTCCCACCTCTCTTGCATGCCTGCGCGCTGGAGGCTCGACGCCTCGGCGCTCCGCTCATCATCCTGTTCCTCACGTCTCCTGCTATCCGTTGACGGCCGTTGAGAACCGATCCCACTGCTCCACCTTGCCATCTCCCACCCTCGCTGGCAATCTCCCACTATCGCCCGCCCCCGCCGTCCTCCGCTACGGCACACGTCGGCGAGCGTCGGAAACGGCGACTAGCTGGGGTATAAGAGCGCGCGCGCTCCCACCCCACTCCCCACAGCGCCTCGGTGCACCACACCTCTCCTCTCACTTGCACACCATGCCCGAATACGACGTCATCATCGTGGGAGCCGGCATCGCCGGCTCGACCCTCGCGGCCATGCTGGCGCCGCACGCCTCTTTGGCGCTCATCGACCGCGACATCGCCGCGATCCCCGGCTCGACGGGACACGCGCCGGGCGTCGTCGCGCAGATCAACAGCATCCCCGCGCTGGCGGAGCTCGCGCGCCGCTCCGTCGCATACTACTCGCGCATCCCCGGCGGCTTTGACGCGGTCGGCGGGCTCGAAGTCGCGCTCGGCGCCGGCGAGACGCCACAGACGCTCGAGGCGCGCGCGGCGCTCGCGCACTCGCTCGGCCTCGCGGCCGAAGTGTTGTCGCAGGAACAGGCGGCGTCGCTCGCGCCCGCCTTCGTGCGCGACGACGCCGCCGGCGCCGTCCACTTCCCCAACGACGGGCTGTGCAACGCCAAAGGCGTGACGCGCGCCAACGTCCTCAAAGCCAAGACGCACGGCGCGACCCTCCTCGACGGCAACGTCACGACAATCGCCAACGCCTCCGGGTGGCAGGTGAGCGTGGAGGCCGCGCTGGCGGACGGCGCCCCGCCGCCCGCGTGCAGCGAAAGCGGGTGGCGCGTAACCGTCATGACGGCCGCGGGCACGCGCACGCTCACCGCCGCCCACGTCGTCGTGTGTACTGGCGCATGGGCAGGGCAGCTGCTGCCCAGCCTCGATGCGGCGGCAGTCGCCGTCGCCCACCCGTACGCGTTTAGCGAGCGGCGCGCGCGCCGCCCCCCGCCCCCGCGCAGCGACCTCCTCCGCAAGCCCGGCTCGCTCGCCCCCTTCGTCCGCTTCCCCGGCCAGACGGTGTATGCGCGCGACCACGGCGAGCGCGACGGGCTCGGCTCGTACGCCCACCCGCCGGTGCACGTCAAGGCGTCGGCGCTGCGGTCGCAGGGCTCGGGCGTCGCGGCGTGGGAGACGCGCTTCGACGGGTGGATGGACAACAGCGCCAGCGTCCTCCCCGACGAGACGGCGCGGACGTTCCACGGCCCACGCGTCGTCATCCCACGCTCGACGAAGGGCGACGGGTGGAGCGTCCTCGAGAGCCACGATGTGCCGCACGCCTTCGCGGGCCTCATGACTATGACGCCCGACGGCATGCCCTTGTGCGGGCGCATGCGCGACGGCGCCGGCGGCACGCTTTGGGCCCTCGTAGGGACGTGGGTTACGCATGCGGCGGGAAGCGCCGGCGTGCTCGCACCACAGATCCTCGCCGCGCTCGGAAAGAAGACACTTAGGGCCGACGACGCGTGGCTCCGCGCCGCCCTTGACCCACACCGCTTCGACGGGATGGCCGACGCAGAGCGCGAGAAGCACTGTCTCGACAAGTATGCCGATATTTGGAACCGCAAGGAGCAGTGCATTGTCGTTGCGAGCCGGCCGCGCACCACCGCAAAGATGTAGAGTTGTTTTCGTTTTGCATAGCACAGTTGTAGGGGTAGTCGGGTTTGTAGGGGTTACGGATATTGCAGGGATGTTATGTGGTACTGGCTTGATGATCAATGGGCGAACGGGGCTGAGATGGCCAACCAAAGATGAGTAGCGATGGAGTCGCCACGGCCAGCATACGCCGCAAGAAAGCTACACGTCGCATCTCATTACACAGATCCAACTTCGTTCGCGGTCGGTCGTTTCCTCACCTCTCATGGCCGATCTCCCTCCTTCTGACGCCCACAATCAGGCGCTTGCCCACTCGACGGCATCGTTCCGATGCTTGTGCTTGTTTCCCCGGCTGTTGCGATACGCGTCCTCTACTCCGCCACCTACAATCGCACTGATATCAGCCTCTCTCGATTCTCTGGCGCCGCCTCGCCGCCACCCACATCCACTACAGCCCAACAGGCAGAAGTAATACCCACACTGCAACGAGGTATATAAGGAACGCCCAGAACAGGGTTCCCCAGAAGCGGCGGCGCGTGCGGCTCAGCGCGGCATAGTACTCGGGCGAATGGGCGACAAGGATGAGCACACCTTCCTCAGTCTGCCGCGGCGTGCGTTGCGGGTGGTGGTGCGGCCCGGCGTGGTGAGGATGCGGGTGCTTAGCACTCGATGGCATGGGGGGCTGTGTGGAGGGACCGGAGGGGCCAGCGGATGGCCCGGGCTGGGCGGTGTCTGGCATGAGTCAAGGCCGGAGATGAGTGGTGGGTGAGTGACCTCGCCTGCACGGAGGAAGAACTCGTAACTCACACGGTGGTGGCTGCGAGTCTGCGTTGACGAGCGTACCCTCCGGCTGGTTATCAGCCGTGCTCCTCGCTGCAGCGGCGTATGATCCCTTGTTGTTCTTGCTGTCGGCCATGGCGGTTGAGAGGTAGATAGTAACGATGACGAGTTGATCTTTCTCGGTGTACAGATCAGGCTGTGCATGCCGAGGTGGGTGGCAAATTGGTTCCGCAACATACGTCATGGGGCGGATGCATATGCGGGACTTTGGTCGCCACAAAACGAAGATGACTCTTGAAAGATGCTCCAGATCAAACACCATCTTCTCGGCGCGAACTAGAGGCGAGCGATATAGCGATGGCGGACGAGGCCAACATGTCGACATCATGTTGATTCCGACGCGGCGTTGTCTGACCACATGCTATCACACGTTTGCCAAGAATGCCAACACGCTGCAATCGACGCTCGACATTGAGCACATGGGTGAGGTACTCTGACCGCTCGACAGCTCCGCCGTTTGCCCGGGAGGCCCGGCAGGCCCGCAAGCATGCCAAGCAATCTGCAGCCTGATCATCGTGGTGACATCAGGGCTCTTTCAGTTGCACGTCCCCGTGACGCGAGCTATTGAATGCAAGTCCGACACGAAGCTCACCAAGTGACATTCATCACTCATTCCGGTGATGACGTTCGCCAACTCGACCTCCCTGCCAGGCTTGACTTTTCCGAGACATCGGCATTACCATCATTAGCTCACTTGAAACGCATTACAACTGGATTGATCAATTCACTTCGATCGCCGCAAGTTAATCAACTTCTATTGAACCAGCGGCTTGGCTCATTGTACAATTTGTTGCCGGACTCACCACAATTCACCGCTCAAGGGTGGTTTCGCCGCGCAGAAATCACCGCACCTCACCCCAGCGCACGAAGCCAACAAGTCGCCGCAAGTCAGCTTACACTAGCAGGATGCCGCAGACACCGCAGAGGCCAGCCAGATTGTTTGTGGCGGCAGAACTGGCGGGGAATGTGGTGAGCACTCTGTCCGGCCAGGCCAGCTACGCGGAGATTGCGAAGATCTGCAAACATGAATTATGGGATGCGTTGGCCTCGGATGGTAGATAAGAAGGCGCCCGCAGCATCACATCAGCCATTCTCGCACTCCCACTTACACACACAACACGTACACCCACACATTGCGCGCATCAGTCACCTCAACTTTGTCAATCACCTCTGCATCCGTCGCCCCGTCTCATCTCTCAACCACACCGCCACACTCAACACCCATGGCCGCGCCACACTCATCACCCACGGCAGCCATGTCGTCACCAACAAACATCAAGGCCGAGCTTGACGTCGAGGCCGTGCAGCCTGGCCCCTCCCGCCCTTCCCACACCACTTCCACTTCCACCACGCCTACCCTCTTCCGCTCCCCTTCCACCCTCTATCGTGAGCGTGGAACCGTTCCTGTCGAGCTCGTCAACGCGGTGCTAGAGAAGGGCGACGCATTCGAGATTGTCTTTGACGGCCCCAATGATCCTCGAAACGCACAGAACTGGAGGTGAGAGACCCACGCAACCTCGCACCTTCCCTCCTCCGTCCCAGCTAACTCCAGCTTTGGCAAGAAGATCTTCCAGACCTCCCTCATGACCGCTGCCACTCTATGGGCCGGCATTGGCTCTGCGGTCATCTCTGGTGCGGCCACCTCGTTCCGAGCACACTTCGGCGTATCCGCAGTCGTCGCCGAGCTTGCAAATGGCATGTTTATCCTCGGCTTCGCACTCGGCCCCCAGGTCTTCGGCCCCCTCTCCGAGGTCCTCGGCCGCAAGTGGCCCCTTACTCTCGGACTTTTCCTCGGCACCATGTTCAGCATCATGACCGCCGGCGCCGGCAACCTCGGCACTGTTATCGTCGGCCGCTTCCTCGGTGGCTTGTTTGGCGCCTCACCGTACGCTATCGGCGGCGGCTGGTTCCACGACGTCTACGACCCCATCCACGTGCAGGCGGGCGTGGCCTTCTTCGCTGCCGCCACCGCGGGAGGACCCGCCCTCGGCCCCATCATTGGCGCCGGGCTCGCCTCCACCAGCGCGAATTACGGCTGGCGTTGGGCCGAATGGTTCATGGCTGCTTTCGGACTGCTCGTCACCTTCCTCCTCGCCGTCTTTATGGAAGAGGCGTACGCTCCCTCCATCCTCAAACAAGAGGCCATGCGGCGCCGCCGTGAGACCAAGGTCTGGGCGTACCACTCTGAGCTCGACACAGTCAACATCACACCCAGTGACATCCTCCTCCGCTACGTCCTCCGCCCCGTCCGCATGCTCTTTACTGAACCCCTTCTCTTCGTCATCAGCATGTACATGAGCTTTGTCTACGCCCTGCTTTACATGCTCATGGCGGCCCTCCCAGTTATCTTTGGCGAGTACCGTGGCATGGGTCCTTTCGTCGAGAACACTCCCCTCTTCTCCGTCTTCGTTGGTATCGTGTGCGGCGGCGCGCTTATCATCCTCGACATGCAGCGCTACAAGGGCCGCCTGGCCGCCACAGGCGCCGAGGCCCTGCCCGAGGAGCGCTTCGTGCCCATGGGTCTCGGCGCACTCTTGCTCCCCATCGGCCTGTTCTGGTTCGCCTTCACCGGTCCCGCACAGGTGTCTTCCCCCTGGCCCTCGATCATCGCCCTCGGCTTCAGCATGTGCGGCATGGTGCTCATCTTCGAGTGCGGCATCATTGTCATCATCGACAACTACGGCTCGTTTGCCAACTCCGCCATCGCCGCCAACACACTCACCCGGAGTATCTTTGGCGGCTCGTTCCCCCTTTTCACTGCTGGAATGGTCCACAACCTCGGACTTGAGGGGACGTGGAGCATGGCCCTGCTTGCGTTCATCGCGGTGGCATTGGCGCCGATTCCCCTCATTTTCTACCACATCGCGCCCAGGCTTCGCGCCATGAGCAAGTTCAACCCCGGCCTCTAGACCTTATAATTGACAGTGCTACAGTGACCTTTCATATATTAGCTCACAATGTTCGAGCGCGAGATGCGACTTCATGTCCTGCAAATAGTCTTCGTGCCTTCTGAACCTTTTGCTAGAGGCGACGGTCTACATGCTTTCAGACGCCTACATACATGTAAGAAATTAAGGAGCCAGAAATGACCCCGCTTCCATTGAGACGCCGTCTTAGGACTCCTTTACCCTGTAGTCAGCGCGACCAAGCAAGTCATTCACCATCGTCACTTTCATTACGTGCGTCGTTTTTGCCGTACTGGGGGTTGCTCGTATCGTCTCTTTTGTAATCACACAAGTCGTGTTCAACCATCTCATAGTCGTCATCTGAAGGCGTATGGTGCGCCCGCGAAGGGTCGCCCTCGAACTCGAGAGCAGGGCTCTCAGCGTTACCTTTGTAAGCGCCGCTGCCCTTGTCCATCTTCACGCCGTCGTCTTCTTCTTCGAACTCCGAGTCGGAGATGACGATGACTTCGCGAGAGACAGAAACCACGACCACATCATCCTCTGTATCTGACACCTCAATGACTTCGTGTGCGGGGTTAGGGACCCACATAACGAAATCGTCCTCGTCGTCATCGTCATCGTCGTCGTCTCCCTCATCATCGTCGTCAGAGTCCTCGTCTTCAGACAGTTCCTGAACATGCACGCCGCGTGCTGCCGCCTTCGCGAAGTGCTGAGAATTAGCCCGCTGAACTTTTCCCTTCCTTCGCGTCATCCTTGAACGCCACCAACCACTCAATAAACTCACATCGGCGCGCTCGTTCCGCACGTCTCCAGAGTGCCCCTTGACGTGCACTACGGTGATTTGACACTTCAGATGCTTTCGGGCTGTTGCGAGCCGTCTGAGAAGGCCGACAGTGGTCGGGTCAACGGACCCCTTGCGCTTCTTCCACTTGCGTCTGTGATACTCGCCACACTGTCTGAAGTCTGGGATGAGCGAGAGACGCGGCCGTAGGGCTTACAGTGGATCGCGGATTTCGAGTCTGTCCGAACTTCGAGGCCAACACGAGGCTCTGGATGGAGTTCGATTGCGCGGATCACCGCCTATCGTCAGCGTGCGCCTCAAGCTGTGACGAAAAGGAAGTAAGTGTCGTTGTGTCCCAAATCGAAAAATGTCATTCGGAAATGGACAAATTTGAACCCGCGCCCTGGCACGGCCAGAGGTCACTCACATAGAACTCAGCCTGATGCACTTGAACGACGTTTGGCGGTGGACGCTCTCCGCAGAGCATGTTGCTCGCGCGCGAGTTTTCCTTGTCTCCCCAGAAGAGGCCGATGCCCACCTTGCGGCCTGGACGATGATGGAGCTGCGACGCGTCGGTGTACACGACGACGCCTTTCCCGTTGACGAGGAATCCCTCGCGTTTGAGGCTTGCGAGGCGCTCGTTAAGGCGCGAGCGCTCAGCCGAGGTCGGCATAAAGAATGGAGGAGTAGGTGAAGGAGAGAAGGATGATGATGAGACAGTCGTCTCGCCGGAAGTGCTGCAGTGTTGTTGTGCGAGTGAAAGTGGAGGTGGAGGTAGTGGCGGTCTGTGTGGCACTCAGTGGGTGACTCAACCTCAACGCCCTGCACCTGAGGAAATTACTGTAGCAGTCACACGGTCCCACACCGTGGTGGAAAGGAGCAGAGCTCCAATTCTGCAAGTAGCAGATGCATCCGGCAGAGCACGCTACCTTCTGCCGCGATCCGTGTCGACCAATGTCGTCCCCGCCCCCTCTAATTGTCTATGTACATGGAGCGCTCCGCGTCGCTCCCAAACGGCCCGTACCGGCCGAAGGCATCGGCGATGCGCCCGACGACGCGCATCTCGTAGTCGGCCGAGATCTCCTCCACGCCGTCCACAGGCACGGTCGTTTGCGTCCTGACGTGGACAGGACACGCCCCAAAGCGGAGCAGAGCGCGCGCAAGCTGCGCGGGATGCGGCACCGACGCGCGCACATAACCCCAGTCGTCGCCGCCGGCCTCGTACGCTGCCCATTCGGGCAGGTGGATTGCCAGCGTGAGGCGGAGGTCGGCGAGCGCGAGCTCGGGCGGCGCGACCTTGGGCGGTGCGGCGCTCGGCTCAGCGGGCCACACGCCAAAGTCGGGGTCGAGGATCGAGGGCGGGCGGCACTCGCTCATCGGTCTCGCAGGGGGGCGAACAGTTTCAGTGTCGCGCCTCGCTGGTTCCGAGTCTACGCGCGGCCGCGGATCTTTGTCGAGTTTCTTGAACCCCTTGGCCAACGCGCCGAGGCCTTTGAAAAGGCCGCTGACGGGACGCGAAACGCGCTCGCGCACTCTCAGAGGTTCTTTGGCCTCCTCAATGGTCGGCGACGGCGGCTCTTCCGACACGATGGGAACGGTGACGGCGGGAGTAGTCGTGGCAGGGGTCATCGCCATGGCCGCGTTATCGAGGCGGACACGAGTCGAGAAATGCTCTTCGGCTCTGGGCGGAGCGGGCACGAAGAGCGCGAGGTGGAGCGTCTTGAGTGCGCCAAACGCACTCCAGTCGACGGTGTCGAAGAACTCGACAGGTGTAATAGCGGGGTCCGTGAGGTCGACCGCGAGACGCAGCGCCTCGATCGCCCCCGCGCCGGACGCAAAGGCCGCGAATTCACCCAGCGAGATCGGCGAGGTCTGCGAAAGAAGGAGACGGGGCGGATAGGGGTATCCGTCCTGCGCGCGGCGCGCGAGAATGCTGAGCCACGCGCGCGCGCTGTGGCTCTCGTCAGTTGCAAGGCTGTGGATAGCACGGCAGAGCACAGGGGGCACCGATGCGTTCTTCTGGCCCTCGGCGAAGCGCTGTGCGCCGGCACGTGGCATGCCCCCGAATTCGAGGGCGTAGCTGACCCGCGCGTCTTGGCTGCGTGGGAGGCACGGCTCGAACGGATTTATGGTGTAGAAAATCCCGTCGCCACGCATGGGGAGGCGGCGTGTAACACGGATGTTGAGCGGGCCGCAGTCGGTCGGGCGTGCCATCTCAACTTTTCCGCAGGCAATGGTGTCCAGATTCGGGAATGTCTCGAAATGCTCGAAAAAGCCTGGTCCGCGGCACGCGACAACGCAGCCGGTGAGGTCTAACTTGTGCACGGATGCGCGGTACACGCTCATGCGGTGCTAAAATAAGCGAGGAATAGCGAGAAACTCACAGTTGGAACCGGCAAATTGAGTGGGAGACGGCAGTACAAGGCGTCGGCGTAAAGAACCTCAACGACGGCGCAGAATGCCGCCCGGTTCACGCACATGAGGCGCGAGAGCACCGGTGGCGAATGCGGCTCGTGCCGCCGATCTTTGACGAGAATGTCAACGACGCGCTTACGGACATGCTCAAGACGCCACACGCGCGAACCCAGCGAGAAAACAGAGAGGGGCGTGCGGGTCCGCGGCGGCGTCTCCGGCGGCGTGAGTGGGGCGTTGGGCTCGGACGCGTTAGCGCTCGACTCTGAGTTTTGTTGCGGAGAGGTCGAGGCGGACACGGAGCGTGCCGAGGGAGCAATCTTTGACGAGGGTGCGCGAAGGGATGTGCTCGAGTTCTGGGCGCGTGGGCGGGGCGAAGGCGGAGCAGCGTTGTGCCGGAGCGAGGCAGTGGATGGCTGCTTGCTGACGGCTGGGGTGAGGGGCGAATCCGTCCGCGGAAGACGGAGTGACGTCGCCGATGCCTGCTTGAGAGGTTTTGGGGACTCGGTGCGCGGAATGCGCAGTGACGCGGTAGAGGGCTGCTTGCTGGGCGCGGGTGTAGGGATGGGAGGCTCGGGGACGCGCAACGATGCTGTCGATCCCTGCTTGCCCAGACCACTCTGATTCGGTGCGAGCGACGATCGGGAAGTCTGGTTCACAAGAGGCGCCGGAGGGAGTCTCTGCTTCAAAGTCGGAGAGGGACTGATAGGTTGAACTTCGCTGACAGGCACCCGGCCGGTGGTCGGAGCGAGTGCGCTGGGGGCAGAAGAGCTCTTGGAGGGTAGTGGAGGGAGAGGGGGGTGGGCTGCATTGCGCAGAGATGTGGCCGAAGGCGGAGCACGGACAGTCCGGAGGGGCGAGGACTCGGCAGTAGCGCTGCGAAGAGATGTAGCGGACGCCTTCTGCTGGACTGCGGAGGGAGATGGGGCCTGCGGGAGATGGTCAGGCGTTGGAGCTGCCTCTCCGCGTTTCTCGTGAGACGCTGTGCCCACGCGCTTGCTAGCAACGACCGGCTTGGGTGGGCTTTGCGGCGGCGAGGGTAGCCCCGGGGCAGAGGTGGCACCTACCGTATCCCGCGATGGGGAGCGCCGCGGTCGTGGAGGTGTCGTCGGCGCTACCTCTTCCAGTCCCCGCGCAACCGGGGGCGTAGATACGGGGGTCGCGTACGCGGACGGCTGGTGCGGAATCGGGATCGGCTCCTCGCCAAACTGGTGCGCTCTCCCCGCTCTGGGCTGCACGGCATCGCTATGCGGCTGCGGCGTCACGGGCACTCCAGCGCCGGGAGGCAGGCCCGGCGCCTCGTGTCCCGCGTCGCTTCTAACGACTCTTCCCGGCTGTGGCCCGAATGCTGCCGCGGGGTTGTACCGCACCGAAGCGGCGCGCGCCGGCGCCGCCTTGCTCGGCCCAAATGCCGCCGCGAGGTTGTATCGCGCCGGGCGGTCGGCTGTCGCTGACGTGCGCTGCCCGAAAGCTGCGGAGCGGTCGTACGTCTGCGGCGGGGGTTGGCGGGGCGCGAAGCCCGAGCGGTCGTATAGCGAGGCCGGAGTGGCTGGGCTGGGCATGGACGGGAGGGAGAGCGTCGCGGGCTCGGCGCCGGGCGGGAGTGTCTTGCTTGTCGTCGACACTGTGCGGGGTGGCGGTGAGACGGGTGCGGATGGCACGACCATTCCGGGCTGAGGACGAGGGGCGCGCGGGGTTGAGTGCGGCTCGAGGGCGACAGTTTGGAGGGGCGGTCGGCGATCCGGGGGCGGGTGATGGAGCTCGCGTTGCGGGGCTGCGGGAGCGCCGAGCGGAGCTTGCAGCGGAGCGTCGTGGCGCTGTTGCGACGGCGGATGTGATGGCGATGGGTGTGGGGGGAGTCCGTGGAGCACGGGCTCACGACCGGGCGGGGGCGTTAGGACCCCGGCGTTGACTGGCGAAATCTGCCGCCGGAGCGTGTGCCGCGCTTGCGACGCAGGCGATGGCGACTCGGGGTAGCGATACGGCGGCGGAAGCTGTGCGGCGTGTTGCGGCTCTGGCTGCCACACAGGCTGGGTGTGGTCGGCGTGAGGTGGCCGCGGAGGCCGGGGTTGGTATAGGGCCTGTGTGGTCGACTGTGCGCCGGGAGGCAGCCCCGCGCGCGGCTGTGGCTGTGGCGGACTACTATGCGGGTGAGGCTGGCACTGCGGCTGCGGCTGCTGGGGAAGAGACTGGAACTGCTGGGGAGGAGCAGGGTAGAAGTGCGGCTGCTGGACGTCTCGAGTCGCGTTTTGAGAAACTGAGTGGGCCGAGAAGGCAGGATGCGGTGGAGAGATAGAGGGAGAGATGTCTCGGCGCAAGATCGAGATGGGTTTGCTGCTGCTCCGCGGGGGCAGAGGGCTGTGGGGGCCGTGATGCTGTACAGACATTGGATGACGAGCGGACGACCAGCGCCAAGAGGAGATCGAGGAGATTTGCAGAGAGGGAGATGAGGAGGAATGGCAGCCTGAGAAAAGAGGGTGGGGCGGGCCGGGGCGAGTGGCGCGCGGCGTATGCACGGACCAGCGTGACGTGACATGAGGGGCTGGCGGCCTGTGCAGGTGGGGGACGCGCGCCGAGATGCGGGAGCGCGTCAGAGAGCGGAGTGCTGAAGTCAGTGGTAAGCCTCCAGTCAGGTGAAGTGGCAGACGTCAGTGGGATGTGGCGATACGCGTGATATTGAGGAATGTGGGATAGGAATGCTGTTCGCTGATGCGAGATCTCCGTTGGCTGCGAGTTTAGCAGGAGCGGATTTCGATGATGGGCCGCGAAATATTTCGGGCGCACTGGTTCGTGCCGAGCCGGCGAGCCGGCGATGCCCGCCCATCACTGCGTCGCGCTCCAAGCTCGATCTGATCAGGCGGGTCTTTACGAATTGGCGGGGATCGAGATCAGGTTGTCAGCATTGAGATCAGATGGTCAGTGCGGTGAGTGTAGATCTGAATCAGACCAGTGAGGTCAGATGTTACACTGTCTAGATAATACAACATCGTCGTCCACATCGTCGTCACCAGCCTTACGATGCTGATCCCGGCGCCTTGGCCGGGGGCGAGTTGGAGCGAGAGTCGAGCGGCGCGTCCGCCGGCACCGGCATCTGCACGAACGTGATCGTCGAGAACTGATGTCAGGTTTGCACACCGCTCAGGCTCACCATATCGCACCAGTCGCGCACGAGGTCCGAGTCCGTCCCCGGCGTGCTGGCCTGCCCGCAGAGTGCGCACGCAATGTGGAACACCTTCGCGCGCACGCTCTCGCCGTTGCTCGCGAGGTCCTCGACGGGGATGCTCATGAGGAGGTTGTGGATCTCGCGGGCGATCGCTTCGCGCTCGCGTGCCAGTTGGTCCTCATTCACGTTGAGGGCCGAGCGCAGGTCGTACAGCGCGAATTTGACGATCGCGACCGTGATGAGGATGTTGGCGCGCTGCGTCGCAAACACTTGCCGGTTCGCCTCGAGGGGCACGCTAGGCGGATCCTGGATGGCCAGTGGCAGGTCGCCGAGGAGCGCATGCACTCTTTCCTCCGCCGCGACAGTCCAGTCAGTCGAGATAGTCTGGAGGTCACTCAGGATGCAGCGGTGATGGAAGAAGCACTCGGAGAGGATGCGGAAGAGCTTGGAGACGGCGACGAAGCCCGCCAGCAGCGAAGTCTTGCTTGCCGGCTGAGGGAACATGCCTTGTGAGGTGATGAACTCGTCGTCGATAGCCTCCGGGTATGAACACAGGCCCTGGAAGTCGTTGATAAGCATAGGATTTCCGGGTATCGCGCGGGTCCTTATGTCAGCTGCGTTGCGGACACGTGCAAACTCACTTATCACTCGCGTAGAGTTGCCAGAAGACGCGGCGGCGGAGCTGAACCTCGATGTGGTCCAGGCCAAGGGCAGCGGTCTTGGCGTCGGAGTGGAGGCCGAGACAAAAAGCGAGCTGCACGGCCAGGCCAAGTCGCGCAGCCGCCGTATGTGTGAGTCCGATGGAGAGGAGGTAGAAGTTGTCAAAGATGATGATGCAGATCTGAGTGAGGGTTACCTGGCCGGTGTAGGTGCGTTGCAGGAGCTGGGAGGTGCGGTGGCAGCGTCTCTGGAGGCGCTTGAGGCCCTCGACGTCGAACTGCTCCGTCGTGAGGCGCGACGTGGGCAGCTGCGAAATGGTGAACGCAACAATGGAGAGGAGGAGTGCGCGGAAATCTGTATCGCGCAGGTCGAGGCGCGTCGCGAGATTCTCGCTGAACGTAGGCCGATGCACGAGCGGAAGCAGCGGCCACTGGTGCTGCAGGTAGAGGGAGATGTAGTGCGAGATGTTCGCCCACGAGGTAACGTCTTCGAGCTGCGGCTCGCGCGGTCGTTGCGTGTGGTGGGCGACGACCTCGGGGCTCTCGAGCGAGAGCAGATGTGCCTGCTCCGAGGGGAACTGGGCCGTGCCGGGCCCCGAAAAGGTGTCGAAGCCGAAGTCGAGGGACCCGAAGACGCTCAGTCCGTCCACGGCCATGCTGTCGAGCCAGGACAGCCCGCCGTGGTCGTGGTTACTTCTCACGCCGGACGGCGCAAGGGACGAGAATGGGCTCCGGGACGCACTGCCGCTCGAGGTGTAGTCGTCGATCGGTGGGCCTGTTCTGGAGGGATATGGCGAGTAGGAGGGCCGGGAGGAGGACTCGGCGGGGGATGCCGGCTTCACGCTCTCCTGCATTGCCTTGATCTGCATCGCAAAGCTGGGTGAGCTGCGTCGTTGGGTGGGCTCACGCATTCTTCCTCCCTGGTTTTTTCTTGACGTAGTCGTAAGTGCATGCTATCTGGAGGTTGCTGCAGCCGACGCATTGACCATTACCTTCGACGCATTTGATCTGACATCAGCAAAAGCTGGGGAAACATGGAGCTGGGCGCAGTGGTGACATTGCAGGAGCGAGCGGGTGACTTACTTTGCGCTTCCGGCAGTTGTCGCAGGTGCGCGATGCCCTGGGCTGGCTCGTGGACGATGCACTTGACATGTTCGTGCCACGACCCGCGCCGCAAGGCGATGCTTGTGGATGAGAGATGGAAGTGGTGAGATGAAAGTGGGAGTTACCAAGTGGAGGTGGGAACGGGGGATACGCGGGGGATTATACCGGAACTGGCCGGTGCGGCCGGTCGTCCGCGCTGTTTGATGGCGCTCACGCGAGACCAAGGTATAACCTAGGTAGAAAGCTCGGCCGGCTCTGCAGACAAGAGGAGATGCACATGATGCGCGCGCAACAGAGTGTAGGCTGACCATGCGGTGCGCATGTTTGCACATCGTGGTGACTTGATGAGTGGGAGCTCCATTACTGCGCCATGACATGCCTACGCCAGACCGTCAGTGGCTGTCGAGGTCCTGACCGTGCGGCGGTATGTCCGTCTGTGTCGCTGAACGGTGGGGCTGTTCTCTGGGCGAGAGGAGGAGGTGCGGAAGGGAATAAGAGTGGGGGAGCGCACAGTACAGAGCAGGATTCTACAAGAGCGGAGGGCCGCCAGCAGTGATGTCAGCAGTTGCATTGCACCAGGCAACAGCATACCAGGCGGGCGGGAATGAGATCGCGCAAATCGACCTCGATCACATTCGACATCGAAATGCACTCTCCGCCGCCGTACTCTCCACGGGCAACGCATCGAGCAGCAAAAGCGTACGATCGCCGGGAATCGAACCCGAGGCAGGGGTAGGTTCCAGACCTGGATGAGCAGGAGGCTGGGAAACCCCTATGTTACCATTACACCACAATCGTTGCTGATTGCGCTGTTTCCTGCCCGTCCGGCCCGCCCTTGTCTGCCAGCGCGCGTCTGCGGTTGGTCGATGCACCAGGATCACACCGAACCGCGATGCGTCAGGAGGCCAGGAGGTGGGCAGGGTCGACGTGGGACAGGGCTGGGTGTCGGTGGAGGTTCAGCGATCGGGAATAGGAAGAGCCGGTGGTCGGCGTCGGAAGCATTTTGTGAGAGGTTAATATCCCGATTAAAGCGCCGAGCGCCGGCGAGCTGACATTCTGTGGCATCATAACAAGACATCTCTACCATAGACAAACTGACTCCATCTGTCCGCTCAGTACCCGTCGGTGGTGAGGTGGCGGACGGCTCCCAAGGGAGACTGGTTGAGGTCGCCCTTGCCGCTCAAGTCCTCCGCCTCGATATCCTCTGCGCGGTGGATGGTCGGGTTCTTCTGGAAGCCATAGCGGTGTGGGCCGTCGAAGAGGGCGGCGATCTCCTCGAGCGAGAGCGGGCCGTCGGGGCCGCGCGTCTCGATGACGAAAAGGTAGCAGTACACGACCGTGAAAGCGAGGAACACGCAGAACACGATGTAGTACTTCCAGTCGAGGGCGTCCATGGCGATCGGGTTGACGTACTGGTTGAAGACGAGAGATGCATTGACACACATCTGCATGGCCATGAGGCCCTTGGCGCGCACGCGGAACGGGAGGACCTCGACGGTGTACGAGACGAGGAGCGGGCTCATGGCGATGTCGTAGAATGCGTAGAAGATGAAGATGAAGGCGATGACGCCGTTACCTGCGCTCTTGTTCGCGTTGAGCGCGACGCACTCGCGCGAGTCGCCGTTGTGCTCCATCAGACAGACGGGGTCGAAGGCCGTCGCGCTCTGACGGTACACGGCAGAGCAGATCGTCCATGCGATAAAGGAGAACATCATACCGATAGTCGAGGTGAGGAAGAGGAAGCGGCGGCCGAGCCGGTCGACAGTCATGGCACCGACGATGGCCCAGAAAAAGTTGTAGACCTGGAGCACGCCGTTGATGAGCGTCTGGTGGCCGGAAGACGTGATGCCGATGCCCTTGAGCACGATCGTGAGGTAGTACGACACGAGGCCGTTGCCCGACCACTGGGAGAAGAAGGCGATGGCGAGGACGATGCGCATGCGGCGCAGGTTGCCGGGGGTGGTGAAGAGCTCCTTCCACGATGAGGATCTAGCGGCTTCCTGCTCGATGCGGATCATCTCGCGGATCTCTTCGACCTCGTAGTCGATGAGGGGGTCGTTGACATCGCCGCCGCAGTGGACTTTGGTAATGATGTCGCGCGCCGGCTCAACCTTGCCCTTGGAGATGAGCCAGCGCGGGGACTCGGGGATGCAGAAGATGAAGAAGAGCTGGAGCACAGACGGCAGGCCCTGGAGCACGGAGGGGATGCGCCACGACCACGTGTTGTCGATGCGGAATGTGCCACTGGGTGTTAGCGCGGGTGGGTGGCGAGGGATGTGGCGGAAAGGGATCTCACAATGTCGTCCACGCGGCAATGATCGAACCGAGGTACCATGTCGCGTTGTACAGCGACGTAATGGGGGCGCGGTGGGTGGGGAATGCAAGCTCTGTGATGAGGAGAGGCGAGGCGAGGCCGGCCCAGGAGAGACCGAAACCGATGAGGCCGCGCGAGAAGATGAACATGCCGACGTTTTGCGACGCGGTCTGGATCGCCGTCGCGAGCACCATAAGTGCTGCGCCGAGGAAAATGGTCCAGCGCCGGCCGAGGTGGTCGGCGAGGTACGGGGCGAAGGGGAGACCGACGATGCCGCCGATTGACTGGATGGCGTTGTACACGCCAAAGAGGGTGGGGTTGCGCTCCGGGTGGTTGAAGTACGATTTCCACGTGTCGAGGGCTTGCAACCCGTTCATCATACTGCCGTCGTACCCGTTAGTCATGGAGGTGATGAGCACGAGAGACTGTCGTGAGCGAAGCTCGGGGTTGGTGAAGGGTGAGGAACGCACCAGCATAATGTTGAGCTTGAGGTAGAAACCGCGGTACCAGCGAGTGTCGCGGCCCGCGAGCAGGCCCGCGAGCTCGTTGGAGACGCCTCCTCCGCCAGCAGCAGCGACGACGCCCATGATGAGGTAGTGAAATGAGGTGAGGTGGTAGTGGTGAGGTAGTGGAGGGAGTGGAGGTGATCGGCGGTGGCAGTGTTGGGGTGACTTATATTCTCTCGCTCGGCCGATCAGCCTCAACAGCCTCAACAGCCAGCTTCCCCACATGCCGCGCGGGGCCAAGGTAGCGAACGGGGGCGCCGTCGGCCCCTCGTGCGCCGCGCTAAGCCGTGCCCGGTGCCCTCGTGCCCGCGTGCCCCCGCCCTCGTGTGGTCGTCTGCGCCGAAATTCGCCCGCGCTAGCCTCCGTGCACCGCCCTGGGAACTGACCGGCGCGATCACGGGTGTTCGCGGGGGTTTCCGATCTATATGCGGAGAAAGATGGGGCATGGTTTGTAGCTTGCGGCGTGTGGCTTGTGGGAGCGTGGGACTGGGCCGAGGGTGGGCCGTAGATTGAGAACCGTGGCGGGACAACGGACGAGCGCGACGTCACGGAGGCCGGGGATGCGCCCGGGATGGCTCGGAGGAACGCGTCACGAGCTGTTTCGTCTAGCGAGCATGCGGCATGGCTTTGGCCAGATAGCGCCCTGCGCATGTTCATCCGGGCTCACTGGAGCAGCTCGAGCTCAAGCTGGAACGGCTGGAACGGCTGGAACAATGCCAAAGCTAATAACACAGGCACCGAGAATGCCCCGATTGCCGCGAGAACTCGCCGCGTATCCACCATCGTGTCTTCGGCGATGGCCATTCCACTCGGCGCTGCTCACCTGAGCGTGCAGCTCATCAGAGTGTTCGAACTCGCCTGGCGGTGATCTCACCGATTGTGCGAGCTCAAAGTGATCGTGAGCAGGAGCGCCTGAGACGGCGGCATTCCGGAGTACTCCCTCCTGGAGGGGACAACGCCCAGCAACTCTCCGACTACTCCCCGCACTCCTGCTTCCATGCTCGGAGGGCGCTGGAGTGGAGCGCGTGCTCCGCGTCGGGACATTGCATATGGACTCAGAGAGACTCGGGCCATTCTCCGGCCCATTTCTGTGCCCGTGCGCTTGGTTAGCGAGAGGGCGCGTGACGTAGCGGGGTCGCGGAGCTGGCGTCGTCAATATCTGATCCGTAGGTGCTGGCTATAAACCGGAGGACGTGACTTCGAGCTCGGTCGAAACTTGCCTGGAGGCCCACTCGATCTGGGCAAAGGCCCCCGTCTCACGCGGGCATCCTCGTGTACATGCTTCTGATCTAGCTATGAGCCCGGGAGGTAGAGAGCTTGACAGCATAAACACAGGCCATTCGCAGCCTGAATTTGTCTTCATAGGCCTCGGGCGAGCGGCGCCGCCGCCGCCGCACCGCTCGCGGCGCTCGGCAGCTCCTCGCTGACCAACACGCCTCCGGTGCGCATCCCCCGCCTCGCATTGAGCGAGTACAGCAGCCCGAGGGCGTACAGCTTGCTCTGGAAATACACGACGGCGATCGTGACCGGCGAGGTGGTTTTCACGACTGCGCGTCAGCCTCAGCCTCAGCGGTACGGGACACACGGAACGCAGCGAGGTACACCACCGCGCTGAGCGTCGCGGGGATTTGCGCTTCGAGCGTGAGGCGGACAAGGCGGGAGATGAGCTGGTGTGAGCGGTGGCGAGGGGATGGCGTACGCGGTTGGTGGTGCGCCATGCTGTGCGCGAGGCCAGGAGGCCGCGGAGGATCGCGGCGGTGAGGAGCGCGTCGGTCGCGGTGGAGAAGGAGAGCCAGGCGGCGGTTGCTGGTGTGAGCTGGTGGTGTCAAGTCGCACACTCGCACGCGGAGCTATCGCTGAGTCTTATGTGCGCATGCAATCGTACTCTGCCCTACAATCATGGGCGGGACTCACGGATGTAGACGAATTTCGCGTCGCGCGCCGACGAGAGGGACGCGAAGATGATCTTGATCGCGAGGGCGCAAGCTAGCCTAGATAAGCAGATGGCGGGGGTACGCACGAGCCACACATCAGGAGCTGGGATCAGTTCGGCCCGGAGAGCGGACGTACCACGGAGGTAACAACCAAAAGCCAGCTTCGCCCGTTGAGCAAAAACGCGCGGTGCGTGAAGAACGACTGCGTGAAGAGCGCGGTCGCGCCTGCATCAGCCGCGCCGCGGGGCACATACAATCGAGGAGGGGAAACCAGGACCTGCATCAGCCATGCCGTGCGCGCACACACCCCGGCGTCGCCTCAAAGAAGGGCTGGTACGTCCCGTACCCGTATGCAAACTGCGTCAGTCTTGACGTGGGGGCAGCGCACGCGATGGCTCGCCAGCCACCACTGGTATCCTGCGTCAGCGCAGCTGGGAAGAGGGGAACGTACCACTCGCAGCGAAAGTGCCGGCACACGCGCCGGCGACGCACACGCGCGCCCACGGCGTGTCGGGGTGCTGGATGTAGGCGAGGAGGAGCATGAGGAGCACACCGCTGCGTAAGCGCCACGAGGGGGGCGTACAGAAGGTATGTGTCCATCAGGAGGCCGGTGAGCATGCATGCGAGCGAAAAGGTCTGGGGTCAGCGCCGCCGGGAAGGCGGCGGGAGCCCGAGGTCACTTTGTGCGGAGCGAAGATGGCGGTTGCTTCGGCTTCGGAGGGGAAAGGGAGGACGCCGGCGCGCATGGTGGCGGATTGGGAGAGTAGCGGGGTGAAGGGGGGGGGGGGGGGGGGGGGGGGGGGGGGGGGAAGGGGGGAGGGAGGGAGAGGGATAGGTAAGTCCGGTGAGATAGGCGATGATATTGTACGTACTCTGCATGCTCCAGAAGTCTGGAGCTAGGCGTTGCCAAGCGGCTGTTATCATGGGCGAGCTCGCCCGCTGAGTGGCATGATACGATCGCGGAGCGCCGCATTCACACTGGGCGCCGTGTGTTGGGCGCAAAAATCAGGTGATTCTGTGGTATTTGTGTGAGTTTTGGGAGTTTTCGTTGAATAAATCGAGGGCTCGGGTTGGTGCGAGGGTGCGGAACAGAAAATGCTCCTTCGCCCTCGCTTAAGCCCTCTGATTCTCTCACAGGCCGCAGGGGACGCCTGAGTTACAGCTCGCCCACCGCCTTGACGGCCGAGTTGAGGGGCAGGTGGCGGAGCTCGGGCGGAGATGCCGTTGTCGCCTGAATCTTTGGAAGTGGTCATGTGCACGGCTCACGGCATTCCCGTCACTGCCCGATAAGTGTTGGTTGGTTAAGTGACCGTGGAGCGTGGAGAACAAATATGCTGAGGGCGGAGCGAACCGTGCTAAGCGACAAGTCGAATGGTGCTGTCGAGCTGCTTCATCGAGTTTGCCAGAAACCCTTTGCTGACACACTCCCCCGTTCGAACACCGAACAACACTCGCAGAATCTTGGCATTACAATGTCTACCAAAAGGCCAAGAATGGGATATATGCAATGTCAGTCGTATAAAATGAAGGCAGATGGGAAGACGCCAACGGAAGATGGTAATCGATCGACGGGTAGTGTTCTTGCCACATGGGTATGAGTGTGGGTGAAAAATCGGTCGGGCGCAGCTCAAGTAGACATCGACTTGTGCGACTGGAACAGCTGAGGCGGGGTGGGCGACGGCGCAGGGGTGGTCTGATAATAGGAAGGGGCCGACTCGCGGCGAGGGGGTGCGACAATGCCCATGTTCATGGCGGGCGTGGTGCCGCTTGCGCCGGCACCGGCATTGGTGTTGGCGTTGACGCCCGAACCGACAACAGCGTAGTCACGCAGGCCGGCAGAGGGCATGGCGTAGTCGAGCTGGGGCTGTATGTAGTAGTTGTAGTAGCCTCCGAAACCCGGATTGGGCGTAGGACGGACGGGCGTCGCGGTCTTGGGGCGGGCGCGGGCGTCGTGGGTCTGGTAAGGCGTTAGATAATGATTGTTCGAGAGAAGAGACCGAGGTGGGGGAATGGGGGAGGTGCGGAAGGCCAAAAACTAAGACGAAATTACTTACACGCTCGTGACGACGGAGGTTGGAGCTGACCGAAAAGCGGCGGCCACATCCCTCGCGGAGACACTGATAGGCTAGGGTAAGCGCCGCGGGGGCGATGCTCACGTTTGGCACCGGTGTGCACCGACATGTGCGTGTTGAGCGAGCTGGGGCGATTGAAGCGCTTGTCACACACGGGGCTGTGTATCAGCTTGTTCGGTCGAGTCACGAGAAGGAGGGCGATCCGTGCGCATGGGGTGCACATCACTCATGCGAAGTTGCAGTGTCCACGACAGTCAGCAACGAGAAGAATTCAGCTGGCTCCTCCCACATTGAGTGGCCTAAGTAAAACTGCAAATGTACGCAATGGTGCACGATTCTGTCACCGAGGACTTACCAGACGTGGCGGCGCTGCTTTTGAATCTCAGCCTGGCGGCGCTTCTCCTCGTTCTGCAGATGCTGCTGAGGCATGGTTGGGTACGAGGGCGTGCTCCAGTACTGGTACTGGGGGGTGGAGTGGGCGGCGTGAGCGGAATGGCTGAAATGAGGCTGATACTGCTGTCCGGTGGCCGAGGAATGCTGCTGGTGCTGATGCTGGGGCTGATGCTGGGGCTGATGTTGGGCCTGCTGGTGTTGCTGGTGCTGCTGGTGTTGCTGATGCTGCTGCTGGTGGGCTACGTGCGTCGTGTGTGTGGCGTGCCACTCTTCAGAATTACGATAAGGCACGTAGAAAACGTCGCGAGCCTGGCGAGGCTCTGACCAAGCCGAGGGAGAATTATGCTCGACCTTGATGTGCGGCACGTTTGTCTCGTTGTTGAAGGGAAACGAGGACGCGTAAGCGGGTGCGCTGTTCGGAAGGGGGATCTCCCAGGCTGTGGTGCTCGGAGTAGGGGGCGGGGCGGGGGTGGTGGGAGAGCGGTGGCTTGTAGGTGAGCGACCGTCGTGTGACTCGCTGTGAAGAGGGGAGGGGGGATGGGGGAAACGGGCGTCGAGGGAGACGGTGGTCATCCTTTTGAGAGGGAGGGGAGGGGAATGGGAGGATGGGAGATGTGAGGATGGGATGATGGGTCAGTGTGATGTGCGGTTGTGGAGAGCGACGGGATGTGAGATTTGCGGGTCTGGGGGTGTTGGGAGCGTCGGAGTGGGAGAGAATTGCGAGATGGGGAGAGTTGAGGATGGAAGCTGCGCTGGGTTATAAGAACGAGGGGGGG